ATGGCCGAGACGCACGCGCGCAACGTCGCCAGGTCCTTGGTGCGGCTCAGCGCAAAGAGGCTCGGGATCACATTGTCGTGAAAGAGGTTGGGGTGCAGCACCGGGTTGGCCGCCATCGCGTCGATCGCCGCGGCGCACTGTCGCTTGCGGTTGAGCTTTTGCTCGCGGCCACCGCCGCCTGCCGCGTCCACGAGCAAAGTCGACGACTCGTCGGCCTTGCGCACTGGCGTGAGCTTGGTCATGCCGACTTTCCGCTTGGACTTGGACGGCGTCGATTGGCGACGGGATGCGGCGAGCGTCGGCTCCGAGAGAGACGGCGCGAGCGATGTCGGATGTCGGCGGGGCAGCCGCGAGAGGTAGACGAGCGCTTCGGTGTAGAGGCCCCGTTGGTAGAATGTATCGCCCTTGTAGGCAAAGCCGAGGTGCGGCACCGGGTCGTGCATCCAGCAGTCGTCGCCGAGCCCGTCGTCGTCCGAGAGACGCGAGTCGGGCGTCGAGACGCTCGAGCCCCGCGTGTTGCCACGCTCGAGGTCCAAGGCGGCACGGTGGTCCATGACGCGGATAGAAATAGATGCACCTCCACCGTTTCGCTGCTTTCTGCTGCGTCAACACACCATACGAAGCAGCTTATAGGCCCTTGCATGTCGATAGAACAGCCACGCCTTGGGCTCGAACGCTCGGGCATGCCAGATGCCACATCCAAACGTGCGTCAGGAGCGTGCCACGTCATAGAAGTGGTGGCAATACCCTGTCAACGCATGTCCACAACAGCGGTTGACAAAGGGCAGATGATCTCGCCTACTGGTACCAGCGGCGCAGAAACGCTAGCTTCCTTCGCATAGCTTTCCGACAGCGACGCCACGCACGTCGTGTGGTCCAAATCGATAGTGTTATATAATGTTACTGCAGACGCAGCGTGAAGAGCACGATGCGTCTCATTAGTCAAAGAAGCCACCGTCGTCGCTCAAGGCGGCACCGAGGATGACGCCGCCAGCCAAGCCGAGGGCCGCGCCGGCCACCACGCCGCCGCCATTATCGTAGCCATCGCCATAGCCGCCGCCGTAGCCGCCGCCGTACATGACTGGCGCCGGCGCACCGTACACTACGGGGCCGCCCATGACGACCGGCGGCGGGCCGACAATGACCGGCGGCGGAGCCATCATAACCGGGGGCGGAGCCGCGTACATGGGTTGCGGCGCAGCGTACACCGGCGGGGGCGGGGCATACATGGGACGGGACGCCTGGGCTGCCATTTGGGCCTGCTGCTGCGCGAGCTGTGCCTGCTGCTGCTGGAGCTGCATCTGCTGCTGCTGGATCGTCTGCTGCTGCATCGCTTGTTGCTGCTGCTGGAGCTGTTGTTGTTGCTGCTGGATCTGCTGCTGCTGCTGTTGCTGCGCGTACCCCCCGTTGTACGCGGGCTGCTGGCCATAGGCGGGAGGTGCACTCGGGTACCCAGGCGCCGAGGGCTGCGCGTAGGCCGGCGGGGCGGGCTGCTGGTAGGCAGGCGGCGGTGCCGCGTAGGGCTGCTGGTGGCCGTATGCCGGCGGCGCGTGCGCCCCGGCAATCCCGAGCATTTGGACGCGGAGGTTGATCTCGCCACGCTGCTGGTTGCGGTAGTTGACCGGGTACCACTGGTCAATGACTTGGCCGCTTGCGAAGATGCTCATGGGGAGGCGGCACGTGCCAATGTAGTCGTCGCTCGTGTAGTTGCTGTCCCAGATCTCAATCACGAGCTGCGACAGTTGCATGTCGGCGACCTCGAAGACAAACTTGTCGTTCCAGACCGGGTTGCGCCCGCCATTGTCGTGCACGCGCGTCTTGAAGGTGCGGTGGCCAACAGAGATCTTGCAGTACGGGTCCTGCTTCCCAAAGGTCTGGGCGTCATGGAGGTTGCGGGCCGAGACCGCGCGCACGTGCAGCTCGGGCATGATTCTCAGGTTGGGAAATAGGAAATGCAATCTGGGAGGCCAACTTTTTTAGCCAGCTGCCGGTGAACCCAGCATCCCATCCATACAAAACGCAAGCTAAAACCTACACTCTTTGTCCGGATACAGGATGGCTTTCCCGAGAAATTCGCAGAATCTCCCAATTTGCAAGGTGCAACCCTCCTCGTACAAGGGATCTCTCCCTTTCTGCAATCTGTGCACGGAGACCACATACCGCCGAGCAAGGCGTCGCTGGCGGGTTATCTTCAGAATGTAAATTGGTGCGAGTGACGCGGGTGCGCACGGTCGCGGTCCCACCTTGATAAGTTGCGTGCTATAAGAACCCGCCTTGAGGTCTTCGCAGGCCTTCGCTGGCAACGCAAGCAGCATTGTTTCAAGGGAATACTCCACCTGCTATTTTATTCGTCCTGAATCTTGTACATGTACTTGACATTTGTAAGAGGAATTGCCACTTGCTATTAAATTTCAATTCCCACTTTGCCGTGTCAATGCTACAGCTCGACGTCCGGGCGACGGCCGCGCGCAACCTTGTCGTCCTCGACGACTACAGCCCGCTCGCGCCCTTCTGCAGGGGCACGCTGGGCAACCAACGAGAGATCACCGACGTGGATGCGAACGGAGGGAATGCCCCGCGCTGGTACAGCAAGATGACCTTTACGGTCCTTAACCATGCCACCGATGTCTTCCAGCTCGAAGTCTTTGACAAGAACGACCTGGAGCGGGGCATGCTCGGCGCGTGCCTCTTCCGCGTCAACGACTGGAAGGTCGGCCAGCTCTACGACCGATGGTACCCGCTCTACTACGGCACCATGTACGCGGGCGAGCTCCACATCGCCGTTCAACTCATTAGCCGGCCCGATCCACCGCGGCCCGCGCCTGCACCCGTCGCCGCGCCCGTGCCATCACCAGAGGTACCTCGCTTCGTGGCGCAGCCAGGTTACCCTGCGTACACAGCGCCCAGCTTTGAGACGCTCGTGTCTGGCAAGCCATCCCCGCCGCCATCGCCATCGCCGTCCCCAAGCCCGGCCTGCCCACCAGCGTCGCGCCATTGCGCGCAGCCGGGGTATCCTGGCTATCCTGGCGCGCTCACGCCCATGTTCCGTCAGTATGGCTATCGCAGTTTTTCGCTGCAACAACTGTAATCGAGTCGGATGCGTGGGTTGTTGTCGGGTTACGCAACCTTGCGCTCGATAAAGTCGTGCGGAGACCAGACAGGACACACTTCAAATCGCCGCGACTTGATGGGCTTGGCCGGTCGCTTGGGCCCCGGTGCCGGCGTCTTGGTGGCAGCGTCCAAGGACTTGTCCGATTCGGCCGCCTTGGGTAGTTTCGGTGTCTTGAGCACCTTCTTGGCCGCGCTTGTAGCGCTGGATGCAGTCGTCCCCGCCTTTTTCGTGAGCGGCGTCACATGGGGCGTGGCGCTGTGGCCGCTTTCCTTCCGGCCGAGCTTGACGAGATCCCGGACGACCGTCATGTCGATCGAGTTGGTAGGAAAGCAGCCGACCATCTACACGGCCGCCCGTTCAAAACGACACGTTTGACCACTCCACGGACCTTGGTGTACAGTCGATTCCGTTCCTTCGGGACGCTCAAAATGACCGTCTCGGCCTCGTCCAAATGCTTCTTGTCGTCTTGCTTGAGGAGCTGCCTACGCTGCGTGAGCGTGCCACGTATCGTCGTCGTATCTGTACCGGTATTCGTTTTCCTTGGTGACCCAGTCTTCCATCTTGGCGGCCGCACTGTACGTCGCAACTGCCAGCGCCATGTCTTTGAGCACATCTACCGCCATATTCAATCATCCTTTGTATCGACCATGGACCACTACATACCTTCTTTGAACCCATCGACCGACATGACATCGCTCTCTTCGGCGCGCACCTTGTGCGGCAGCACCTACGTCTCGTGAGCTGTCGTGGACGTCCTTATTCCACGTCGTACGAGCTTGGCCATGGCCAGAAACTGATCGTCGGCGTCGGCCTTGGCCTGCCGCGCATGGTCGCGCGCTTCGAGCCGGGCCATGTGCCCGCGCAGTGATGTTTTCGTGTACGGCAGAAATTGCATCAGACTCGTAATGTACCCGTTGACGCGCCAGCGCTGCGGATGGGCGTTCACGACGGTCCGGTCGACTTCTCGGAACCCGTCGTCGAAGGCTGGTGGCCATGCCTTTGTGGTCCCATGCTCGGCAAAATCTAGGTAGGTGGGACGACCATGAGCATATTTTGTTCCGAGCGGTCAATCGTACAGCTCGCGACAAACTCGCGAAACTTGGCGACGACAGCGTCCACGTCGGCGCCCGGCTGCCACTCGTCGCCCCAGTCATCCATTTCTTCTGCGTGCTTCTTGCTCTTCTTCCGGAGTGGCTCGTCGTCGTTGTCGACGTGGCGCGCGATCATCGGTGCCGCCGCCTTGGGCTCCTTGACCGTCTCGATGCGATCGCCCGCGTTCACAAAGAAGCCGCTGTGCTTGGTCTTGACCTGCGTCTTAAAGTACGTACTTTCGATCGACTCGTGCAGGTCCGCGTCGTCGATGAACGAGTCGTCCGAGTCGTACAGGTCGTCGTGGTCGACGTTCTTGCGCACGACCGTGTCCTTCATATCGAGCGGACCGCCACGGCCATAGCGCTGCTCGAGGTGCTCGATGATGTTGAACTTGCCGCGGCTCGGACGCGCGGGCACGAGCGGCGGCGTGGATGGCGGCCCGTCTTCGTGCGGCAGCGCAGGTGCGTCGAACGGCGCATCCTCGACCGGCGGCGCGTCCTCGGCTAGCGTGGCCTTGAGCGCCTTGAAGCTGATCTCGTTGGACGCGTCGAGGGACACGTGGAAGCGCAAGCGCATGCTGCTGCTGGAGCGCTGACCGACCAACGGACTTGGTCGTTTTTGTTTTCAGTGGAACCCGGAACTTCCCGGAGTTTTTCCGGACTTGGTGCTCCGAGATCCCCATGCAGCTCGATGGCGCGCCCGCATCGAATGATCGCAGGTCGCCCATGTTCTCGTCTCTTGGGCGATTCAAGGTCTGCATCCTTGTAGAAAACCGTGCTGGCGACAGCAACAATATCACGCAACTATCCAACTCTCCGGTGATGTACACTATTGTCCAGCATTGTCTCATTTCGGCAAATGACTATCGTTAACGCTACCGAGAAATGAATGGGCGAAGAGCGATCGTCTGCTCTGCAGAGAACGTCGCATTCGCTTGCAGCGTGCGCTGGAATTGGCCGCTCGAGCGCCGACTGGCTGCCACCGCTGCGACGACCTCGAACGCGTCCGAGCCGGAGGTGAGCAGCAGCAGATATGCCAGCCCAGCATCGTTGTTTGCGTCACCATCGCAACAGCAGCGTACCGCGAGGTCGACATAGGCGCGGTGCAGGGCTGGTGGCAGCGCGATCGTCCGCACTGCCCACAAGGCACATGGAAGCATACGGACGCCCTTTGGATGATGACTCAGAACTTGTAGCAGCGGCGGCACGTTGACGAGTGCTGCGCGAATGCCAGTGATGACATCCAATGGAAGGCGCAGTGCCAAGAGCGCGCGGACGTCCGGTGTAATCGCATGGGCGTGCAGCCACGCTTCGAGCTGGAGAGCGCCGACGAGCTTGCCTTCCGTTGGCGGCATGTATGGGTAGGCCACCGAGTTGCGTGCACCAGCCCACCAGCCATGCGCAATGTCGTAGAGCCACGAGGCGTGCTGCCAATCGTTGTCTTGCGTCAGATGCTCGAGGACTTGGTAGCGGAACCGCGCAGATGTGAACGCGCTGAGGTTGCGCAAGGGCGCTTCCATGGCCGCGCGGCCAAACCGGTCGACGGCCATCGCGACCACAGCCGCCATGTCGTCCTGCCCATCCCACTCGCGCTCGGACAGGAATTCACCCAAGAGCGCGGCGTCGCCGTAGTCGTAGAGGAGACACGCCATCTCCAAAAGCATCTCGTCCGTGCGTTCGTCTTGGCGCGGCCCCGGCGTGTCCGAGATGAAGAGGCGCGTCGCAGCCGCAAAGAGCGCAAGTCGCGAGCTGTACCCGAGGTTGTCGTGGTCGGTTTTATCAAACACGATGGAGCGCAGCAGACGCACCGTCTGCGGCAGACCCAGCAGCGTCAACCGGTGGGCCTTGGGCCAAAAGACGAGGCAGGCCAGGGTCGGGTCCATCTCGTGGAAAGCAGTCACATCGTCGTAGAGGTACGTGGACATGGAGCGCCATCGACAGGCCTCTTGCACGAGCGCTGGCGTTGCACATTGCGGATGGAACGTCGCGTTGAGGAGCGTAATCGGGTATGTCGGTGTCTCACATCCGTCCATCCAGACGTACGTGTGGTACTCGCCCACACGCATAAACGCTATATCAAAGCAGCCAGCGCGCAAAAGCCAGTCGACGATCGCCTTGTCGCGGCCGTCAAGTGTCTCGAACCGCGGTGCAGCGCAGGGGGTTTCCAGCACGACCTGCATTGCGCAGTAGTCTTCGTCGCCTTGATTGGCAATTGCTTGGTCTATCTGGGCGCGCGACGGCAGTGGCGGCGGCGCCCACACCATGGCAGTCTCGCACGTCAACTCGTGGTAGGTGACGTGGTAGACAAGTACCCCGCGGGTTCCAGAGACAATGGGTGCGACAGAGACAGTGCAGGTGTTAAAGTAGACCACATACTCTCCAAGGAGCGCGTCGTACGTCGTTGTTCGGTCGTCGAATGTGATGGTGACGGCGCCGCCAACGCAGTCGGACGGGCACATATACAGCAGCGTCGCAAACGTGCGTGGCGGGCCGTGCGGGGCCCGAAGCGCTGACGCCGACCCGACGCTGTCGATAGCCACATGCGCAAGCTCGACGTGGAATGGGTGTAAACCATCCAGCTTCAGTCGAGCGAGCACGTGACGCCACTCGTCTTGGTTGTCAAGATGGGCGCAGGACGTGATAGCGGCCGGCGGAAGCACGCGCAGCTGATCCGTCGCCATCAAGGCGGCAGCGTGCGCGGGTGCCAGCGGCCAGTCGACGTCGATACCGTGAATGGTCATGCGCAAGTCCGTGCCTTGGCTCTTGTGGCTAAAACAGTGAGGTAGCATGATCCCTTGGACAAAGGCAAAGAGGTCTGCATCGTCCGACATCGCCGCCAAAAGGGCAAAGTGGCAATCGACGAGCCCACAGCCCACTTGATTGGCCTCGTATCCGGATGTCCGGTAAACGGGACTGGCCAAGTCACACCCATGACACCCTGCATGACACCGGATGCGTCGTCCTCGAACGAAATCTCGACCGGCGACACCTTGGACGGCCCGAGGATTCGAAAGTCGTGAACCATCGTGTCCATGTTGTGCTGCTTGGGGTGCTCGACGATTTTCGTGTTATTACCGGTGACCCTCCCAGACCCGGTCGCCGTCGAGATACCAGTCAGAAAATGTGATCCCACCGCGACGTACACTGCGCATCCGCCGCTCGTGCATTACAGAATGTATAGTCGAGGGTACTACAGGGGTTATCGAGAAGTGCCCGCAGCCAACGGAGTGGCCGAGGGCTAACAGCCACCGAGTGGGTAGTCTACTGTGAGAGTGGAGAGCAGAGAGGTGTGTGCCTTGGGAATCCGGATTTCGTCGAGCTGTCAGTGCATTGCGCCGTAGATGTATTGTGTCCTAGCATTGGCGAAGGCCTCTCAGTTAAAGGTGATTGCTGACCTCGGCCTCGATGTCCCACCTCCTGCCTACTCGACGCGTGTGGATATAGCTGGTGCAGTGGCGCATGCACCTCGCTGGCAAAGTAACACCGCGACTAATTACGTCAATGTCATTCCTATGCGTACATTTATGAGGACCGCAAAAAACTACGGGCATGTTCGATATGCGTCGTGACAGCATATGCAAGGCTGCTAGCAAGACTGCTTTACATTGGTTAACGTCTAGGTCGCCCAGGGCTCGAAGCGCAGTGTCAACGGCTTGTTGGGCACGAGCAGTGTAGATAAGATAGGTTTCGGGTGCTCTTCCTCCGGGATCCACTGCATCTCCATGCGGCGGACAAGGTGTGCGAGAGCGAGGTAGATTTCGGTCTCGGCCAAGCGACGGCCAAGGCAACTGCGCGAGCCCATACCGAATGGCAGCGTCGAGTACGCCTTCTTCTTCCGCGCTGCCGTTGACGCATGGTCCCGGTCGAGCCAGCGCTCGGGCTTGAAGGTCTCTGGCTCGTCAAACACGGCCGGGTCGCGGCTCATAGTGTACGTCGCCATCATGACGCTGGTGCCTTTGGGGAGGTCGTAGCCGAGAAGCGTCATGTCCTGGGAGAGGAATCGGTGGTTTGGGTTCACCGCCGGGTACAAGCGGAGGGTTTCCTTGACAACTGCTCGAATGTACGAGAGCTTCTCGAGCGCGGCCGCGTCCAACTCGGTCGCGCCATCGAGCGCAGCGTCGACCTCGGCGCGGATTTTGCGTTGGATCTCGCGGCTGTTGGGCGACGTCGCAATGCAGTAGAGAGACCAGACCAGCGCAATCGACGTCGAGTCGATGCCACCGACGAGGACTTCGATCGCCTGCGTGACCGCTTCTTCCTCGTTGAGCTCGGGACGCTGAAGAAACATCGTGAGCAAGTCGGGTGCTGTGACCTCGGTCGACGCAAGCTTCTCGGCCATCCTTTCATGGCCAAAGCGAAAGATAGCATCGGCATATGCCACGTGCTCCTTATAGACCGGCATGAGCTTGTACACGAAATGCGGCATCTCCGGAGGCACCGCCATTAGCTTCTGAGAGGTCGCGAAGAAGCCGTCAACGACGTCAATCAACGCTTGGGCTGTTGGAGCGATCGGCGTCAAGTGGTCAGGCGACAAGCACCCGATGCGCTTTCCAAAGACTAGCGACGAGACGGCTTCGAGAGCATAGGCTTTGGTCAATAGCGGCATGGTCACATGGCCCGACGACGACGCAGTCGCTTGGGCACAGACCCGCGCGGCAAGGTCGTTTGCGACAGCGTCGATGCGCGGCACCCACGTGCTGACGTTGTGCGGCTGCAGCAGATGGGCGCTCAAGCTCGCCCGATACTTCTTCCACGAGGCGTACTCGTTGGTGTTGGCCAAGCCCACTGGCAACTTGCGTTCGTCCCGGTACAGCTTCCAAAAGCCAAAGGTCTGACGCTGCGGCATGGCGCCTTCGTGTCGGTAGATCTCGGCGACTGCGTCTTGGTCCGAGATACTCACCGTGTACGATTGGAACGGAAGGAAGCGGAGGCGGAAGATCGGCCCGAGCGACGCGTGGAGCTTGTGGAAGCGCTCAAAGAGCAGGCGGAACCCGTCGTTCTCGGCAAATGAGGCGTAGCTGCTGCGCAATGGCCCAAAGCCTGTCTCGGGCGCGACAGGGATGTCGTGGAGGCTCGGTCTGGCCTCGGCGGCGACGGCAGCCAACGTCGACGTGAGGCGTGTGCGGAGCATTGGAAAGTGTCAGTACAGCCGAGAAGGTTACAAATGATAGGAGGAGTGTGATCTGACAACTGAGTCGGATTCTGGTACGTGGACAAGCTCGCTGGAAGTTTTAGTACATGTTTGTTAGCACCAGTCGTCCAATCCTACCATGCTGCCCTTTTTAATACCGTTGAGAGAAGAGCCATCAAGAGCACAGGCGCGCTGTCTTGGTTGCAGGTCTGGTGGCAGGAATAACCCTAAAGATCTGCATCGTTGCCGTATAGGACGCGTTTTCATTGGCCAGCGTCGGTGAATCAGATTCCTTGAATCCTTCGATCTTTCGACGCCACAAGCGGTGTCTCTCTCCGTGCAGTGTACACTCATAAATGGAGTCCATGTCAGTTCATCATTATACTCCTAGTAGCCCTATCTGGTTGCTGAACACCCTAGTCGTCTAGGCGTGCGACCAGGTAGCAGTACCAGTAGATTTCGAAAGTAACAGAACTTCGTATAAGCTGCGAGTACCACTTGCATGGTATCTTCCACATTGCAGGTACGGTAGGTACAGCACTCGACATGCAGGAGCGCTCGCGGTGTGCTGTCCGTCGCACCGCCACAGCCTTGATGCGTTCATGCAATCGAAAAGGAATCGCCTTCATCGATCGCAGTGGACCTCGGTGATTGTCTTCATACCGTCGGTCAACGCTCTTGCGTGCGCTTGTGATTGATTCTCCTCGTGTCACTAGTCTACATAAAAGCAACGAAAAGTGGGCGCCAGCCAAGCCGAGAATGACCACGGGCTTTATGGCGACGATGTACTACCGGTATTATTGCCTGGCAACCGCCACGCATTTCGACAAGCTGCTTACAGTGGGGCTAGGGCTGCCGTCAACAGCGCCGTCAAAGCTCCTTGAAATGTGGCATACTTCTTGCGCGTTCGACCGTCGCATACATCGATGTGCCGGCCGTCAAAAGCACCAAGTAGGCAATGCCTGCGTCGTGCTCGGCGTCCAAGACGCAAAATCGGTCGACGGCGAGCGCCAGGTACGCGCAGGCGTCGGCGTTGATGGGAGCGCCCAAAGAGCAGCAGGAAGCGCTGTTGTGCCTCGCCGATGGCGGGCCATTGGGACGGTGTTGGTGCTGGAAGAAGGAGAGCACAGTGACCAGGATGGGTACCCGAATCGCCAAGTCGGCTTCTGGCATGACGAGGGTGTTGTCGAGCCAAGCCTCAAGGCGCATGCTATCAACACACACCAAGATTCCCCTGACAAGCACGGACGTATCGAGTGCGTAGCTTTGCTCTGACACCTTTTGAGCAAGCCCAACCACCACGCCAGCGCGATCATACGCACGTGATGACGCGCCTCCGGTCGTGCAAGAGCCGCAGAAGCACTTTGAGCCATGCTGGCCGTGTCGTGCGCGTGTCATCGAAGGACACGAAGTGACTGCGCCGACCGGTACCGCGTCGATTCTGCCGTCGCAATCCCATCGGCCATGGCGTCAAGTTGCCGCCAGTGACGACACTTCATGCATGTGTCGAGGAGCCATGGGTATGAGCACCAACGCCAGGACCAAGAAAAGGTTGTCAGACGGAAGACCAGGTTCGTGCATGTCGGAGAGCAAGTAGCGCGTCGCGGTGTCGAGCCATTCCCGAGGTCGTCGTCGACATCACCACGCACCGTACATCAAGCAAGCGTAGAGTGCGATCGATACCGAGAATCTGGACGTGTTGCGCCATCTAGTAGTAGAGAGACCCAACAACTGAGACCATCTTGACAATTATGAACGGCCATCAAGAGCAACATTCCTCGAAACGTGAATGATTGTATTTTGCATGCAGCCTCCGAGCCGTGGATGCGGGGAAGGCTGGACTGAATATTGATGAAAGAGAGTAGTATTGCTTGGACGAGGAGTTGCTAGAGCCACTCAAGGCGCTAACGTGACGGAATGGAGTCGCGGCCTTCTCGAGTGGCTTTGCGGATCGGGAAGTGTCTCATCTATAAAAGGCAACTCGCTGGATCCAGTGCCAAAAGATGCATCCAGAGCCTCGTACCGGACCCAAGCATACATTGCCTTGCGACATATTGTTGGCATGCTCTTGTTCATATTACAAGAGCAGTCGTACGACAGTGAAGAGGCCACTTGATCTATAGACGTAGTAGACACGACGACAACGCGGCTTCAAGTACAGGGACCATCGACACGGCAACACGCGCTTTCAACTGAGATAATGGACCGTCGATCAATACAAAGCGTTGAGAAATTACAAGGGGACATAAAATGCAAATTGGACTTCAGATAATTTTCGCTAAAGTTAGCCCACAAGGCGGTGCTTGTGTTTTGAAACGAACGCGGCGCCGATGGAGTCGACCAACAACGGTGTGCGCGCTTCTCCGTCGTGGCGGCTGAGGCCCACTTCGTAGATGGTGCGTCTAGCGCCAACCCGTTCACGCTGCCGTCCGACGAGGAGGTTTTCCGCATGCGCGACGACGTCAAGCGCCGCAAGGACGAAGACCGCGAGCGCAACGCGCGGCTCAAGATCCACGAGAAGCTCACCAACTCGTCCAAGCGCGGCAACATTCGTCGGTTCAAATTTGACGACAGCGTCCGTCCACGTGCTTTCTACGTGTGCACCAAGTGTCGTGTAGGCGCCAGACATGGTCAATGTCGCCCAGTCCAAGCAGACGCGGGGGCTCGTCGCCGCCGCCACCGCCACCATCTCGAGTGACCGCCGCCGCGAGAAGGAAAACATGGCCGACTTTATTGCGAAGAAGCGCGAAATGTTCCTCGTCCAGGTCGCGTCCCGTCGACGGCGCGATCGCTCGCTCATGGCCAACTAGATGTCGCTCGACACCAAGCGCGAAGAGATTCGGAAACTCGAGGAGAAGGCGCAGCTCAAAGAAGAGGCGCTCAAGAAGAGCGAGCTCATGCTCGAGGAAGACGCGGTGCGCTTCGACACGTTTCTCAAAGAGAACGACAAGAAAGCGCACGAAGCCATCAAGAAGGCCGAGAAGGAAACGAAAGCCAAGGCCGACCGCGTCCAGGAAATCAAGAAGCTCAACCAGCAGATCCAGCTCGTGCAGAGCGACATGTCCAAGCTCAAGGAGCAGCTCGACGACTGCCTGAAATACAAGGCGTTTCTCGACGAGCTCACGCCGCCCGAGTGGGAGGCCGAGCAAATGGAGCGAAAGAAGAAGCGGCAGCAAGACCGCCTTCGGAAGAAGAAGGCCAAGGCCATGGCCGAATGGGAAGCGATTCGTACGCGAGCGCTCGCCGAGCAAGAGGAGCGGGACCGCGCAGCCGAGCGGGTCGCTGAGAAGGACGGCAAGACCAAGAAAAAAGCCGAAAAATTAAAGCCCGCGGTTGCATCCAGCACCGTGCCGCCGATGCCCGCGGTCGACGACATGGTGGCTACGAGCAGCGGCGAAGAGCTGCCCATGTACTTTCAAAACCCGCAGCAGCTGCTCGACATCTTTACAGCGCTCGAAGAGAGCAATTTGTTTCTAATTCAAAACAGCCAAGAGACCGAGCAGTCGCTCGAGGAGCTCAAGCAAAACTACCGCGAGACCAAGAAGAAGATGAACAAGAAGACGCAAGTGCTCAAACAAAACATTGACGAGCTCCGCGACCAAATCAACGCCGAGGACGAGAAGGCCAACCACCTCCGGCAGCGTGCGATGGCCGGCACGGGCGAGAATGTCCAAGAACGCATGCTCCAAGAGCTCCACGACAAGGTCCTCGAAGTGTACCAGCGCTGCGGGTTCGAAGCCGACTCGAACCCGAACACGCTCTTTATGCTCACGGACCTCGAGGCGCGGCTCGAGGATTTGCTCAGCGCCATCGAGCACATGCCCGAAGACTACGTGGTCAAAGCTGAGAAAGAAAAAGAAAAGGAGCGCCGCGAGCGCGTCCGTCAGGAGCGCATTGCGCAGCAGACCAAGATGTACGAAGAGCGCATGAAGAAATCCATGGAGCGCAGCATGCAAGCACCCAAGAAGCGCAAGGGCCGCCAAGTCATGTGGCGGTCGCAACCGCAGCGGCAGATCAAGCAGCAAGACAACGACAACCACGTCAACGACGACGACCAAGCCGACCAGCAACACTTTCGGTGGTGAACTCTGTTGATAACCTATTGTCCCCTCTCTTTTTCCGAGTCGTTCTACAAACCTACTACCAAGGCCATCAACCTGACAGTGCATGCCCTTGCTACTACAGTACTCTCCCCATAAGCTAGCCAGCCAGCCACCAGAAAATCGATGTTGGCGGTCGTGGATTGGCGGTCGGGGAGTCCCGGTCGACCGCTTCTGGAGCCTGGTATGCGTCACCATGTACAGTAACACAGAAGTGTTTAATAGTGATTTGACTCACGTAGGTGGTGGAAGGGAAAATGCACTCGACTTCTGTCGACGCGTCGGTGTTGCCGCCATCGTACCGGTACACAAGATGGCGGCACCAAGATGGCAAGGCGACGCTGGGCCGTCCACGTGCGCGTGTCACGAATGTGTCTCGTCGACCTGACGCCCCAAATTAGCACTTGTGAAAATGGCCCCAACGTTCCGCGACGACATTCGCAACGTCGGGGGGCGCGATCGCATCTATGACGAGAAGGTCAACCACCAGCTCAAGCTCATGAGCATCAACCCCGCGGCGGGTACACACCTTATCCCTTCCGTCGTCGGTAGAGGCTAAAGCGGGCTATAGGCAGCACGACGACGCGACCACCGCTCTCACCCCTCGCGCGTCTCCGTGCGCCACGTGCGTCTTTGAATAGTCTCACCATCTACATAGGGACCCAACGCCGCCCCTTGCCGCCGCGCAATACGACACCGACCGCCTTGTAGACACCCCCTTGCATGAAAAGTCTGGCAATACGTTCTGATAGCGCAAAACGACTGAGTCGGAATCGCAAGTCCCAAGAACGCCACGAGACGCGGGAACACCTTCAGAACATCCACTTTATGATGAAGAAGATCTTACGCTACGACGCAGTAGCTGCCATCGTTGCATCTCCAAACTAGCTACACGATTTTGCCCTCGTAGAAGAAGCCCGTGGTTGCAGCGAGCCCGCGGCCCCCCAAGGCGCCCGACGAACTCGCCCTCGTGTGGCGCAATGGCTTTAGTCTGCCCGTACGATCCTCCCAGCAGCCGACGCGGTGGCAACAAATGGTATATTTAGGACTCGGTGGCCCCCGCCGTCGTCATGGAGGCCCAGCGCCGTCTCCATGTTACCAAGCAGTAGGGTGGCGCGTCGATGGAAAGGCACGACGTTACCCGTAGAGTGCACATTGAGCCAACACACGTCAATGTCGGCGTCATCGCCCAGTCCCCGCGCCCCCAGTCGAGCCCTGGTATGCGGTCGTCGAGCCACCTCCACCTCGTAGCGCGCAATGGTGTCGCGCGCCCGATGATGCTCATGCAATGAACTAGCTCGTCCCTGCGCTGCAAGCCTACATGACCCGCCATCAACTGCATGTGCTGGGGCTCTTCGGAACGGAGAATGCCAGCGGCGACGGTGCTGTGAGCGCGTACAACCTGCGACAAGTACTCTTCGGCTTGGGGCTTGGCTGGTCCCAAACCGATGTCCGAGAGCGATCGTCTCGTTGCGTCCATCGATCTCACGCGCATCTTGTAGATCACCGTGCTCATCCGCGCCTTGGATCCTGCCGAGGAAGGTCGTATTTTACCAGCGACGATGGAGGCGCTTTTGCGTCGCTTTCGTCGACCGATCCCAGAGGCGACGCCGCCCAGCACGCATCGCCAGCAGTGCGGCTTCGCGGATAGCACGACGCGTGCTCATGTGCATACCTGTAGGGGTAGCTCGTCGGCGTCCTTGCTTGGTCGGCGCTTTTTAATGCCCACGCCGCCGCCGCGCCTGCCGTCGTCATAAGGAGTTCATGTCGTCGCCCGACTTGCAAACAAACTAAATACAAAGTCGACGTGTTGAATTATTGCATTTAGCCGGACGCCGTGGCTTGGCTCGCTTGCAGAAAGTTGGTCAGGACAGAAACGATGGTCGCGGCGTCCGGGCGCACGGACGCCTCCTTGTCCCAGCAGCTGGTGATGAGGTCCTTGAGCGGCTACGTTGTCGAGGTTGTATGTGTACAAGACGCAAGGATGCGCTACCGTCGGGATGTTGGCCGACATGGTCGGTCGCTTGTTTTCTTGGATGACGGCCATGGCGACAAGTGCCGCCGGCGTGTCTGCGAACGGGACCGACGCCTCGCAGATCTCCCACATGACGATGCCAAAGCTGTAAATGTCGGCGCTCACAGAGTACGTCTGCGACACAATAACCTCGCTACAATCCATTGTTGAGTGCTCGAACCGCTGGCAACACGCATCGTACGGGGCCATCCACTGGTACGTGCCGCAACAGCGCGTCATAAATTCGTTCTCGAGCGCTACCTTGGCGATGCCAAAGTCTATGTACGCTGAGATCCAAGAAAGGGCGGGAAGCACGTGCCTGCGAGCTTGACCCGCCCTTCGTCCGTGATGAGGAGGTTCCTACGAGGGGATACAGGATTAAAAAACACGGCATGCTACGCAGAGTGTCGTACAGAGACTTGAGGTCGCGGTGCACAATGTTGAACGAATGCAGAAATTGGAGGCCGCGCGCCACGTCCATCTAGTGTACGCGTGCAGTATCTTGACGACGATGTTGTTGCTCGCACGATCATCTGCAGCCGCTTTTGCCACGTGTTGGGGAACGGTGGAATTTTCTTGGTCGGGTCTTGGGACCCGTTGATTTGCTCGCTACGGAGCGCCATTCGGAGACGCCGATGCCAAGAGACGACGTACAAGAGCGAGAACGGAAGGTACTCAAAGATGATACTACGCGGCGTCGTGCACACGGCGAGCAGCAGTACGATGCACGGGTGGCACCCGAGGTGCGTCATCATGGTCACTTCATGCTTGAACTCCTTGTTGACTTGTTCGGCGTTCAGCGACGAAAACCTACTCGATGCCCTCTTTTCTATCAATGTATCAAGAGCGCGGCACTACTTTTTAATGGCCACTTCAGTGCCCCGCCACATGGCCTTGTACACCTTGCAGCTACACCTCGCGGTCAATTGCCCGTGTCCGTTGCGATCGCCGCAACGTGTACCTGGAGCCGACACCGATGCATTTCTCCAGTTTGACGTCCTGTGGTTCTGGTGAGTCGTGGAAAGGTCTCACGACTTGCGCACCTCGATTTTGATTTCTCGCAACGTTGTCTCGTCGGTCTTGGGTGCGGGCGCCTTGGCAGCTACCGCGGCTTCGGACTTGGCGACAGTCGCTTCGTCGCTCTTGCCTACGCCGCCATCATCCTTGACAACAAGCCAGCATTGACCAGCACGTACTGTCAACGTGGAGCACTAGCGTCTCGGGAAAGTGTGAGAGCGCGGCGCGCAGCTCCTACACGATCGCTGCAGCCAAGCGGAGCCAGTAGTACCTCGTCCGACGAGAGCAAGCACTTGTCGCCGTCGCTACGACGACCTCGTCGATAAGAAATGATGGGGCCATGGATCTACCTGTCGTGGTACAAAAGCGTCAGGGTCGTGCTCGACGGGATCTGGAAGAGGCGGCGGATCGACTCCTGAAGCTGCGCAAAGCTCAGACTTCGGTCGAAAGCAAACCGGCGCGCCTCTCCGTTCCACTTGCACTTGATATAACACTCGTTGCTGCGATACCCGTTCTCGAACGACGGGGTCCGCGGCGACAACGTGCTTCCGCGCGGACTCAGTCGACCTGGTGGCGCATGCGGCAGGTCGAGCAGATCTTGCGTCGGCACGGCGCGAGCGTCCAGCAGCGGCGCCGGCAGGCTCGACGGCGGTGGGCTGTGTCGTTTCTGCGACGTGTGCGGAGACTGCGTCGGGCGTTCGGCCGTGCCGAACGGGTTGGTCTTCTTCTGCTCGGGCGGTGCATATAGGTCGGGGAAGAGGAGGAGATCTGCATTGGCAGGTGCCGCCTCCTTGGACGAATGCTCTAGCCACGGACCGTGAGACCGTGGTGGGACCATAGCAGCATGCCTACCTTTGTGTAGCTCGGTTGGCGGCGTTCGCGTCGAGTGTTCCGGCCCCATGTGCAGCGGAAACACCTTTTGCTGCTCGGCGATGAAGCTCGTCGTGGGAATCTTATCGGGCGCCTCGAGCGCTTTGCAGAGGTCTTCGGCAAAGTTGACGAGCGAGTAGTCGGTCGGCCATCCATTCTGGAGCCATGGTAGAACAAAGGTCGCGCCTTGCTTGAGCTCCACCGGTACATTCTACACAGCGGTGGTCAGTAGAAATCGCGCGGCGCGTCGACAACGTACTTCACCGCCCGTGACACACGAGATGTCGGGCGACTGCGCAGGGTACGCCTTTGGTATCCGCACCGCGATGCTAAACTTGCCGCGGTCCATCGACATCGACGAGAGCGACATGTTAGCAATCGACGTCGTCATGGCCGAGATGGGCCAGCCCTACACCGCCGTATCGTCGTCTTGTCCTGCCACGTCATATATTTTGAGCATGCACGCACCTCTTGGTACTCCTTTGTGAGCACTTGGAGCTGCAAGCACACGGCGTAGTCCGACTCTGGCATCGCCTTGGCGAAGTCGACCCTACCATGCGCCATGAGCGCGGCCATGGACATGTCGGCGCATGCGCACTTGTTGATGCGTGGCACGAGCTTCTGCTGCTTGCGGTTCTGGGCAAAGTGCAGGAAATCATTGATGTCCTGCTGCAGCGCCTAGAGCCGGCGATGAGCCTTCGTCGGCGGCAGCAGCTACCAGAGGCAGGTCGTCCAGCCCCTGCGTCTTGCCCACGATGGACCCCGACGGCTTCCACATCGACGCCGACTGCTGAGCTCGAAACTACCGCTGCCACAAGATCCGGAAACCGTTTCGTATCCGGCGCCCGCGTAACCGGAAGATCTCGATTCCGCCATGCCCCCGAAGAAGCCGGCGCCGGCGAGCGCCGCCAAGCCCCGCGACGACGAGGGAAGCTGCCCCGTCATGACGGCCAGCGAGCGCGAGGTAGATGGCGCTGCATGAGGACGAGGGGCTCATGCATGGAGCAGCGGCTGCCCCCGCGGAACGTCCCCGAGAACGTCCACGCGCTCGCGACCCTTCTCGACGTGCCCAAGGTCGGCTTCCTCGAGTGGACCGACAACCTCGGTACGTCGGGCTCCATGCGCTGCGAGCTCCATGGTCATGACGTGTAGAGATGGAGAACTGGTACTCGCCGGCGAACCTGTATGAAGACCCGATGGGTCTACCGCCGTTGCCTCCCCACATTGATGTACGTCGACCTCGGATGGATGCTCCATGAGCTCATGCATGCGTAGACGTCGTCTTTGGTCTGGAAGCGACCGTCGCAGTACTTGCCTCCATTGCCCGAGCCGCCCAAGCAGGTGGCCAAGGCCGCCGCCTCGGACCCGAAATCCAGCGGCAAAAAGTCGGCGCAGGCCAAGAAAGTCGACGACAAGGTCTTGCTTGACGATGCCAAAGTCCCTCGCTACTGCTACGTGCGCTCACGCCATTCTGCACCAGCCTCATGAAGCTTCTTTAGGTGCTCTACGACCCGCTTCTGGACGTGACGCTGGCCAAGCCAGGGGACGTGTCGGGCACATCGACCCCCGCAGGCTTTCGCGCCGAGCGCGAGTGGAAAAATGACTTTCAGCGACTTTGGAGTGCGGAGCAAGCGCACGATATCAGTCGGTGCGAACCGGTGGACGATCGAGCTGGCGCTAAAGGCCGTGGCTAGCTGGGAAGCGGAAGAAGCACGCATCGTGGCCGACCACGAGCTGCGCGAGCGCCTCTCGATGGATTACGAAGAGAACTGGCAAATCAAGTACCTCAAGGTGCTCGCCGTGCAAAAACAAGCCGCCGACGCCGACTTGAACGACGACGACATCATGGACGACGGCGACGACGGCGATGCCGCCGTGTTTGAAGCTTCGGCCTCTCCGTCACCCATGTCGATCGTCGATCTCTTTGGTTGGTAGCTCCTTGCGACGTCATCGATGGGTACCATCCATACACATACGTAGGACCACCCCCGAGCATGGACATTGAACCCAACCGCGCGGTGCGACCTATCGTACCCGAAGGCGAGTACGTCGACCCGCCTCTTGCATCGTGCTGTCGCGTCATCAACAACCTCATGGATCGTCTTGTGGCCAACCAGCCGTATTACTGGGAACACATTTACCCGCAAACAGTCGTTGGTGGGAGAAAGTTGCCTGTGGCCAACCCCGGCGGGAAGTACCTCGTCAAGCTCTACGTCCTTGGAAAGTGGCGGCGTATTGAAGTCGACGACCGCCTTCCTCTCGATAAGAACGGCAAGGTCCTAGTTCTCAGCAGTACACTTTCCACCGAGATTTGGCCATCTCTCCTTGCCAAGGCGATTTACAAGGTCTTTGCGTGGCTCGGTCACCTCTCAAATATGAACAGCCCGGCCACGACGACGTTCTCCCTCGGCTTTATTCTCAACACGCTCACAACGTGGAAGTCGCGCCCGTACGTGACGCTCTCGGATGCCAAGGCCCAAGAGGAACTCGCCAAAGTATGTATTACTCCATGCTCTACCACCCAATTCGGACGCTTCTACACACCGTTGTCGTAGGTGACACCATTGCTCGATGCAGCCTTGAACGTCGAGGTGCAACCCTCGCTCAGTCTGTCGGTGCGCCCGGATTCCGACGAATTGTGGTTCAACTTGCTTTTGGGATAGAACGTGGTGCTGCTTTGCCCGTTGGCGCCGGTAATGACGCGCAGCTTCAACGCCGTGTGTGGCGAAGCGTTCGTTTTGGCGAGTATTCGATGGATCCACCCGTCGTACTCGGTCTACATCTACTCGTCGCGGCTCGACGCAGCTCCGGACGAGACCATGGGGTTCACGCCCGAGACACTCGAGTACCACAAAATGACGTCCATGATTCTACACACGATACCGACGCACACGCTGCAACTCGTGCAGGAATGGTGTGGCACACATCGCTCCGTATATAGCCACCAAAGTGCTTACATGTCGTGTTACATTAGGCGACAAGTCGTATCACCGACTGACGTGACCGTGTCTACATGGACGCCGTTTCCGCACGACTTGCCCCACTTTCTCATTGTCAACGTGCCTGGCGATGTGGTCGCAACGACGCTGTACGTGACACTGCAGACGGCACCGGTCGTTGACCCGTCGGTCACGGACCGGGGTTTGCTGCTCTTGGAAGACCCACAACTGAGCGTGTCCAAGCGCGACGACTGCAACAGAACAGTTCCGTTCTTCAAGCCGTTTGTCTCGTTGCCCTTTGACGTCCACGGGCCGGGTGCACACGTCTTTCGATTGTACCCGCAAAATCTGGGCGCCGGGTACAGCCTCGAGATTGAAAGCGACGTTGCCATCGCCCTCCAGAGCATGCCCGAGTGTGTCACGACGACATGCAGCATGCACACCGAGGTCTTTAATGGCGAGTACATTGCGATGCCCGCGAACGCATGGCACATTGTGCACAAGTCGACGATCACTGTCGCGCCCAGCACATCCACCCATCGCCGGCTTATCGTTCACGTGCATCTCATGGACGAAGCGGCCGGTGCGTTCTTCCACTTGCACATTGTCAACAACACGACGCGAGACGTGACCCGATACCATTTGCTCGAGGCGCACATCGACCTGGGCGACGATGCGCAGGCGTACACGATCTTGCTCGAGTGCTTCGCCAAGCGCGCCGTGCCACCGGCCAAGTATACGATCTTGGTGGCGTCTGACGGACCGCTATCGAGTGGGCCTCTCGTAAACGCACCCCTCGCGCTCTCGATGTTTGCCGGTGTTTACACGCCCAACAAGTACCACACCCTCTTTCGCGACGTGTTCGTACTGCACGGCGCCGACGAGGCGAAAAAGGGCGCCGCGCGGATCGCTGTGGATGCGTGCTTTAAACTGTGCACGTCGGTGTCGAATGCTGCGCTCAAGCTTGAAATCTTCGATGCTGCGTCGGGTGCATCGCTAGCAAAGGCATGCGACTACGACTGCGTGCAGCTCATGCAGCTCCCGCCGCATGCCGACGGGTACATTGTCGAAGGTAGTTTTGACACGGCAAAGTGGCTCGCTCCTGACGAGCTCCAGTCCGTCAAGCCATTCGTGGACCTTGGCAAGGCGCCCGAGCCAACGGCCTCAAACACGGCACGCTGGTCCCTCGAAGTGTTTGCATCGGGCCCCGCGTCTCTCACACCCGACTGCACGATGCTCAACAAGCACGCAGCGATTCGGTTTGGGTGGGAGCAAGCCGAGCGCGGGCGCGAGGTCCGTGGCGTAATCAGTCGTCTCTTGTACCTCGGGAAGCAAGACGAGGCGATCGCAAAGATGAACGAAGCCGAGTATACGCCCGAGCAGCAAAAGCAAATGCTTGGGCGCTACGAGATCACGAGTACCAGCTCCGTCGAAGTCATCCCTTCGTCCGGCCACGATCGATTCTTGACGCGCGAAGAGTGGATGGCCGAGGCCGCGGCTCGCCAAGTCGAGATCGAGTTGCTCCGTGCCCAAGTCGAGGGTGGCATCAAGGCACGAGCGGAGGCTAGTGTGCAGCGCAAGGCCGAGATCGATGCAATGAAGAAGGACATTGTGGACTTGCGCCAAGCATGGCTTGTCGAACGAGAACGGCTCTGGAACCAACGCGAGGCGCTGCGTAAAGAGCAGCCCAATCCAACGCCCGTGGCCAACTTCCCATAGTCGACGACCATACAATTTACATTCTTGTACAAATTCAGAGGTCGGTTATTCGTTCAAGAGGTCGTGCATCTTTTCCAGCAGCTCCTTGGACTCCCCGTGGAGATCGCTCTCACATTCGTGGAGAAGCGCTATCGAGTGGTCCATGACGCGAAGCGTTTGCAAGCCGGTGTACCGCGGAGGGGTTTCTTGCACTTGTCGATGAAGCCAGCGTCGTGCGGCTCGAGCGTCCAGTCGAGCGGTCCCCAGCTCGCGGCGGCAAGCTCCTTCTCTAGGTTGCTGATCTCGGGGGCATCCAGCAGCGCAGACACGTGAGCTCGACCAATCTACGGACGCCAGTTCAAAGGATGCGATCGAAGGGTCGCGCGGTGTACGTGACGTAGGGCGAGGGCTTCCCCGTCGAGGAATTCCAGCTTTGGGAAAGCTTGCTGGAGTGTCCCGTGGTACGCCTCGTCGTTGTCTGCTGTATCGCTAGTTGAGCTGTAATTCCTCAACGCATTTGTTCGTACCGCTTAAACTGCCTTTGGCGACTGCACGCGATCGCACAAAGAGGCGGCGCAGCTGCGGAACTTTTTTTGGAGGGCTGCCCAGTCCACATTATGCGTGAGTGGATTGCCCTAACACGATATGATTTCAATGGGCTTGCGGCAACGATCTGTGGCAACGTCAAGACGTAGCTCTTCGAGTTCGGGCAGCAGCGGAAAAGGCTCTACGATCCATGTGACGACGCTTTCGCCTGCAAAGCAAATAACCGATCGACGAGAGGGCGTTCTGGGAGAGGTCGAGGCTGCGGAGAGTCGAGAGCGATGGAAGCCCCCGAACGCTCGAAATCTAAAACACTGAGATCCACGCTGTCCATCGCAGCGATAGACCTGGTTTTGTGACAAGTTGAGCTCGACGAGCGCCGAACAGCCTGCGAGGTTGCTGATCGTACTAAGGCCAGCTTTGGCGAGGTTGAGGCGCTGCACACACGCGACATCAAAGTGGTTGCTCCGACGCTTGATCAAGTCTTCCGTGATCTCCATGAGCGTTTCAATTGACAACGAATTGTCGAGTGCACTAAACTAGGTTCCTGGGGAGTGGGCTAGTAGGAAACCTCTTTATGAGGCGAGGTAAAGCAGGAAGAGGTGGTGCCGCGAACTCTTCCTGCTTTACACGCGGTAGTAGCTTCCACCGCCTCTATCGTGCTCAATGTCGTTGTCATGGACGTTGAGGGCACGAAGTACGTTGACAATGACATTGAGCACAATGAAGGCGGTACCGCGTCTGCTTTGCAACGCCCACGCCGGCGGTTGCGGCCCACAACTTCAACCGCTGTCATGGACGTGTCCATGACAGCCACCCAGAGTGCTGCCCCCACACCGTCGTTCGACCGCGTCGCTTCAAGGTCGTTCGGTTGCTCCATGGTAGCCAATTGCAATCTGTGCTTGACGATCGCCACGTTTCATTTATTTTTTTCGAAGCGAAAGGGCGGCAAGCGTGGCAAAGGGCTCTTGCGTGGTTGGTCGTCGCACCGTTGGTTGACCGTACGACCGTTGGCGCCTCGTCCTACGACGCAACCAGAAGCAAACAAGCAGCCATCTCAACGACGCAACGACACACGGAATCGCTGTTCCTCTTGTGAACGACAAACGTCTCCTAGTCCTATGAGATATGAATGACCTCTGGGATTACAACCGCAAGAAGGAGAGTGCGGTTGAAGTCGTGGGCCGCAACCGCCGGCGTGGGCGTTGCGAAGCAGATGCGGTATTAACTTGCCTTACAAAGACGTTTCCTACCAGCCCACTCCGCAGGACCTAGTTTTAGTTTTTCCGAGTGCACTCGACAATTGGTTCCAAATTGAAACACTCGTGGGGATCACGAAAGATTTGATCAAGCGTCGGAGCCTATTCCGACGCGTGGTTGGGTCGACTCCGTCCATAAAATATCTGTCCCTCGGCCTTTTCAAACATGTAGTAGCAGACTCGTACCGGTCGCTTAAACATACTACTACCACGTATATATATGAATGTACGGGGCGTCGGACTAGGTACACGATGGGTTCTCGCACCCCAGCACAATGTTGATGTTGCCGTGCTGACTGCGAATGTAAATGTCGCCTCGGTAGTTGCAACTCGTGCCGCAATTGATAAAGCCATTGGCTTCCCTCGGGTCTTGCGCCTATATAATGGTTCAAGCACGGCCCAGGGAATAAGCTCGCTGTACTGGCAGTGCGGTAACCGTATCGTAAGAAAAGTTGCTTTTCTGCACCGTGATCGAGCCAAACTCGGACCGCGCATAGTAGAAACCCACGAACGATGTGCTCTAGCACAACATTCATCAACTGCCATCCTCGCCGTGCGCCCATCGCACCTGGAGATGCAGGTAAATGTCGCCCGAGTTGGACTCGATGTGCACGTAGCCGTCGACGGCGGTATTGTGCATCCGCACAGCGCCGCCGATCGTGACGACATCGATGCGACCGGGGAAGATCCCGTTGTCCTAGGTCCACGTTGGGCTCTAGCCTTGCGAGATCGCAGGGTACCGTGGCCGTCAATGCTTCGGTTTGAATGCCCCCCGAGGTGGACTGGAGTTCGATGCGATCGGTCGTGACGTCACTTAAGAGAAGCGAGCCCGATTGCGTCGAGAGCGTCATCGAGCTGTAGCCGCGCGTCACTTGCCTACGCCGTGTGAGGCTTTTTGTGGATGACGACAACTCGTACGAGGTGACTTGGGCGACGACGATGGGGCTGGCGTCCGTGGTGATCACGAGCGGGCTGTCGGTCAACGACGAGTTGAACAACGACACACTGCCGAGCGTTGACGCCAACATCGTGTTTTGCCGGCCGCCACTTGCACCTACGGAACGTGCGTCATCGTTAAAACAATTTTCTGTGGCACAAAAGGTACCCGTCGCGTTGACGTAGATCGTGCTGATATTGAGCTCGCCCGAGTTCGATCGCATCGCCAGCGCTTGCGTGCCAAGGAATGCACCGACAACGTTGACGTTGGCCTGGTCCGTTGACACATTGATACCAACGAGCATTGTGGAGGAAATGTCCTGTTTCCCATGGGCTTGAACTCTGCCGTATCAACTTGATGGGTTACCTCGGAGGGCGAGAGGAGGTTGATGTTTACTTCGGCCATGGACGACGTCAGCTGCAGCAAGGGTGCGGCCGTCGTATTCGGCAACACCAATTCAAGCACCGCCAGCTACGGGAACCATCGAGAGGCGTGTGGAGCATGCGCGTCTACCTGACACGACGTGTCGACGCCGAGAAAGTACGAGCTGCTCAAGGGCGACGCGGCAAAGGCGCTCGTCTTCTTGTTGGATGTCGCCACTCTTGTAAACGTCGCCGTCGCCAAGTACTTTGTCTACGCACAACAGCAATTCTGTCAATACCAGTCTGCGCGTCAAGCAGCTTCAACGCTAATGGCATTTTGCTGGCACGTGACGTGGCCGACCGAGCCGTTGCTGCCTTGCGACACGACGAGGGCGCCCGCGCTAAACGAATGCGAGAGCGCGACGGTGGTCGCGTTCGGGTCGAGTGGCAGAGTCGTTGCGTTCTGCGCTCTGCTGAGCCGCGCGCACTGCGTCGCAAAGACGACCGTGAGCGTCATGAGCACCGTGATGATGAGGAACGTCAGCATCGCCAACGCGCACGAGAGGCGCATGAAGAGCCGCTGCGACTTTTTCGAGGCCTTAAACAAGCGGTGCCACTACATACATATATAGATTCGGTGTGCAGATTCGCTGACGACAACGTACGTCGCGGCGGGCCACAAACTCGGGGTGCAGATTCGGGTCGAGCTGACAGCGCTTGTCTTGGGCGTGGCGGCGCTTGACGACGTGCGTGATGTCGTTGAGCGTGATGGCCGAGAGCGCTTGCAGCATGAGGAATGCGCCCGAGACGATCGCCATGTAGGCGACGCCGCGCAAGTTGCGCTACGCGACTCGTTGTGACCTCCAAGGACCTCGGGGGTTGTACCTGCACAAAGAGCAAAAACTGGCCTTGGTCGTACCGCGCTTGCAGCGTCGGTGGTAAGACGACGCGGATCGTGGGCCACGCTTCGACGATGCTGCGCTCGATGCTGGTCGTGACCGCGAGCGACGCAATCGCACTCGCCAGCAGAAAGATCGCGAGGATGAACGCAAACCAGCTAAACGTATTGAGGAGCCGTCGGTACTCGAACGCCGAGCCAATAAAGGCCATGAGCGCCAACACCAGCACGAGGATGCCGCAGAGAAACGTAAAGATGCCTGCGCACATAGAGGCCATGACGAGACCGCCGCGTGGAGATAGGGACACAGACCTGTAAAGGGCGACGACGCGAGGGTGCGCGACGAGATGATGTACTGACCGCCCGCCACGAGGATGAACGAGAACGGAATCATGCCCATCCCAAAGGCCTGTGCATCGGCGAGTCAGAAAATGCATCGCGGTCGAGAAAGCACCTGTAAAAACGTGACGGCCGACCGCTACAACCGAGAGGGGCGCATGAAACCTTTGACAAGAGACGGAAGCCTACCTTTTCGCCAAGAGCAAAGTGCAGCTTCCGCACCACGTACGCCGACGTGACGGCGACGCAGAGAAGGACAACGCCCGTGGCAATCAAGTAGGCGCGTTCGCGGCTCACTTTCTACAAGAAGAAATCGAATCCTGCAATCGTCAAGACGCGGTCGTACATCGGCGAGCGTCTGCTGGAAGAGCACGCTCTGCGCATAGAGGCCGTCCGTGTAGCCTGCGAGCTCGGGCGCGACGAAGGGAAGGTACAAGATGGCCATCCCACCCGTGCAAATGACGCCATAGCAGGCAGCGATGCTAAAGAGCATGGCCAGCACGAGCGACGGCGTCGTCTTGACCATGCCCTAGACACAAGCATGGTGCATGCTCGTAGTATCCATGGGCGTACCAAGGCGGCGCCTAGCACCGAGAGCACGCAGAGTGCGCCTGATAGCGCGAAGAGCGTCGAGAAGACTTCGGAGCGCTGCGCAAAGACAAAGCTCATGGGCGCGCCCGCGAGCGAGAGGCCAAAGTTAACGATGCACGCGCGCTGGACGCCGGGCGTCGCCGTCGAGATGCGAGGCAGCGTCGTCTGGCGCATGAGCATGCGCACGTTCGTCGGTAGCTTTCCCATGCCAACCCGAATCTGCCACTTTGCACTGTGAAAAGGTGCGAAACCGATCGGGACCCCGGGGTACGGCCCACTACTCACGCGAAACGTTGGACAGCGTTCTGTCCCACCTTGTCGTCTCCTGACGTGCAACCAGAGGTGCATACTAGCTAGGATGTGCCCCTGGGAGCAGCCCTCTTCGCCGTCGCCTCAAGACCTACTAGAAGCGTGTACCTACATCTGTCGGAGGATCGAGTGCTTCCTCGCAGGTGGCAGCGCATTCATCGACTGTCTCGGTGGCAGAAAGGGGAGAAAGAGATCTCCTATGTCGCAGCGATGTGCTGTGTCCTACGGCGAATCGATATGCCCCGGGGCACGGCAGGGCAGCCTTTGGCGATAACCGCCATTGCCGGATGTGGGACTTTGACGCGAACGTGACGGTGCTGGCGACCACCTTCTCACTGGGCCTCGCTTTCTTCCTCGTCGGATTTGCGTGCGCGTACCGAGCGACGCGTCGCAAGCATGCGACCGAGAATGTCAACCAAGTGCCCGACGTGACGCTCATAAAGTACTGCACCAAAGTGCTGCGCGTGCTCTGCCTCGGCGTCCTCGGCTGCCAATTCGCGCTCTTCGCCCACGCCACGTCGGTCCCGAGCACGGCCCTCAACGTGCCGCTCTTCGACAGCTTGCACCGTCCGCTGCTCGGCGCGCTCTGCACTGCGTTTGGCTTTTCGACCAATTTTCACCCGAGCGTCCGGCATCTGTTTTTGGTGGCGATGCTGTCGCTGGTCACGTGCGATACCATCTCGGAGGTGCACTACCTCTCGATTGCCGAGTGCGCGGCGAAAGGCCAGCTCTGCTCGCCGATCCCGGTCACGTCGGAGAAGCTGCTGCGGCTCGTGCTGCGGGACCTTGTAAGCATCGTTTTGGAGCTCTGGGCGGCGCTCCAAGTCGCATACCTCTGCCTCGCGATCGGGTGCTGCTCGTCACGCTATTCGGCACGCCAGCTCTCGATTAGCAATCCATACTCCAACGTCCGCGATCTGCTCGTCAAGTACCACCCCGAGCTCAAGCTAAAGCCCATGCGGCTGCACGAGCTGAATCGGCGGCAAGACGACGTCGCCGTCTGCGTCCGAGCAACGCATCTCGAGCATGAGAAAAGCCTCGCAAAGCGGCAAGCCGGTCGCGAGGCGCCAGAGGTCAAACAAACTATGGCGCCGCCTTAGCGCCACCGCAACGTGCGAAGGAAGGACCGACCTGTGCGCTCGCTTGGCGGTGTCTTTGCTGCGGTACAGCGTTGTTTGCTGCCATAAAATGCACTCGACATGGACCTCGTACTTGGCCTAATATATCTCCATGCTCAGCAGGAGATGAGGAATGAATCGACGTGTACGACCTTGAGGTATCGCTCAATGTCTTCGACTGTCAGGAGCCGGGGTGTTACCGTGCACGGTATCACCAGTATGCGCCTACATCTGCATGTAGAGAGACTTGAGACTTACATCCCGTGTGCCTACCACAAGGTCATTTGCTCGGGGCATATGCGGAGTGCGACGCCGCGCGTCGGTTCGTGGGCGATAGAGGTAAGCTGAATCGGTGCCGCAGGACGCACAAAGCGAAGCAGAGAAGTGTGCGGGGCATATACAACTTCGCGCACCGCGTTGGCCTTTTGCAGCACCAGTTTGAGGATCTCGATCGTCGCGATACCGGCGACCACGGACGAGGTCGAGACGACGTGGGGAGAGACGCCGCAGAGTCCTTTGCTCGTGTAAAAGTCGATCGGAGCAACGTCGTACGCGTCTGCGACGGCATTGCACCAGCGCTGTACAAAGGCGACGTGCAAACTCGCGTCATCGGCCTACACACCGCACTTGCCATTGTCTGTTCCAGTGACGACAACCCACCGCCTGGAGAGAAGGAACCATCAACCGACCCAGCATGTACTGCACGTCGCTCAGAGACGGGTGCTGAGCATCAGCGCCTTGGTTGTTGTTGTATGCGTTGGCCGGAGGTGTCCACGAAGTGGCTGCGACGTCTTCTAGCGTGACTAAAAGGGCGTCGGTGAGTAGCAAATTGGACGGTGGAGGCTACAAGCAAGCTGAACACTGCGCGCCAAGAGAACGGCGGTCACGTGTAGCAACGCAAGGTGGGAACGTTGGGTCGCATCAAACACGGTGCTGGTTTCGACAAACAGAATCTATCACTGCGGTGAGATATCGTTAAAGGAAGCACGACACACCTGCAAAAGCCTAAAGGCCTGATCCAGACACGACGTGGGTGTGGATCCGAGGCGCTGGAGATGCACGAATGTGGCCAGGGTCCTCTGTAGCCAGTTGGCGTCGTATCGCAGCAGCTTGTTCTGGGTACGGTCGCGACAGTATGTCTGCACATCAAGTAAATTGGACCCAAAGTGGCGCGCGATGATGCCTTGGGCAAACACGGCGATACGCTCCACCTCAAAGGCGCGTCCGTGCTTGAGCCCCACGTCGTTCTCGATCGAAACATTGTGGAAGCGACCTCGCAGCGCAGCCACTTGGTCGAGCACGTGCAAGGGTGAAGTCGGGTCCACGTCACGAGCAATCCAGCGCTCCGTAACCTCGGGAACGCACGCCGTGATGCTGCCTTGCCACGCATCGGCCGTCGCGAGGAGAAAGGGCTTCTTGTACACGAAGCTCTGCTCGTCGAGGTACTTGGCCACCTAGAGTTGAAGAGCCGGCAATGAGCATCTTATATCTATGGACGACGGCGTATGGTTGCGCACCAGCGCGCTCGATGCGGTGCACACGAGTACATCGAACGACGACCAGAACGCTGCATCAAAGGCGGCGTCGAGGTGCTACATGCGTCCGTTTGCGCTTCTTTGAATGCAGTCCGAGGTGTTTCTTACCGCCGGGTCGAGATGCATCGCGAGCACTTTGCAGTCGCTCGCAAGTGCCGTCTTGACACACGCCGCTTTCTTGGAGCCCACGTCCTTGCTCGCAACAATCGCGTGGGTTGCGAGGTCGACAACCTGTACAAGTAACTTGAAGCGCCGTTCTCGGTCTCAAACACACCTGAACGAGTGCGCCATCAACAAGAACGCCATTGGCCAAGTTGGTGCCGCCAACATTAAGCAAGACCAAGTTCTATGGCATATTCGTAAGTTGGAGGACGACATGTGTACTACCTTGGCGATCTCGGAGCCAAGAGCACCGCAGCCGACAAGAGCAATACGCGCGTTTTGTAGCTTCGCCAAGGCGGTTTGTCCGTAGAGGGCGCGAACGTGGCACTCGTGGTGACGGTGATGGTCGAGGAAGACAGTTTCCTTTGTGAGCTCGGCGCGGTGCGGCAGCGCATGCGTGGCATCCCAGTTCCATACTTGCGTCAACGGAACTCCGAAGCCTACACGATGCAGTCAAGGATGCCGCGATCACCGCAAAAGTACCGCTCCATTTGATGGCTTCGCGCGCTGCGACGCCCGCGACGGTCGTGCTAAGCGGTACAAACTCGGTGCTTGCGCAGCGCGCCAGCTCCAAGATGCTTGCATCGCTCGGTGACACTGTGGGGACAGCGCACTGCCCTTTCTCGCTCTATACGCTTGCAATCGACGCGGCACGTCGAAACAGCGATGCCTACCGCCGCGATGAAGGCCCTCGTGCACTTTACGACTTGGTTGGCGTGCTCTGGGTTGTTGGCTTCGGGCCAATGGCCGTGGATGTGAGCGTACGTGTAGAGGCCGTGAAGCACGCAGTGCACGAGCATGCTTCGATCTACGGCAATCCAAACGCGCGTGCACACGACACGTGGAGGCTGGTACCCGTGTCTTTGGAGCTCGTGTAGTAGGGACACTCGACGAGCGTTGGGTTGAGAATCGACTCACGGTAGCTTTTCTACGGGCCATGGGGCATATGTCCGAGAGATTTCCTCGTGACATGATGCCTGTACGTGCGCGAGTCGACGCATGCCACGGACGCGCCGCAGCTTGAGCCGAGGCAGCGTACTCAAGTGAGATATCGTTCGACCTCGTCCAGCGTCAATGTAGAAATGGGAAGGCGATGCGATGCGAGTGATGCAGCACTGCTCGGCGTGCGGCCACGGTAAGGCACTTGCATCTTCTTTTGAGCAGAACGAGAACGCGACCACGTCGCCCCCTTGCAATCGCTGCCCTTGTCGTCAGCCACGTCAATGACGCACATGACTGCCTACCTGCTCGACGACGTCTTCCCGCACAGTCACAAGGCCCGTGCTTGTATCAAGACACACCACAGTAAACTCCAAGCTGTCGTCTTCCCACGCCTAAAGGATGCAACGCCATGATCGCGTCATCCATGGTCGATCAAGATGACGACTTCGTGGGCCGGTCCAAAGTCAACGAAGAGGGATGCGAGGACGCCTCGGCTCTCGAGGACGATCGTGCCAATGGGAGGGTCTTGGGCCCGGCAAAACTCGTTGAGACCGACGATTTCCTCGCGCGAGAGGCCGCCGCTAGTGAAGAGGACGAGCTAGAACGGAAGGGCGTGGGCAGAGGTCCCCTCTCGTGCATCTCCAAGTACATGGTAGTGGACGAGGAGGTCCGGCGTCAAGACGCCCGAGAGCGTCCGTAGCGTCGCACAGGGGCTCTTGGCGCTCGCCGCCTCCTTGATGACCACCGACTTCTTCTGCCCGACGTGGCTGGGCCCATACCACGTCTAGTAGATCGCGCAATGAGCGCTGCCGAAGCTCATGGTCGTACGCTCGTCGGTAGGTCGTCGTCCATGACGAGCGCGTCGTCGTAGAGCGTAAGGTCGCGGATGCCATGTAGCACGAGGTTCTTGACTACATCATCGAGCATGCGCATCTCCATGTCGGAGGTGTCGACGTACCGAGCTCGACGCCGACGCCCCGGAGTCCGACGACGAGCACATGCATGCTCGTGATCGTCTGCATCCTGCATCATCGCTCCATGGTCTTCCTCGCCCATGCATGACCCTCCATGCTCCTACCAGCTGGGCCCATATGCCACGAGCGACCGCGCGAAGAATTCGTTGGCCGTCGCCATGCGGCGCCGCTTCACGGGTCGGGATCCGTACTTTACTGAGCTTTTCAACATCGCACTTAATTGGAAAAGATCAGATAATGGTCAGATAATGGCTGCTTTTGCACGTGCATTTCTGTTCCGTACCCACCGGCAGCGTCATGGCATCTTGCAACTCGGTAACCTGGGACGTACGTCTGCTTGAGGCAGCATGAGCGCTCTCTACTAGTACCAGCGAGGTGCAAGCTTTTCTTGCTCATTGAGACTCGAGGCAAAAAAGCAGCAACAATCTGACCTATTCTATATTAGCCAATCAAACGCGGGGATTGCCGTGCGTTTTCCAGAACTGAGCATGTTGACCAGCAATTTTGAACGCGATACGCAGGAGCAAGATGGACTCGGACTCGGATGACGACTTTGCCGTCTTTGGCATGGATGCTAGCGCCATGGCCAACGTCGTCGACGACGACTCGCTCACGGACGCCGAGCTTCTCCAGAAGGCCGAGGTCGCGATCCTCGAGACGAACGCGACCTCGATCGAGCCGCTGCTCGCGCAAGCCGCATCCGAGCGCACGCGCGCACTCCTCGACATGGCCTTGCTCCTCGCCAAGGGCCAGTACGCCGACGTACTTCGCTTGCAGCCGGTCCAGGACCTCTTTTCGCAGCTCCAGCAGTCGGATGCGCGCAAGCAGGCGTCGTCGCATGCATGCACGTACATTGCCCAGGCGCTCGAAGTGCGCTTCGCCGCTTCCGACGACAAGCTCTCGCTTGGCTACACGGTGCTATTCGCCGCGATCGCGCTCCTCGACTTGTTCGTGCAGCTCAACTACACGGGTCCGGCCATTGAAGACGAGAAGCTCGCGGACCTCTATGCGCTCTGCCACGTGCTCCTCCCGGCGCACGAAAGCCAAGTGACCAAGATTCGTCTTCACACGAACGCGATTGTGTCGCTCCAGGTCGATGGCGAGTCGCCCTTTAGCATCTGCGAGCACCCGTACTTTCTCGAGCTGGCGCGCTGCCTCCTCCACTACCTCGGTCTCCAGTCGTTCGTCAACTGGTCGCACCCGGAGGCGATCGACCGCATCAACACGTTTACGCCCATGGACCAGCTTTCGCGCCAGCCGCGCACGTTGAACGGGTTCCAGCGCCCGATTTCCACCGACGTCATGGTCGGCCTGCGGTCCATGGTGTCGCACCATTGGTGGTGCGGCCGCGCACTCGTTGCGCACCAGCGCCTCCTCATTACAAAGTCGCCGAGCAACACGCTCTGGGCCGAGACGCAGCTCTGCTTTTCGTTTGCGCTCTCGTCGTTCCACGTGGCCAACTGCTCGTCGCCGTACCTTCCGGCCCGCGCCGAGCTCGAGTGGGGCCTCGCGCAGCACTATTTCGAGGTCAAGAACAAGGGCCGCGCCGACTTCAGCCGTGCGCTGCAGACCACGGGTCTCCAGGTTCAGCTCTCGGGCTCGATGGGGAAGCGCACCAAGTTTCAAGTCAAAGAAGTCGCTCAAATGGTGCTGCTCGCCAAGTCGCGCGTCGCCAACACACAGACAAGCTCCGAGTTTGCAGCCGCGACGGCCCAAACCACGCACGTCGACTTTGGTGGGCTCAGCACGGGCGCGTCGGAAGATAATGATGATGACGAACTCTCGGCCGAAGACAAGCTCGTCGCAGATGGCGAGGCCGCGTACCGAACCATCACGCGCGATCAAGCCGACCCGGACAACATTCTGCTCGAGAAGATTGCGTTCACCGACACGATCGACAACTCGAATTTGCAAGTCGTCGACCAAACCATCTTGCTGGCGCTCTGCCTCGACGTCAAGAACTCGAATGCGAACGACGGCCTCACGCGCGAGCAGATGATGCCGTATCTCACGCGCGTCCTCGACAACCCCAACAACTGGATGGTCTACTCGACGGGTCTGCTCGAGCGTGCGTGGCTCGAGTGCGAGACGATGCGGTCCCGCGAGCGCGCGGTGCTTCAGATGCAGGCGCTTGTCGACCAGCACACGACGCGCCTCACGATCACGCAGACGTCGCTCAAGATGATCCAGGACGCAGCTCCCGCGCACGAACGCATGGAACACATCTACTCGCTCGTCTTTCCGCCGCGGTATGCGCTCAAGCGGGACCTCGCCGAGCGGTACTTCGGTCTGGGCGTCTACAACAGCGCGCTCGAGATCTTCAAGGAGCTCGAAATGTGGGACGAGATCGTCCAGTGCCACCAGCTACTCGACCAGCCCAAGCGCGCCGAAGCCATGGTGCGCCAGCGCCTCGAGGTCGCGCCGACGCCCTTCATGTGGTGCTCGCTCGGCGACATCACCGACGACGTCGCGCACTACGAGACGTCGTGGAACGTCTCGAACGGCCGCTTCGCCCGCGCCAAGCGCTCGTGGGCGCGCAAGCTCTACGAGCAAGGCGACATCCCGGCCGCGATTGCGCACCTCCAGGACGCGACCAAGGTGCAGCCCATGTTTACGCAAGCATGGTTCTTCCTCGGGTCCCTCGCGATGCGCATGTCGCAGTGGGTCGTCGCGTTCGAGGCCTTCACGCACGCGGTGCAGCTCTCGCCCGACGACGGCGAAGCGTGGGGCAACATTGGCTCGATCCACCTCCGACTGAAGAACTATGGCCAAGCCTTCTCGGCCTTCCAGGAGGCGCTCAAGCAGAAGCGCAACATGTGGCAGATGTGGGAGAACTTCCTCCTCTGCGCCATGGAGTGCGCGCGGTACGGCGACGCCATGTACGCGATGCACATGCTGCTCGACTTGCGGGACAAGCACAAGCGTCCGATCGACCACGAAGTGCTCGCGTGGCTCGTCCAAGCCATTGTCTACCCGACCAAGAGCACAACACATGGCGAGGACGATGGTACGACCGCGGTCGACGACGACTCGGTCGACGCATCCCTCGTCGATGTCGGCTCGATGGCCGTCCTCGATGACGACGACGAGGACAAGATCCCGACGATCGCGCCGCCCGTGTCCGAGTACAACTACACCAAGCAGCTCGGGAAGCTCCTCGGTCGCATTACATCGATTGTGACCAACGACGCCAAGGTGTGGCAGGTCTACGCGCACTTTCAAGACGGCGTCGGACAGCCCCAGAAGGCGCGCGAGTGCCGCTTGAAGGAGTGCCGTGCGCTCCAAAAGGCCGGGTGGGAGACCAATGTCGACGACCTTGTGCCGCTCTGCAAGGCGGCCCTGCGCCTCGCCAACGACTACCTCCAAGACGGCTCCAAAGCCGCCCTGTACGACTGCCGCATGTACCTCAAGACGCTCACGAAGAAGGTCCAAGTGACGTTTGCCGACTTGCCCGAAGTAGTTGAAGTGGCCGCGATGCTGCAGGACATTGAAGCCCGCGAAGCGGCGGCGCCGTAATTCAAGAAATCCTTTAAGTTGGCCAATGGGGTCTATGGGCCACAATTTTGCGCTTGAGTTTCCATGTCGTGAACCCGCAGGCAAAATCAACGGGACACGCTATCCGACCCTGCCGATCTTTCCACGGCAGAGACTGTGCAGTCGATGATACTTGGAACTACGACAGCCCAGTGCATCTGTGGCTTGCTACGGAAAGAGATGGGCACAGTCGCCGCCGTCACCACGGCAACACGTGGGTTTGTTGCAGCCTCGTTGGCACACGTTGTCTTGCCAACTAAAGTTGGAGCACGACTCGGCGCAGACAGGTGCGCACCCGATCACCGCCTTTTCGCTCAAGCAGAATGGCGAGCCATCCAGAAGCAGTCGTCGGCGCTGAACAGCGGTAAAGGCGGTCGCTGGTACGCTTGCGATGGGGTTGTTGCTCAGATCGAGCATCAAGTGCGGCCGTGCTGTAATCAAATCGCTGCCGAGAACCGAAATGTTGTTGTTGGCCATCTCGAGGTGGGTGAGGCGTGGCAGCGTCGAGATCCACGCTCTTGGGAGCGCTCCCAGCCGATTGCTCGATACGTCGAGGCGCTCGAGTGCTGTGAGCTGCGCCATTGCATCGGGTAGAAACGTCAGCGCCGCGTCGGATAAAGAAAGAGACGAGAGGGACTGCCAGTGCGGCAACACATCACTCGGAATGTGCGCTAGGCGATTACCTTGCAGCTCCAGCACTTGGAGGTTGGGGGGCAGAGTGTACACGACGTCGGGAAGCGTCGTCAGATTCGCATACCAAATCTTCAAGCTCAAGAGCGACGGCGGCCACATCGAGCCGTTGAAGCGCCACTCGGAGAGGTTGGAGACTTCAAGAACAAGTCCCGTAAGGTCGCGGAACGGAGTCAAGAGACTGACGTCGACACCGTGCGTTAACGGACACTGCACGATATGCAGCACAAAGACGTGGGGTCCCCAGATATCCGGTGAAACGAGCGCACTCGTGATCGTCTGTGTTTGGAGCGCGATGCAGTTGAGACGAAGGTACCGGCACGAGCATGTGGTCTCAAACCACGGCGCAGTCTCGAGGATGCAGTCCAGAGGGCACGCGACCCGCATCGCATGCGTGTACACCACATTACCGAGCAGCGCGAGGCCGAGCACCATTTGCAGCAAGAAAAAACCACGTTTGGCGCGGCTGTGGCGAAACTCCAACGACTTGCGCACGTCCGTAATGGCTTCGAACGAGTCAGACAAGCTGCGACGCAGGGACCTCAGCCTCGGCGAGCGCACGTACAACGGTCGACGCAATCGTACATGGTTGACGAGCCGCCGGAGGTTGATCCAGCTGGACGCGAAAAGCACCGTGTTGGCGCCAAGCTCCACCGCCGAGCTCGGAAAGAGAAAGCGAAGCAGTGGCAAGTTGCGCGTCATCCACGACAGCGAGTACTCATGGCGCTTGTCGCTGTACATGGTCATTGCAATCGGCATGAGAAACTGGACCTGGGAAATGCCCACGGCGAGGACAAAGCTCACAAAGCTGTTGAGGAAGAGGACGAGGGTCGTCTTCACAAAGAAGCGCGTCGAGAAAAAGAGCCACGGGATCCCGAGGCACCCGGCGCTAATGACGAGCGCGTACGCCGATGCGACTGCAATGTCGACGCAGTAGAGGCTGAGACGGTACGCTTGGAGCACGTGGATCGTTGTCTCGATCGTTTGAAAGACCATGAGGGTGGCGTCGTGCTGCAGCCAGCGCTGCGACCAGTGCGTGGGACGCACCAGCACGACCGAGGGTCCTTGGACCTTCTTGGTCGCTCGCTTCATCGAGTAGAGAAGCGATGCAATCGCAAGCGCATTGAGCGCTGCAAAGGTGCTGTAAATGATCGGGCTCAGCGACTTGCTCAAGTAGAGCTTTCCGAAAATTTCTTCACCGGGCGACGCTTCGAGCATGACCATCGTGCACGTCAAGAGAAACGCCGTCGACACGAGGTGTTTGAGAAAGGCCATGGCCAAGATCGGACGACGAACCAGCCCTTGGAGGCGCACGTCAGCGAGCGTCAGATGATGTATCATCGGCACACTACTCATGTGACCAGCCAATTTTGGGAATGAGTCAGTCAGGATTACCAAAGTCGGTTTCTTCGAGGCGACAAGCAACGGTCGCGCATGGCTTTGGGATGCAAGCAACATGGCTGTTCGGTATTCATCTTTGTTTACTGCCAAATATAGCTTGCTTATAGTCCGTTTCGCGTCAACCCCTGTTCACGGGTTGGCACAGTTGGTTGGTCGCAAGGGAATGAAATTCCCGTGGTCGTCACCGGATTCGACCGCGAGAAAAGGTATGCGTCCATTGCATTACTGGCCGCGGGAGTGCTTGCGTGGTCGTTGGTAGTGTCGGGAGCGTTCGCTCGGCGGTTCTTTCACGAGCCCAAGTCGCATCGTATCCGGACATTGTTATCCGGATGCGATCTTTGCCGAAATGGGATTGGTCGAAATCCCGGCTTGGTTTCACTTCAACGTGGGGCGGCTGTATCCGGATCGCGGAGAGGCCATTTTCGGACCGGTGGCAAGATGGCCAAGAAGGCGAACAAGGGCAAGAAGGCCGGCGTGACGACCGCGCCGTCGTCGCCCGTCAAGAAGGCGGCGCCAAAGTGCTCGAGCTACCCGTCGACGCCCGTCTCGACGTCCAAGACGTCGGCCTCGTCGCCCTTGGCCTCGGACATCCCCGACGAGGTGCACCCGGTCGACGACTTGAGCATGGAGACTTTGGCGCCCAAGATTGAACGCCGGCTCTCGGCACGCCCAGGCGCTGCGGACTTGGATCAGCAGAATATCATTCATACGCTGAACATGGCGCCGCAGATCCAAGCGTCGGCCAAGCTGCTCGAGCGCAATCTAAGTGCCAACTCGGTCAACCACTTACTCGAGAAACGTCGGTCGCTCCACGAGCTAGCGGATCAAGGCCTTGTGACGAACAGCTCCAAGGTAGCGCCGACGCTTCAGGCCAAAAGCGACCAGCTCAAGCGGCAGCTCACGGCCGACAAGCTGCACAAGCAAATCAACCGCCGGCCGTCCCAGAAAGAGCTCACGGAACAAGGCGTGCTGGACGACGGTACAATGCACCCACGTCCCTCACATCATCGACATCTCCATGATGGAGCCTACGCGTAGGTCAAGTGGCCCCAAGCTTGCTTGCGACCGCCAAGAAGCTCGAGCGCGCAATGATCGAGAACCAAGTCGGTCACCTCCTCGAGACGCGTCCGGGCATGCAGGACATGTTGTCGCAAAACATTTGCCCCGGTTGGATGATCTCTCGACATCTTCGATGCGATCGGCATTGCGTGTAGAGCCGCCGCAGGTCGCCAATGCGATCCAAGGCGTGATGCACTCGCTGGAGCGCAACCTCAAGGCCGACCAGCTCTCGCGCAAGCTGCGCACGCGCCGGTCGCTCGACGACATCTCGGCTGGACGTACGACCATCGCTTGAGGTCGCGTGGAAGCGCTAAGCGTCGTGTAGAAGCCACCAAGCCGTCGGCGCACGAGCATGCTGTTCGCCGGGCGCGCTACACGCTCGCGCTCAAAGCCGCGTCCCGCATCGCTGCGGACAAGCTCATTTCGCCGACAGAGAAAGGGTGCTTGAAGGACTGCATTCTCTCGGACGACCCGCGCGTCGTCAAGGCCATGGCCGCGTACGAAGCCGACTTGGACGTCGAAGAGATGCTCGACTCGCTGTACCGAATTGCCAAAAACGTGGCACTCGTCTAAGCACTCGTAAGGTGCCCGTCTAAGCACCTCGCCACGCATCACACGTCAAAGGAAGGTTGTGTAAATCCATTGTTGCTTCTGCGACGTACGTAATGTACGAGCCGTGGCGATATGCGTCAGGAGTCGATGAACGCCACGACGATGGGCAAGCAGGAGGAGGCAGGCGTGCATTGAGCATCTTATCGAAAGCAAGGCAGCGATTCCATGTAGTGGCGGACGCTGTGCCGGAAGAGCTTGCACTTGATCGGCTTGGTGCTCTTGGCGTCGTGCACCGGGTTCTTGGTCACGAGCTCGACGTAAAGGTTGCCATAAAGGTGCTGGAGGACGTCTTGGAGGTCGCCCGTGTTGTTGTCGCTCGTCAAAATGAAGCGCAGACCTGACGCGGTCTCCAAGTGGTGGCATGTGTACGTGTCCGTCTTGAACGTCTTGAGCGACTGCGACGACGTCGTCGAGGCCGTCGGTGCCATCTTGCGGAGAAACTCCTTCAACGAGAAGATGAGACCGAACATGAGCCGCTTCTCTTCCTCGGCGTCGCTCAGCGTCATGGCATCACTGCTGCGGTTCCACTCCTCGTAGAGGAGGCAGGCGCCCGCCCGGTTGAAGATGTAGAGGTTGTAGATCATCGTCGTGCTCGGTCGGGCTTCTGGGCTGGCGGAATGGACGGCAATTACCCTCGCGATGCCATTGGCCGAATATAGTTTTCCATCGACCAATCAAATCGTTGGGAAAAAAGAATTCGAAGCGACAGATTCGCGAGCTTCGAGAAAGGCGGAGCTGACCGATTTCGCGAAGCTGCGGACAAAGCTGCTCCATGGGCATGGCATGATGAAGAGGGCAGTTCATTTCTGCATTCTCAATGACATCCACAAGCACCTCGTCCGTTACGAGCCAGCTGGTGGCAATCGCTGGCCACATTGATCGCGCGACCGACATGGTGACTTCCCGGCTTGTGCACCAACACCACATCACAGCCGCGACTCTGGCCGCTTCGAAATGGATCACAGCAGTGCGCATGAACCAGGACCACGCAGAGCGCACAAAGCAGTGCAAGCAGCGACTTGGTCAGTATCGCGCGCGGGTGCTCGCGCAGTCCGAGCGTCTCACGCAACTGCTCATGGAGCTCGACACGATCGAGAGCAACGGCGACGCGACGATTCGCGCCGAGCGCAAGCGTAGCGTGCACCGGATCCAAGGTCTTTTGAAAGTGGCCGACGAGCTTGCGGCCAAGAGCGAGCGCCTGCTCGAGCGCCTGCTCGCACTTGCCAAGACCGTACTGCCCGAAATGTCGGTGCCAGCGCAGAGCGACCAAGAGGTCCGTGAGATGCAGCGCCTCCTCGACGCACTGCCCATGTGGACGCCTAACGCCCAGTTTGTCGACGCAGGCAACAGCGTCGTGCTGCGCGTCAATCTCGCCGGCGTCAACCGAGCGTCGACGACCGTCTCGGTCACGCCCGATGGCCACTTGCAGATCGCTGGCTACAAGTTCCCAACGCCGCACGACTTGGTGTTTATGCACACGCACCGGCAGCCGCGCTTTGGCCGGTTCGTCGTCGCCCACGCGTGGCCGCGTCACGCCTTCGATGTGGCCAACCTCCGCTTCCGCCAGCTGCCGACGGGCGTCCTCGAGGTGGTTGCACCCCGCCATCCGATCCCAGGTGCATACAACGTCCATGACGCAGCCGCCATAGCCCGACCAGTCGCTGGCGTTGCCTAGGCTTCGAACCCCGCGATCTCAATTTCCATACTAGGTATTGAATGACCGCCATATTGATTGTTGATCGTTTCTACGTGGACAAGTTTCCGCTTGTTCTTGACCAATTGGGCAACATACGACAGGCCGTCGACACACTTTTGTCATGTTCTGCAACAGGCGAGCTAGTAGAGCGCCGAGCGCTGCGCCTCGACCGTCACGTCGCTGCTGGCCGTTGAAAAGTCGGTGACCCGGGGCGCCTTGCTGTTGTTGAACGACCCATACATGTGGTCGTAGTGCCGCTTGGCGTCCATCGAGACGGACGGCCGCGACGCCTTGAACGCCTTCTCCACGTGGCGCTGTAGAATGCGCGAGACGCCGCCGACCGTCGCCGCCGCCACGTCGTCCTTCTTGGGCGAGAAGCTCACACTTTGGTCGCTACACCTGTCCTTCGCGTGCTTTTCATCGTGAGCATCCGCGTACCTTTCGTCCTTGAGATCCATTTCCCAGTCATGTGCCGTGGCTGTCGACGGCAGCGTCTCGTGCACCGCCTCGAGCTGCGCTGCATACAAAATCTAGCCACATCCCCGCGATCAGATCGTCTCCAAACGGACGATCCGTACGGCTTGGAGGTCGGCGCCCGTGTAGAGCTCCGTGTGCTGGCTCACGACAGCAAGGTACGCCGCCGCTTCGGCGGTCACGTCCATCTTGCGCGCCACCGCTTTCAAAATGTCGAGTCGTTCGGCCATGGTCGGAAAGCCTACGTGACCTCGCTCAGCCCCGCCGTGTAAAAATGTACGTGGCACTACCGCAGTACAGGCTCTTGTCGAGACGACCGGGCCGCAGCAACGCCGGGTCGATCATGTCGGGTCGGCTCGTTGCGGCGAGCACATATACGCCCTATGTATGCTCGTTGAAAGAGAGACACCATCAACGTCCTCGAACCAAGCGCGACTCGACGCCGTCGAGGAACGTGAGTAGCTGGTTCACAACGCGGTCCGTGACGCCCGTATTGTCGGCGCCGCGGCGGGGCGCGATGGCGTCAAACTCATCGAGGAAGAGGACGCTCGGTGCGGCTGCGGCGGCCCGCGCGAAGAGGTCACGCACCGCTTGCTCGCTGGCCCCAATGTACTTGTTGAGCACTTCGGGGCCCTTGACGCTGATGAAATTGAGGCCGCACTCGCTCGCGACAGCGTTTGCCAGCATCGTCTTGCCGCAGCCAGGCGGGCCGTACAGAAGGACGCCGGACGGGAGCTTGAGCGGCGCGGCCTTGTAGAGCTTCATGTACCTAGTGGAGTAAGCAAGACCGTCCCGACCACAACAACGTCGTACTTGGTAGGGAGCTCGAGCGTTTCTTTGAGCATCGTGCGTACGTCGTGGAGGCCACCGACATCGGCCCAGTGAATCGAGCTCTTGAAAAGATCCACGCCACGGAGCGCCGCGGGCGTAAAGTCCGTGAGGCCCGCGAGAAATTCGAAGGGTGCGCGTGGCGGCCCGGTGCGCAGCTGAATCGCGTGCTGGTGCAACGCGCGGTCCACGACGTGGTGCAGATCCCGCGGACTAAAGCCCTCGGTTTTGTGCGCCGCCGTCTGTGCGTCGACGGGCTCGTCACTGCCATTTGATTGTTTTTGGCGCCAAAGCGCCAGCAAGATGCGTTCCCGCGCCCCGACGTCCGGCAGCTTTAGCTCGATCGGTCGGTCAAAGAGGCCGCATGTTCGCAAGTACGGGTGGATGGCCGACGCGTCGCGGGCTGTCGCTACGACAGCAACGCTCTTCTTCGTACTGGCGGACACGAGCTGCGCCGACGACGGAGCGGCCGCTCGCAGCTGCGTTGCAAAGGCGCTCTGAACCGCGCGGACATGCTTGAGCAGCTATGATTGCAAGGTCAAGATGGACGAGGAAAGGTTCGCAAATACTTCGGCGAGGTGCTCGGCGATGCGCCGTGATTGGTCGTTGGCATTCGAGCCATCGTCGGCCTCGGGCGGCACGAGGGCGTCGAGGTCGTCGAGACAAAGCACACAGGGCGCAAAGTGGAGGCCCGGGCAAACGGCTTCCTGGAGCTTGCTTTCACCGACTCCATCTTGAGCCCGCGAAGGTCGCGGCACGACATCGTTAGCGTTGCGCTCAGAACATTTTGGGACGTTGCTGCACGGTGCGTAAGTAGCTTGAGCAGTGCCGACTTGCCGGCGCCCCGCGCCCCGTACAAGAGAACAGAGCCTGGTGGCGTCGGTGCGCCGAGCAGCACGCGGGCCGCTGCATGGGGACGACACACGATCGGGTTGGATTGCGTCTCCACCTCACGCAAGACCGTCTCGAGCGCAGGCCACACGAGCGGCAAGGCCTTTGCGGGTGTCGCCGCAACGGGCACCGGGACTGACGCGACCTGGATCAACACGTCGTCCTTGCGCGGCGCATTGATGGCAGCGATCAGCGTATAGTCCATCGCCGCACCCAGCGGTGCACTGCTTTCTGCACATCAGCAACGCTTACGTCATCATCAGCTCAGAGGTCGTGGCAGCATACCCAGTGGCTCGTTGCGGAGGCGCAGTGTGAGCGACACCCGCGTATCGAGGAGCTGCAGCAATGTGCCCGCAGGCTCGAGAACGAGGTCGGTGGTCGCCGACCACCACGTCACGAGTGCATCGAGCCACTCGTTCGCTTCGTATGGCACGGTGAGAACCACCTTGAGCGGCGTCAAAGGCGGGCACTTGAGCACACGCAGGCAAAGTCGAGTGACGGGCGCGAGGTCCAGTTTGGCGGCCAGCGACTCCGACACGGCCACGTACTGCGGCACGACCGACGTGCTTACGCGTAGCCGCGCCACCACCACCGTCCTGTGCCACGCAGCGTTAGCAGATGCAAGACACGATGAAGCGTAGTACGGTTTTTCTGCCCCAATGTCTTGCCAGAGCGAAACGCAGCGAAGACCCGACGGCGGGCCATCGAGCTGCGCGTACGTGGCAGGGTGCAATAGCACTTCGTCGGGCGCTAGCTGCAGCACGACGGCGGTGCCATCCGGCAGCGTCGTCGCCAATGGCTATTGAAACATCGAGTGGGCCAGGAAGACGCGAAAGAGTGGGTACCTGAAGCGCAAGCGGCGGAGAAGCGTCATAGTGAGCTGGTGCGTTGGGGTCGTCGGGCGCCGACCGCGTCTTTGGGGCAATTGCAATTTCGCAATTCGACGCTAGCCTCGCACACGGTCTATATGGCAGTAGCATCACAGCGTTCTGGGCTCAAGACGCAAGCGTACACGTCGGGCGGCAGCGTGACGAGCAAGTGCACGACCATGTGCTGCTGGATGCGCACAGGAATCTCTTGGCCGTTCTGGACGACGCAGATCTATCGGCGCATGATTAGAAATTACCCTTGGCGAGACGACGGACCTGGCGAAGCACTTCGCTCTCGAGATGGCCCGCGTGCAACTGGATGATTTCCCAGTCGTCCGCCGTGCACGGCTCCATGTGCACCATGGGTACCGTCGGCGTGAACGCAGCGACGGCAACGCTGACACGAAGACCTGGCAATCGCTCCATTGCGTCGGCCTAGAGGTCTTAGGTTGGCATGTATCGCGCTTGGAGTCGATATCGTGGTACCAGGCCCAAGCATCGACCAAACTCCATGGGCACTTCCAACGCCTCGCTAGGCAGACGACGTCATGCGTCGGGTGGCCAAAGGCATGGACACAACGAACCTCTGGGCGAGCTCGCCGACCCAGCCAACGTGGGCCATCATGGGTTCGGGCCCGTCGTGCCACGTGAGCTGTAGCACCGTTGCGCCGGCATTGGGCTGTCAGGCGTGAGACGAGAAGACACAGACATTCGCAAGGGCGTACGTTGGCGTGCTGCAGGTGCGACCGGACGTAGGCCTCGGGCAGCGCAACGAAGCAGGACGCAGCCGGCACCAAGGCGGGCACGAGGAAGGGCGCTTGCATCATCATCATCTTGCGGTCGCAAACCAAATTCGGCCGAGAAAAGGCCACGCTGATTGGCCGCCTGGTTGATGTCCGGATACGCTGTCTAGTCGACAGAAGAAGATTGGAAATTGCATTTTGGCGCCATCGGCGGCCCTCATGTTCGAGCGAACGCCGGCGAGCCAGGTGCAAAGGCTCACGCTCCTAGCGTCAATAGCACGGCGGACGAGTGCACCGCTGCTTGCATGCTCCGTAGCGAAATCGCGCGAGTCGACTCTGCCTTTCCGAGCCGTTGGTATTAGCATATGAACGGGGCATACGCACTGGTACGTAAGCTCGTCTTGCTTCTTGCCCGTATATACCTCAAGGGACGCAGCTAGCATCAGCTCCATCCTGACGTTGCTTAGAGCGCTTTGGAATCCGCGCCGAGATCCCAGCTCCGCTGATTCAAATTTACAGGACCTCTATCAACGCATATATGTGGCAAATGAATACTCTGATAACCTCTCAGACTTGTTGACAAGCATTGGACATCATCACGATCGGCAGCAGCATGAGCGACTCGGAAGACTACGACGACTACTTCAACGCTGCCTTGTTCCTCAACGAAAAGTGCTCGCCCGCTCCTCTTGGTCTATACTAACATGTCGGTAGCTACACCAACACGGAGTATGTCTTCAACGACAATATCACGCAAAACCTCTTGAGCTCCAAGGCCGCGTCGGTGCGACCCATGGCTTTTCGACACTCGCTTCCAATTTACCTGCACGTAGACCGACCACGATCTCACGGGCCAGGTCGTGTGGCCCGTCTCCATCCTCCTCTCCTGGTACGCGCTCCTCCAAGCTCGTCGGTCGTGACGCCTGAACTAGGTTTGTGGCGGCCAACAACCACCTTTTCCGCGGCAAGAACGTGCTCGAAGTCGGCGCTGGCGCCGGCCTCGCCGGCTTTGTCGCGTCTCAGTTTGCGTACGCGCTATTCTCTTGCAAGCGGCGTCGAGCTCACACTGGCCTAGCGCGCACACGGCCATCACCGACGGCAACGACGTCGTCCTCCGGCTCCTCACGCGCAACGTCGAGCACACGCAGGCGGTATCCATCCATGCACTGCGATCGATGACCCATGCATCTAAGTATTCGGATGATGCGTAGAACTGCAGCATTCACAAGCTCTTGTGGGGCGAAGAAGACAGCGTGGTCGCTTTTACACACGCCTTTCCGCACCACGTCGATATCGTCTTGGGCGCCGACGTGGTGTGCTGGCCCAACCTCGTGCTGCCGCTGCTCCGTACCATCAAGGTACATATCTAAATCTCTTGGTTGGCATCTACGACGACACTTGTTGGATGTAGTATCTCATGCATCAGTGCCCGATATGTTTGCGACCGTCTTCTACTGTGGGTTTGTCTGCCGCGCCACGAGCACACGCGTACGCACGCTGGTATCCGTAAGGTTGTTATCGTCTTCCTGGCTGCGTAGGATCTGCTTTTCGCCCAAGCCAAGGCGATGGGCTTTGCCCTCTGGACGGTCGACCACGACACGTTCTTGCCGACGCCGCGCCCCGACAACGTCCTCTCTGTGTACGCACCACTGTCATGACATGGGAATATTTGCTGAGTCGGGTGTAGGAAGGAGCTCTTCTTGCTCGGGTTCCGCCTCGACAAGACGTCGCCCGCGGCGTCGGACCCAGTGGCGTTTCTGGACGACTTGGAAAACCTCCAAACGGCGTGCTAGTCGCTGATGGTTAATAGCCGACATTTACACCACGTGGTCGCGCGCTAGCAGTGACGTCGTCTCGTCTTCGGCCGCCAGCGCGTCAATGTACGACCGGACGCGGTAGCTCACAAAAATGACGAGGCCGACGCTGGCAGCCGCGGCGACGAGCATGAGTGTGGTTTGCGCAGCGTGCGACTCGGGCGAGTGCACTTGCGGATCGGCGACTAAAATCGCCGACATCTTGGTCGTCGAGTGGCCGAGGAGGACGCTGAGGTACGACTCGGCGCCGCCAATGAGGAGCGTCGAGAGGGCAAACGTCCAGAAGGACACGTTGAGAATACTGAGGCCGTAGTTCTTGAGCGCGATCGGGAGGTACGCGAGCTGGATGAGCACCGCGAATTGGATCTCGTGTTGCTCGATAAGCAGCGCCTACAGCAGCCGTCGAACTCTACGGAACGCAAGAAGAACGCACGTACCCAGGCGCGAAACATGGGTCGGCCGCCATCGAGGTGGGCACGGACACGGTCTTGGATGAGGTAGCGTCCGATACCGAAGGCAGCGATTGAGCCAAGAACCTTGCCGGCGATCGCGACCACGGCGCCCCAGCCGACGCCAAACGTGTAGCCAGCAAACAAGTCGAAGATCGTCGACGGGCAACTAAACGAGACGCATGAGCTTCCCAGAAGCGACACATCGCTGTACCAAATGACAATGCAAAGCGCATACACGAGCGTAAAGGCGATCCGACCGACCACTTCGTGCGTCTACAAAGAGAGAAGCAGGTATGGGCGACAGCGGCATGAAGCGCTATACCTGGAGCCACGTCGCCATGTCGTGCCACGACGCCCGGGGCAAGGTGCAGTAGACGATGATCGCGGCGACGAGGCCGAGGATGCCTAGCCCTACGACAACGATCGTGCGCGTCTTGCGCGCCGGGTCGAGCGTCGGCTCGCAGCATGCTCGTCGGTGCTTTTTGTAGAGGTGGGTCACGACCCTGACCAGCACCAACCCACGGGCCAATCAGACGCAAGGAACCGGTGGCCAATCAAACGCAGGTCCGTTTCATGACGTCGGCGCGATTGCCATTGGCGGCACCGGCGCTGCCACGTCATGGCTGTCGCGCCACCGTTGTCTTGAACAAGCGAGGTAGCACCTGCTCTAGTGTTTAAAGCTCTCGCAATCGTCTACGGCGCTCGTGGCGGTAGTACCATCCACTGCGGTGTCACGACGTATTGGTCAGGATGGTCGAACCTCGCCGATCGGTTGAGCAACGGATCGGTCTGGCGGTTCTTGCTGCTCATCAAGTCGACAGCTGCGTCCCGGACAACAGTAGTATCGACACGGCGAGGCAGGGAACGATACTCTGGGAGGTGCCGGCAGTGTCCCGACCTGCAGTCGTGGTGGCAGTCTGTGAGAACGATCTTGGGATGCTGCAGCTCGACCACGTGGAAATCTTGGCTCCAGTATATTCAAGCCATTCCCCAAAGCATGGGCGAAGGCGCTGACAAGCCTCAAGGTGGTCAGTATACGCAAGTTGCCGACGTAGCTTCTTACAGCCAAACATGATTTCGCTCGTCCGCTCATCGCATGAGTCGCCCTCTCTGCTCACGGTGCGCTTGGACAACTTGTCCATAGCCTTTATGTTGGCGAATATTGTCTGTGCGCGCCTTTTTGGCGGGGGATCGCAAGATCACGAGTGTGCTTTGCGATTCATGTGTACTCTGCCGAGAACAAAGCTTGGTTTCCCATGCGCTCCAGCCTTCATAGCCTTGCACGTCGTTGTCGAGTTGCTTAATGACCCACCTCCAGCTGTCATCTCCCTGCAGACATCCGTCCGTCGCGGTTGCAAGCCGAAACGACAGGCAAGAGTCACCTGGGTTCCGATTGAAAGCTCTCTATTGAAATGTATGGACCGAGAGGCGATAGATAAAGAAAAGACGTCGTTGTCTCATAGCGCGTACACGCTCTGCTGGTTGGTGCCATTCGTCGCCGCTGCCGTCTGGGCGCGGAGCTCTTGTCGCTGTCGCAGGCGCTCGGCCATGATGGCCTTGGCCAAGATTTTCTTGGCCTCGGCGTCGTCTACGGCGTTCTCTCCGTACGAAATTTGGTTCAAATGCGGGCACCCGAGGCGGCCGATGGACGTGCCGAGGAGCTGGATGCCGTGGCCCGTGAGGTAGTTCATCTCGAGGCCCAAGAAGCGCAACTCGCGCATCTTTCGACTCTCGATCGCGCGGAGGAGATGCACGATGCTCGAGTCCGTGAGCGTGTTGCCGCCGAGGCAGAGCTCCATGAGCCGGCCGGCGCACCCCGTCTCGATCGCGCTGCAGAGCTGGTGCACGCCGCGCTCCCCAATAAAGTTGCGCCGGAGATCCAGATGCGTCAGGTTCGGACACACACGCGACGTGAGGAGCTCGGCGAGCTTGAACACGCCATAGTCGCCAAAGCTATTGCCCGGCAAGCTCAGCTCCTTGAGACGCGGCAGGACGCCGGTGGTGAGGCAGTTGAGGAGCACGTCTGCCTCGCCGTTGGCTTGCTCGTTCGTAAAGAGACACACGAGCGAGAGGCGCGACAGCGACGCAAACTGCCGCGTCGAGAGAAGCGTCGCGAGCAGCGATACGATCTGCTCGTGGTCGTCGTGCGTCACCACAAAGCGCTGCGGGCAGTTCTTGGCAAACATGGACCGGCGGCCAAAGGTCACGCCGGCCGCGAGCGAGTAAATCTCGAGTTCTTCGAGGCTCGTGCACTTTTCCAGCACGTGCCGGCCGTATAAGAGCGCGAGACGGCTCGCGTTGCAGCTCAAGTGGAGACTGTAGACGTACTTGGGCGCTTGGATCGCGGCGCTTCGGCACACTCCGCGGCAGCGCAACGTGTCCTTCCCGCCCACGAAGCGCCAAATGATCTTGTTGATGTCTTCGTGGCCGTCAAAGAGGAGGCAACTCGAGGCCGCATGGTGGGTCGACGGCGGCGCAAACGTGGCCGTGAACGGCCGCATCGGTTTCGACTCTTCGAGCTCGGCCTCGCGGCTCTCGGAGCGGCCACGCTTGCGGATACCGCGGTTCACGATCGCAGTCGTGAGCGCCTGGACGCGCCGCGGTAAGCTCTGCAAGTTGGCGTACTCGAGAAACGTGGCCGACTGAATGTACAGGTACGTCTCGAGCTTGCGCGCGAGGATCCACACCGCGTTCTCGCCCTGTGGCGTGCCCGGCGCGACGATGCCGGCGCCGTTCGTCGCGGCGAGGAGCGATGCGATCTTGTCCATGACCGGCACGCGCCCCGGCAAGTCCGTCGGTTGCTGCCACGTGAGCGGCCGCGGCAGCGTCGCGCGGAAGAGCGCGTTGTTGGGCTGGACCCTCCGCGCGGCCGGCTGGATCTGGGGCATCGTCGCGCGGCCTATCCTGCCATCGGCCGGCGCCCCATGAGGGTAGTAGTTTGGCTGGTTGTTCATGCTGCCCGACTGGTGGACAACTTTAATGCGACTCGCCGGTCCTGCTCGCGAGCAAAGAAACACGGGCGCGCGTGGCTTTGTACAGCATCCCCACAGTATACAAGCGCCAAGGTGTTTTCTTACCTCTCAAAACGAATACATTCGACGGCGCCGAATCTGGAAACTGGAAACGGCGCAAGCAGGTGATATACAAAACACCCGTGGAGGCAGCCGATCTATTATGGTACATCCCAGACACCGATGCTTCTTGGACAGACATGGAATAAGCCGTCCTGATCGGTCTAATAGTCGTGCTGGTATACTAAAGTATCGCTCTGCAAGGCAAGACGACCGTGGTTGATTTATCGTCAGAGCTGAGGATTACCAGGACGGTACGACGGACTAATATACCTCTCCTTCCCATGGTCTCGTTCCTTATGAGACTGCACGCATCCGAGTCACGCCATCAGAGTCACGCCATCTAGAATACCAGTAGAAACGACGTAGTAACGTCCATACTCAGGCAGAAGTCCAAAGAAGTCGAGCCATGGATTACTACTACTACACCTCGCTGCATGGACCATGCGAGCGCCTCCTCACGTGCGCAGACCTGCGTCGAGCCCACAGCGATGATGTCGAGCGCGCCTTGTGAGCAGAGTCGTGATCACGTGATCACATTGCTCCGCGCATGGCATGATGACATGAGTCACCGAGGCGACGACCACCGTCGCCCCGCCTTTACCGCACCGGCAGAATGGTCCCGAGCGAAATGCCTCAAGCGTGAGAGTAGCCAATGACATGTTGTCTTCTCCGGAAGGAGACAAGAAAGCAGTCATAACACTTCTGCCTACGGAATCTCCTCGAGAGCGGCTTCGTCGAGAATCACTTGCTGGATCACGTGGTCACCAAACGGAATGCGAACCACCGCGTCACCGCGCAGCACTTGGATCAACCCGTGCTCCTCGAGCACCTTGCGCGTGTTGCGCATGGCCGCGGGCGTCGCGAGCAGTTGCTTGCAGCAGTGCGTCTCCCACTGCTTGTACGAGAGCTTCTGGCCCTTGAGCTGCTCGGTGCCGAGGTACCGGAGCATCGCGAGGTCCGACGGCGTGAGGCTCTCGAGGATGTACTGAATGCCGCTCACGGCGTGCTTGTCGTCGCGACCCATGGCGCCACTCCAGCCCGTCACCAAGACCTCGCTCGTGTACGGCGCCATCGTGTTGACCGTGTGCTCGAGCCACCCAAAGCGCTTAGCCTCGGACTCGTCCCAGAGCGACGCTGCGTTCACGTGGTCGACGCTAGCGACCAAGTGGATTTGAGAGCACTGCGCTAGGAGGCTCCACGCCTTCTGCGTATCGCTCGACCGAAGCGCCGACCCGTCGATCGAGTGCACGACAATGCAGACCTGCTTGGACCGGTGCAGTCCGAGTAGCCGTGCGAGCTCGGCGCACTAAGATGAGAGGCGCCTTATAGTACAGCGTTTCCTGTGGCCAGTAGTAGATCGCACGAACCTGGTCTTCGAGAGACCGACCCCCCGAGATCTTCTTTTTAAAGAGCTAACGCAGCAGTGAGGTCGCGAAAGAATGGTGCAGGTCGGTACTTTGTCAAAGAGGAAGGCGACGACGAAGCGCATCGAGACCGAGGGCAGGTACCCATGCACGTGCATGACGTGCTCGTCTGCGCCAACGAGGCGGCCAAAGGCCTACGAAAATGCGACGCATGTACTTGGAATCGCATGCCTACCTGAAGTAGCTGGATCTTGGAGCCAAAGCCCGTGAAGAGGAGGTTGAAGCCGGCCGAGAGCTGGTTCCGCCACGTTGGAAAGCGATGCGCCTCGTACTCGGCGAGGATCGCGACCGAGACGTCTTCGTCGTGGGCCTTGTCCCACTTGACGAGCTCGCGGTGGACCTCGGCGCCACCAAGGAGCTGGATGCCCGAGATCTTCTTGTCGTCTTTCGCTCGCTTCCCTACGCAGTTGCATGACGCCATGGCATGCGCCATGATGGCCGTACGGAACTTGCGCGACGAGAAGTAGTCCTTCGCTTGCTGGTTGCCCATGATGATGCACCGGTCGTCGTCGTCCAGCACGCCGTCGTCATCGCTGAGGACCCGCGCCGCCTCCTTGGTCGCGATGCGCTTGCTGGATCGGGGTGGCATTCTGGTCTGCGATTGGTCCAGCATTTTTGCTGAATAGTGTATGAAATAGTGTGCATCTGGCTGTTGATGGCCAACGCACATCGCCACCCAAGAGCGCGATGCACGTGGCGAACGCTACAAACATAGTATCTAATATGAATATGACATTGCGCGCCCATTGGGCACACGCGTCCAAGATATGATGCCGATCGCTATGGTCCCTGGCGCCCTCTCTATAACAGTATATCACGTTTGTGAAATAGTGTGCGTTGGAAGCGACGAAGTAGCGTGTCAGTTGTCAACAAGGCGTTCAATCGACAGAGTGGTGCAATGCTGCGCATGATCCCAGGCCCGACGTCCATGTCCCACGCAGTGCGCCAAGCGTACGCGGAAGAGGTTGGCTCGCCCGACGTCGAAGTCGACGAGTTCTTCGCCGACTACTTTGCCCTCGAGGCGAGCTTCAAGAAGCTCCTCGGCTTCTCCGCGGGCTCGATCGTGCTTGGGTCGGGCGAAGGCATGGCGTGCCTCTGGGGCGCGCTCAACAGCGTGCTTCTGCCCGGCGACACGGTTCTCTGCGTCGTCAACGGTATCTTTGGCGAGGTACTTTCTTCTTTTCGACTGCGCCAACATGGTCACCATCATCATTGCAGGGCTTTGCGGCCATGGCACGGGACATGCAGGCGAATGTTGTGACCGTCGAGTGCGACTGGACGACGGGCATCGACACGGCCAAGGTCATTGCTGCGATCCAAGCGGTCAACCCGCGCCTTGTGACGCTCGTGCACTGCGAGACGCCGTCGGGTTCGGCCCCATGCGATGCTTGCAAAGCTGATATTGATACATGGACAGGCATCGTCAACCCGCTGCATGGCATCGGCCACGCGATCCGCGCCCACACAACCGACGGTCTCTTCCTCGTCGACTTCGTGTCGAGCGCGTTTGGCGTCGCGCTCTCGGTCGACGACGAAGCGATCGACTTGGGCCTCTTCGCACCGCAAAAGGTGCTCTCGGGGCCTGCTGCGCTCGCGTGCACGACCGTCTCGGACAAGGCCTGGGCCCGCGTACGTACATGCCTCTGCTAGAAGCCGTATCCTTACCTCGCGGGCGATTAGATCCGTGCCAAGAAGTACCAAGGCTACGACGCCCTCTTGCCGTTCGACGGGCTCTCGCCGGCGGCGCCACTGCTCTTGCCGTACACGCACAACTGGCCCGCCATCCGCGCCACGATTGCGGCCTGCCATGCGATCGAGGCCGAGGGGCCGTCCGCGGTCATCGAACGCCACGCCCGTGTCGCACAGCTTTGCCGAGAGGAGGCCAAGCGCATGGGCCTCGAGCTCTACTGCACGGACGAGACGGTATCACATCTGCTTATCGTATTGGCCACACAATCGTCGCATCGTTGTGCATGTAGCATGCAGTCCCCGACGGTGACGGCGCTCAAGGTCCCGACGCACCGCATTAGCTGGACCGACTTGCAAAAGGCGCTCAAGGCCGAAGGACTCATCTGCGGCGGCTCGTACGGCTCGCTCTACGGCAACGTCTTTCGCATCGGCCACATGGGCTCGCAGGCGCGCGAGGCGCTCGTGCAGGACGCCCTCGCGATCGTCGCGCGGGTGCTCGCCGCGCACCCCGCCGCATTGTAGCTTGAAATACACTAGTCGTAGCAGCCATGCTCAATAGAATCGGTAACAGAGACGGCTCGTGAAACCTGTGCTATCGAAGCTTGCCCTGTCTCTGCCGTTGCGGCGGCAGCGGCCATTACATACCCACGTCGCGCCTGTCGACGGCGCCGATAGAGCGCTCTATTGGGCTACCATGACTCGCCTGGTCGTCTACCTCGTGCCCCGTTGACCTCGGCAGCGGTAGAAGGCTTGACGCCACGAAGCGTGCGGCCGCCATCTTGGCGGGTGCCCACCATGTGGTGGATCGGCTTCGCGCCACTGGGTCCACGAAAGCCCGCCAAACGGGCAAAGTCGTCCATGGGCGAGATACGTACAACGTACCGTACGTACATGCATACTTTAAACAAGAGAGAATGTACGGAGCTGGCGATTTGAAACGGGGCGTACGGGCGTACAACGCCACGAAGTTGGCCATTTCCGATATGGAGCTCGAAGGACTGACGACGTGGCTGGACGATGCGTGGCATGGCCTCGAGCGCCGGGGCTGGATGAAGACCGAGTCGTTCTGCATGTCGCCGGAAGGCGCGGACGAAGGCGTCATCATCCCCAACAGCACCATCTTCAACACGACGGACGACTGCGTCAAGCACGCGCTCCTCAATTTACCCTACTCGGACGGCCTTGCCGCCATGGAAGACCCGATCTGGGACCACATGCAGTATCGCCTCAAGTGGCAGGTGCTCCAGCTGCAGTCGGGCGTGCGCTGGTTCGCGCAGCCTGGCCTCAAGCTCGGCGGTCTCCAGCCTGGCGTCAACCTCTACGAGAAGCGGATCCAGGCCATCATGGCGTTCCTTCAGGTCGTGCTCGGCCTCAAGCGCAAGCGTGTCGAAGTGCTCGAAACCGAAATGACCAAGCGCATCAAGAGCGTGACGGCGCCGGTCGTCGAGCCGATTGCGCTTCCCGACGGCCCCAATCCCTTTGTCCTGGCGACACCGACCAAGACAGCCAAGAAGCGCGAGACATCGCCGGACACTGCGCCCAAGCGGCGGTCCCCAAAGAAGGCCCTCGTGGCCGACGTTGCCCAAACTCCTCCTCGCCGGTCGCCGCGCAGCTTGGAGGCCGAAGTCAAGACCGAAGAAGTGATGGACGTCGCGTCGCATACACCGATGAAGAGCACGTATGTCAAGAAGGCGCCGTCGCCCATCTCGATTGCTGCTGTCGCGTGTACGAACGCTGTCATGACACCGAAGAAGCGGTCGCCGACCAAGTCGGTCTCGGGCGCCCTTGCCGACGAGACCTGCGACATTCTCTTGACACCAAAGAAACGGGGTCGGCCAAGCAAGGCCGCGCAAAGCCCCGTCGTTGCGACGGTCTTACCGCCCGCTCCCGCCACGCCCAGCAGAAGGGGCCTTCCGCCCCGCGCCACGAGCCCCATGCCAGCGTCGACCCCGACCAAGCGTGCCCGCGCACCCAAGGCCGCAAGCCCTGTCGCCTCGATGACGTCGCCAGCCAAGAAGCAAAAGACGCCGGTGGCCGCCGACGTACCCATGACGCCGCCACGCACGTCGCCGGCCAAGCTCGCATTTTCCAACAACATGCCCGAGCACAGCCCGATGCGGTCGTTCTCGACGCCCAAGAAGCAGACAACGCCGCCGTCGGTCTCCATCTTTGGGTCGCCGGCCGAGACAAAGCACTCGGGTTCCGAGTGGCAGCCAATCTTTGACAAGAAGCCCAGAGAATCGTCGTCGTCGTTGTACACGACGTCGTTCGGTCGCAACACGCCGATCAAGACAAGCACGCCGAGTCGCCGCCCGCCGCTGCCGCCGGCAACAACAACGTCGTCGTCGTCGGTGGACGAGGATGGCAAGTCGCCCATGTCCATCTCGCTCATCTTGTCGTCGGAGACGGCGCCGTCGACGAGCCACCTGGTCGCGCGGAACCTCAACCTCGCGAGCTTCCAGCACGAAAAGGTTGTCAAGCGGGAGGCCGATTTCGAGTCTGTCTCGAACGCGATGAACGACCTCCTCGACGGCGCGTACTCGCACTTGACGCACGAGAGCCCCACCATGGTGGGCCGCCGGACTGAGCTCGACGCGAAAGTGGCTGCGACGCCCGACGCTGAGGCGCACAAGTCGGTGCCGTTGTGCACACCGCCCAAGCAGGTCAACCTCGTCTTCCGCCGGCGCGTGCTGACGACGTTTCTGAGCTCGGGCTGGCAGTCGGTGCCGCCGCCGATGAAGGGCAAGGGCAACTACTTTTACACGTACAAGGGATTCCACGGCAAGTCCATTTCGCGCGAAGACCTCGAGCGATATGCGATCGAGCACGACGTGTTTGCCCCGAACGCCCTCTCGGACCCGTCGGCGACCTTTGACTGGGTCTCGATGCACGGCAAGGTTCACGACAGCAACGCTCCATCGGCCAAGACGCCGACTGTGAGCCGCAAGCTCCTCTCGCCGTCGCCCACGCGCCGCATTTCGTTCAACAGTCAATAGACTTGATACATTGATAGAAAGTTGGCCACGCTGTACAAATAGTCCCAATGAATTTATTTGAATCCTCTCAATCGTAGTTGAGTTTTCATGGTAAGAGCGACGTGAAGGCACATCGCTTACGGAAGTGTCTTGTTGTCGGAGGCAATCTGAGGACAAGCCGCTTTGTGCAGCAAGACGACGGCTCTGATTACCACTCGGTATCACTGTCCGAGTCGGCGTCTTCGTCACTGTCCCCGGCGATCGCTGCCCGACGCGCGAGGACGCGGGCAATTGCACCCGTAAACTAGTCACGTGGTGGTTTTGGCGACGATGACGTGCTCACGTACCTGGGGTGCGGCGTCTTCGACCCGCCGCTTGACAACGTGACGCTCCACCGGCCGCAGCTGCTGCTTCTACGCTCGATGTGTTGGTGTCCATAGCAGACGAGTGCCTCTATCGTACCAGTTGCAATTGGCGAAGGAGATCGTCACGGGCAGGAAGACCGACGGGGGGGCGGGGGGGCTCCGTTTAAAAACACCACATTATTGCATCATTCGACAGGGGCACTACCGGCTTGCGCAAGGCGGCGCCGGCCTGAATCTCGTGCAAAAGCGAGGCAGGCTTGCGCTTTCCTGGGGACGAAGCGATGACCACCCGCGGAGGCGGCGGGGGTGGTGGTGGCACCGTATCCATTGGCTCACAGGACACCGGTGGCATTGGGGGAGGACTCACCGGTGGCGGGGCGGGGGCTTCGCCGCCGCCATGAGAAGCTCCTTCATCGCCGCTTGGAACAAAGGGGGCCGTATCGTTCGCTCGTCGCTCGACAGCGATACAACTGCGGTCTCTGTGCTCTCGGTCTCGGTGCTCGCTGGCGGCGGTGGCGGTGGCACAGATGCCGCCATCGCTTCTGCTTCGTCCAGGTGCTCTTGAAGCGCCGCATCGTCCACGGCGGCTCTCGGCTCTTCTTCGACGCAAAGCGTCGGCAGCTCGTCGGCCTTGCGACTGCTGATGCGGAGCTCGGCGCCTTCGCCGTTGCCGTACTTTTCCTTCCACGTCTGCACAGCGAGGAAGGTTTGCGTGAGGCCAACGGGCGTCTCGCGCGCGCGAATGGCGCGCAGCTCCCGCTTGAGCTTGCGCTGGGCCACTTTCTCGGCTTTGGCGGCGTCTTGGCGCGCCGTCTCGCGGGCCATCCACTCTTCGAGGAAGAACGCCGGGTGGCTAAACTTCTTTCGACATGCGCCGTCTTCCTTCGCAAAGACATCGAGCTACACCGAGGCGCTTGGTCACAGCGCTCTGTGCACGACGACGCACCGTGTCCAACGGCGGCGGTGTCTCACACGCTGCGTACAGCGCTTGAATCGCGGCCGGCATGGTCCTAGCATCGATCCTTATGTTCCATACATCGACAGCACCGGACGATACTTTTGGGAGAAGCGCACCGCGTCTTCCATGAGTGCAGCCTTCTGGTTGTTCTTGGTGTCGGCCTCGGTCGTCTCGGCGGAAGGATGCTCGAGAAGGCCGTCGACGCGGGCGCCAAGCGCACGCATGCGCACGCTCGTCTTCTTGGCCTCGTCCGCAACCTCCGTAAAGATGTCGTTGGCGAAGGTTGCAAGGAGCCCTAGCAATCGCCATGAGCCTCTCGCTTCGAGACCGAGGCTGTGTCTACCGAGCTGCTTGAGGATGCCAGTGAGGCTACAGTGGCGTGAGACCAAGGCCGGCGCGCGCCCGACGTACCTCGTGGCGTGCGCTTGATGCATGGCTTCGGACGCGGAGGCGTCGGGCCGTGCTGTCGCCGATGCGCACGCGTGGCGCGACGGAATCACACGCCCGATGAGGGGCATGCTGCAAGATCGCGAAGATCCACCCTTTCGCAACCGGGCGTTTAATTTGATGGGAAGGAAGGAATGGATCCTTCATTCTACTGTATAGGGTGAGAGAGGGGCAAGGTGGGGCAAGGTAGTGCAATTTACCAACACCCTGAAGTCAAGTAGTCCTAAAGCGACACTTGTCATGTTGTCTTAAAGGGACACTTGCCATGTTGTCTTACAGATAACTAACTTGGCCTGTTGCCTCCCAGGGCGAGTAGATACATTCACTAGCAAGTACGAGACGAGGTGTCTCTTAGACCTGGACGACTCGCTTCCCAAGAAAATCGAATGACGGCTTGGCCGAGACGTCAAACGAAAGCGTGAGCTGCGTCGGCATAAAGTCGTACGGAAGCAAAAACTCGGTCGCGCTAGTCGCCACGAGGTCGACGTCGATTGCACCGTAGGTCAAGTGCAGTTGATCGTGACGGAGCGAGATGTTCACCGGTCCGTAGTAGTCGGGCGAGACTTCAAACAAGTACGTGCCCGGAAGGACGCTCGTGCTTGGCACCGTCCCGTTGCTTTGCGGCAATGGCTGCTTGCCAAAGTAGTGCGCGTCGCAGGGCGTGTCGGGCACAATCTTGGCGCTTGCCAAGCCGGCCTCAAAGGCCTCGTTGAGCGTCTTCTTGGGGATATCGAGGAAGAGGCCGAGAACGTACGACCGCATGAGCTCGAGGAGAGCAGCATCGCGGGCCTGTCCACCGACCGACGCCTTGTTGGCCAGCAGGACGAGCCCAAGGCCGCGCGCTGGCACGTACGCTGTCGTGCTCGTGCACACCTTGGTCGCACCGTTCTTCATGGCGTAGCGCTCGCCAAAGAGGAGGTTGCCGAGAAAGTCGATGCCGTAGCCGACCATGATACCGTCGCCGTCGAGGTTGGCTTGGAGGCCATTCATCTCCATGGTGTTGATAACCATCGCAGGAACGGGTAGGTCAAGTAGGTTGTGGCCCGAAATGAGCGTTTCAATCGACTGCGGGGACTTGAAGTTCGACCCGCCTTTAGCCAAGATGCGCTTGAGGAAGGTCGCCATGTCGTTGATCGACGACACGATCGAGCCAGCTGCGAGCATCGGGACGTTGGGGCTGAGCTTCGCCAAGGGCGACGACTGCAGCGCGTAGGGGCCAATGACAGTACCGCTGCAGACGTAGTGGCCATGGGTCAAGTGCGACGAGGGCGCGTCCGCAGCGCTGCCGTACGTCGAGGTCATGCCCCACGGCTGCCAGATCTCATTCGTCAAGTACTTGCTCCAGTGGCTGCCCGAGACAGCCTCGATGACTTGGCCGAGGACGTTGAAGCCGACGTTCGAGTAGGCAAAGCCCGGTCGGACCTTGCGCGTCGTGTTCATGTACCGAAGGCGCTCAACGCCCTCGCGCTCCGACTGCACGACACCCATCATCTGGGGCTCGTCGCCTTCGTGGTTGCCAAACACCGAGTTGTGCGACGCAAGGTCCCCGATCGTCGTCACTTCTTCCGCGTACTTGTCTTGGAGCGTGAACCACGGGAGGTGCTGCTTGACCGTGTCGCGCCATTGCAGCTTGCCGTCATCAACGAGCTTGGCGAGCGCGACGGCGACGTGGGTTTTGCTCACCGACCCAATCTCAAAGAGCGTGTCACCGTCGACGGGGTCGGTGTCGACACCGACCTGCTTGGTGCCAAAGCCGCGAGCAATCAACGTCTGTTGCAACAATGTGAGGGTCAAAGAGCAAATGAGGATGATGAGAGCGCACCTCGTTGCCTTGCACAACCGCGAGCGCAAGACCGGGGTAGCTGAAGCGCTCGCGTTGGGCTTCAATGAACGCGACGGCGTCGGCCACCTTGGCCGCCTGGGACGTACTCGGGCCTGCGACCATGGAGGCGAGCTCGGGCCCGAACGGAATGCCAAGAAAGGTTGCGTACGCACTGATGAGCCGCTGCATATCGGAAGGCAGGGAAATTGCACAATGCCACAACTGGCATGCAAACAGCAAAGTGGGAATGTTGGTTCCGAGTGGTGGTCGTCGGCGCCTTTCTGGTTTCGTTGTGACGGCTTTTTCGCAGCACTGGATTGCGCTCTCATGACCTGCCGTGCATGGCCCCAAGCTCATGTGTGGACAAGCTCCTTTATCAAGAGGCCGTTGCAGATCATGACGTTGCGAGGTGTCGCTTATAGCGAGCTGTCTGGGCGATCGAGTCGATGGCATCGCTTCGAGTTGCTGTTGCGTGCGATCGTGGGATCGCAGCATAGCTTCAACAATTGCATAACCCTTTAGCAACCCAGTTGTGGCGTGAAATGCATCGCGTACACATTTCCAGCACTTTTTAAAGCACATTCTATTAGTTGAAAAGTGTACAGCTTCAATTCCATCGACAGTACGACGACTGATACTACAACGAGCGGCGGTTGTGGGCGCGGACTTGAATGCCGTCCTGCGAGAAGAGACCAATGCCGAGCTCGAACGCAGGGTCGTTGAGCGGCGCGATGAGCTCAAACGTGAAGCGCTGGTAGAGGCTCGCAACAACGACCTTGAGCTGGAGGAGCGCGACGGCTTGGCCGACGCAGCGGCGCGGGCCCGCGTGAAAGACCGGGTACTCGAACGCACTTGGTCGTGTGGCGCCGGTGAGCCAACGCTCAGGCGAGAACGTCGTCGCTTGCGGCCACCGGGTGTGGTCTCGGCCCATGACGAAGGGCGAGAATTCGACGTTGGTACCTGCCGGGACAAACGTGCCGTCGGGCAACACATCGTCAGCGACTGCGCTCTTGAGCTCGTAGGGCACGGGTGGGAAGAGGCGGAAGGTCTCGCGTACAATCGCATCGAGGTACGACATGCAGCCCACGCTCGCGTACGTGATCTCGCTGGTTTGGAGCTCGCTTAGAAGCCGCGCTTCGACGTCAGGGTGCTTGCTCACCGCGTAGAGGATCCACGCGAGGCCGCTTCCGACCGTCTCCCGGCCCGCAAGCATCATGGTCATCATCATGTCGCGGATGAACGTGTCCGAAATCAGGTCGTCGCCGGCTTCTTGGCGCCGGAGGAGCTCCGAGAGAAGGTCGTTGCCCCTCGTGGCGCTCAGCCGCTTCGTGCGGATCGTGTCGTGACAGAGCGCGTTGACGCGTCGCATGACGCGTGCGAGGCGGTACTCGGACGGCATGAACCAGCCGAGCCATCGGTACCACGGCTGTGTGAAGCGCGCGACGCTGAGGTTGCTCGCCTCCCGAAAAAGGTTTCGAAACTCGGTGGCGTTGGCGGCCTCAAAGACGAGCCCAAACGCCATGGCGTACGTGAACTTGGTCGTCAGCGACAGCGCAATAGCCTCGACGTCCAAGAGCGCGCCGTCGCCTTGCGCTTCGATCTCCGACACCAACGCCGACGTGTGTTCGAGGAAGACGGCGTCCATGAGTGTCTTGATGGCGTTGGTCGAGAAGAGCGACGCGATGATCTTGCGCTGGGCCTTCCAGCTCGACGAGGCCGACGGGTTGACGTTGAAGATGCCGCGGCCCATGAGCTCGCCGAGCGCGCGCTGCATCATGGCTGGCTTGACGTAGTTAGTGTGGTTGCTCGCGAGGATATGCTGGACGTTTGCGGCGCTCGACGTGCACACAGAGCCGTCCATGAGAAGGTCCACGCGCACCGCATACGTGGTCCCAAGCGTCTCGAAAAGCTCCAGTTTCCAGTAGTAGTGGTCGTGGATGTGCTCGTGTTGCTGCACCAAGTTGCCAAACAGTTTGTGGCCCGGAAGACTCGGCAGACGGGCGAGCGCTGCGGCAATCCGAGCTTTGCGGCGGTAGAAGAGTGGGATCTTGGTAACGAGCATGTAGGTGAGCCCGACGGCGACGGCGATTGCAGTCTCTTGTGCAAAAGTGAGCCCGAGCGCCATGAGCGAGCAAAATGAAAAGTGAGTGGCAACGCTCGCACGTCGCTCGGGCGCCCCATCACATGGACAAAGCGGAATGCCCACCGTCACATATCAATTCTAGATTCTAACATTCAAAAAGGCAAAGGCAGAATTCCCACCATCACAATTCCATTCTAGATTTTAGCCCAGCTGCTGCTTGGTTCGAACATACCCTAACCCTCGACGGCATTCTTTTCCAGCGAAATGATATTAGCTCGTGGGTGGGTGTTCACTGGGATGCATAGTAGCATGCAAAGCAATTGAGTCATTGCAACAACCGTGGTCGAGATCGTTTGTCTGCTACATGTTTGCACGATGTTTCCAAGCACATTATTATGAGTTACATCAGGCAACGGGCCCGTCACCGCTTGAATGCTGCGTAGAAGCTATACACAGCGGCTGCACGAGTGACCGAGCAGCTGCAGCGCGACGCATGCCACAAGGACGTCCATGTCCTTGGCGGACAGAAACATGCTTTCGCCGAGTCGAATCACGGCGCGAAGCACCAAGTGCATCGGCTCGGGTTCCTTGATCACCTGCAGCACGACACCATCGTCGTTGGCCGAGAAGAGCACGACGCCGCCGCCCATGCTCGCCAGCGGTGGCATGCTCGTCGCATTGGCGCTCTGTACTGCGGTCTTCACCGCAGACGCGCGGTCGGCCCGAAGCGCCGCCTTGAGCCGCGTCACGTTCATGGCGCGCGCACCGACGTAGGCCGCGAGGGACCCGATCGCTACGCTAACGCTACGGCGAGGCGCGCGAGCCTTGACGCGGAAGTAGTACGCGTTGGCTTGCCACAAGCAGCTCGGCTGCTGCGCGTCGTTCTCGACGAGCAAGTTGAAGAGGCGCGGCGCATCGCGTGTCGGCGCGGCGACGAGGCTGCCGAGACACAAGTCGGCCAGCTCATCGGTCTCCCGGTCGTATGCCGAGTACCACGTGCTGGACGGCGACTCAATTCCATGGAGCAAGCCGGCGACGTCTGCATCCAACGCATCGTCAAACGCCAATCGGAGCTGGTCGATCACCAAGAGACTGCGGTTCAAAAGCGATGGAGCGAAGAACGTGACGCCCGACCGACCAAAGCCGGCCGCGGGCGCCGGATAGGCGTAGAAGGCCAGCCCCGGCGACGTATCGCCGACCGCCAACGACGTGCGCGGTGCTACACTCGGCGGCACGGGGATTCCTGATACGATGTAGAAGGACGCCCAAATCGCGCGCATCGCTGCCAGCGTTTCGTTGGCGCCCGAATCGCTGCTCGAATTGGACAACGACGACGCAAGCTGGACGAGCGCGTTCAGCTGCGTGACCGCGCTGCCCCACGGCCACGGGTATGTGGTCGTGGGCAAGATGCCGTTGGGCAGCGACGGCGCATAGTACGTAGACGCGTAGGACGAATACGGCGCAAACCGGCTCGCGATCGAGGCCGTGACGTTGATGTACGTGACGCCCGTGTAGTTGTACGCATGCAGAATCGGGATTGACGCCACATTTGTCTCGTTCCCACGGCGCGTCGAAATGTTGTACTTGCGCACAAAGGCGTCAATCGTTAGAAACGCAGCGGCCGGGTCCAAGAGCGGCGCCAAGCGCATGCTACCAGTGGTGTCGTCGATGCGAGGATGGGTGGGCGACTGCTGCATCGTACGCACGACCCAAGCAAGGGACGTCGTGAGCTTCTTGGCGGTGCCAACGACGCCGTCGTAAAAGGTGCGCGCGAGCTCGCCGACACTCACGTGTTTGGTGCGCAGACCAAGGTTGGAGTTGAACCAGCGGTACTCGCTCTTGAAGCCGTCGCCACCGAGCGCACTCGCGATCTTGTAGCTCTGGAAGCTGCCGTCGTTGGCCTGCGGCTCGAGCGTCTTGACGCGGATCACGTCGTCGGCGCCATCGCTGAAGACGACCAGCGCCCAGAGACACATGACGTGCACCCGCATCCAAGCCAAAATTAGTCGATTTGTTTCCGAGCGATGATGTAAAATCACAAGGAATTCGAGTAAAATCGCAAGGAGGTCGTTTGCAGCAGACTACATGCAGACAAGGCGCGCGCGTCTGTGTGCACATTCTATGGGTTCATTTACACTGCCGCTCCAAGCACGAACCGCTTTGGACGGGAGCCCATGGGGGTAGGGGTGTCAAGTAGGGTTGGGGTGCCGGGTGAAGACATGGCGAGAGACCCGTCCAAGCGACCTTGTCTACCTCCTCTTTGGACCCACACGTTAGCGTCGTACGGCAGAACTCAAGAGAGTCGCAAGGCATATCGACGATGGGGTTCCAGCGCCGTGGCCACAACGCATGCCGGTCATATCGTTGGAGACGAAAAGCAACATCGTGTTTAGCAGCTTCAAGGTGCGTGGCCTACACGTTGCGCTGGCTCTTGTTGCCTGCGAGTCGACCCGTCTTGTTGATGGCCATGATCGCATTGACGCTGCGCTTGAACTTGGCGCGCGTCTTTTCCCGGCGGTCGTGGAGGTTGGTGCCGACAAAGCGCAACTGCGGCATTGGCGTCGCCACGTCCGCGAGCCACGGGTGCGCGAGGACGTCGGACGCGCTTAACCGCGCGTCCGGGTTCACGAGCAGCATCTTGGCGATGAGGTCCTTCGCCGACGGCGAAATGTCGTCAAAGTACGGCGACGGAAAGTCGTACTCGGCGTTCCGGATCTAGACCGCGACGTGAGTGTCCCGTCGACGAGCCGCATGACACCTTTTCCATTTCCTGGATCTGATTCTCGTCGTAGAACGGCGGGAACCCGCACAGAAGAATGTACATGATGACGCCCAAACTCCAAATGTCGCACTTTTGTTCGTACTACCAAAACCGCATGAAAAGACGAGAGGATAGAGGTAGTACCGGTCGGCGGGCAATGACCTCGGGCGCAAAGTACCCAGGCGTGCCGCACATGGTCTGCATGACCACGCCGTCGGCGGCGATGATGGCGAAGCCAAAATCGGCAATCTTGATCTCCGCGTTGTCGTCGGCCGTCGCGTAGAGGAGGTTCTCGGGCTTGAGATCGCGATGGGCAATGTCTTGGGCGTGGCAGTAGACAAGCACGTCGGCGACCGTGCGCACGACCACCTACGCACGTGCATCATGAACGAGGCCCAACGATAGGGTCGCGAACCTTGGCTTCGGCTTCCGTGTAGTGCTCCTTGGCGATTATGCGGTCAAAGAGTTCGCCGCCCGTGACGAGCTCCATGACCAAGTAGCACATGTCACCTTCGTTGTCAAACACATCGACGAGCTTGACAATGTTGGGGTGGTCCAGCTGCAGGCCACGATGAGCTCAATCATATATGTCCATACAAGAGGTACCTTGCGCAGGATCTCCATCTCGCGATGGATGTTGTCAAGGTCTTTCTTCTTGAGCGCCGTCTTCTTGATGCACTTGACCGCGAACGGCTTGCCCGTGGCCTTGTGCGTGCACTGCTTGACGACCGAAAAGTTACCTACGCCACGTCGTCAGAGCACGTCGCCTATGGGTGCGCTCGCACCTTCGCCGAGGGCCTTGCCCATCGAGTAGGCGGAGCTAAAGGTGCGGCGTTCGGGCAGCAGCGGCGCGGCCGGGGGCGAGATGGCGTCAGCAGGTGGCGGCGGCGGCGGGTTCTTCGTGTCTGGCTCGCGACCGAAAATACCAAATTGCCTCAAACAGGCCGTTCGATGATCGGTCCGGATCGTATTATCCGGATAGAAAAGGCAACCTCATGGAAACCAAAAGATATTGCAACAATCCCACAGCAAGATATATCCAAGTCGCGAATTCAGTCATTGTACAAACTGAGCCTTTGGAGGTAGACTGTTATAGAGAGGATGTCAGGCCACCGCTCGTCGCGTCTTCGTTGACAGAAGGACAATATGCACGTCGCCATCGTCCTCACGACGCAACAATCTGAAGCCGACCCGCGTCGCCCCTATGCCGTCTGCGCGCGCGTGCGGGTCGTCGTCTTCTTCCTCGTCGGCGCTTCGGGCTCGTTGGCGTCGCTTTTCTTGCGCTTGAGAGACTTGGCCGACGCTGGCTTGAACGCCGCCAGCTCGGCGGCAAAGAGAATGCTAGCATTGTCATCATAGGTGGCGACGTCTTCCAAGGTCGAACCTATGCGCCCACCCCGCGTACGGAGTGAACCGGTCTTGGTACAGCTTGCCGACTTGGGCGTACACGGTCGGCGTCAAGCTCTTGTGCGCCTACAGCCTCATCATGGGCAGCTGGAACGAATCCCGATCTGGAACGTACTTTGGCGTGAAAGTCGCGGCAAGCGATTTGCCACACGTGCGTATCAACCGGGATCGCCTCGAGCTTCTCGAGCGAGAAGAGCGCGATGCAGTCGGCGACCTTGCGCCCGACGCCGGCAAACTGCGTCAGCGACCTCTGGACGGCGGCCGCGTCCGCGTTCGCACGAAGCGTCTGCAAGTAGTCTTCGCCCCCGAGGTCGTGGAGTATCTGCGCCGACTTGACAATGTACTGGGCGCGGTAGCCGAACCCAAGCGTGCGCAGCTCGGCCTCTTGGATGGCCGTCAGCTGCGCGAGGGTCGGGAAGGCATGCAGCGGTGTGCCGTCGTGGGTCAGGAGCTCGTCGCCAAAGCGCGCGCGTAGTTTCTCGAGCATCTGCGTGACGCGCGCAATGTTGTTGTTGGACGAGCAAATGAACGAAAAGAGGCACTCGAGGGGGTCCTGCCTGCGCCAGCCATCAGCAATCGGCAGCAACGATCCCGGCGCTCGTACCGAATGAGGCGGAGCCCGGGCAGCGACGCAAAGGCCGGCGAGAACTTGTCGTTGGGCTTCATCCACGACGCTACGCAGCACTGCATACAGTTCGATCGCTGAGGGAAGCGACGCACCGTAGAGTGCGTCGAGGTTGTCCTACCGATGCCATGAGCCGCCGATAGGGTGTGGCAGATGGAAAAAAGTACATCGATGCGAAAGTAGGACGAGACAAGTGCGTGGACGTCGTCGTCCTTGGATTGCAGCGGAGGCGCGTGCAAGCACGTGTACTCGATCGCCGCGTCGGCCTCACGGAGTGCGATGACGTGACGCTGGATGACGCCAACCCACTGCGCCTGGACTTGACGCCAGTTAAAGACTTGCCCGCTCTGCAGTGTGAGGTGACAGGCCATTTCTACGCGAGTTCGTTAGCAGGCTCCTCGCAGCACGGAGCATGCCAGAGCGAGGACACAAGCGGCGCCACATGAGGAGGACTTCGGCCACGATCCTGGCACAGTATACGGATGTCCGGATAGAGACAGAAGCAATCTCGTTCACTAAATGCACCCAACTATCGGCTTGTCAGGTACACAGATCTGATTTTGTTACCATGTACGGTTGCGTTGGTGTAGCCTGCGTGTGATTGGGATCCTTGACGTTGCGCACGGGCCAATCAGCGCGTGGGATCTTTCCGGAGTCGAAGTCATTCCGCAAAAAGGATGGTGACCACCAAGATTGCCCTGGCGTTGCTTGGCAGCGTCGCGATGACCTCGGCTCTACACCTGCCGCCGACGCATGCGCGCGGTGGCGACCTCTTCAAGGACTTTAGCGCCGTCGTGTCGCTGGCGCCGGCGCCGGAGGCGCAGTGGTTCCAGCAAACGCTCGACCACTTTTCGCCCAAGCCACCACTTCACTTTCTCCAGCGCTACTACGTGGACGACACGTACTGGGGCGGGCAGGACAATAGCCCGATCATCATGTACATTGGTGGCGAAGGCGCAATGGACAAGATGCCGACGGGCTACATTGACGTGATTGCCAACGAGCACCGAGCCAAGGTACGTCGCACCGCTATCGTCGGGTCGAGCCGTGGTCGCTATAAGAAGGACATAGATCGTCGCCCTCGAGCATCGTTTTTACGGGAAGAGCGTCCCCAAGGACGACCTCTCGACCGAGAACCTCAAGTTCTTGACCGTCGAGCAAGCACTGGCCGACTTGAAGGTGTTTATCGAAGCGTACCAATTGACGCTCCCGAGAAAGTCCAACCCGTGGATCGCGGTCGGTGGGTCGTACCCCGGTGCACTCGCGGCGTGGTTTCGGTACGCGTCCGTGGTGCCCCGTGTTTTGTCGCTCAAAACTACGTAGCATTGCGTATCCGAACACGACGGTCGCCGCCTTGTCCTCGTCCGGAGTCGTCAACCCCGTCTACAACTTCCACGCCGAGCAGGTTCGAGTTCGCTTTGCATGCCGCGCTCTCTCACACTCACGCGTGCGTGCAGGTAGCGCTCTCGGCGGGCCAAGAGTGCGCCGATGCCCTTCGCCGCATCACAAACGCGTACGAATCCGAGATCCAAGCTGGCCGCAGTGACGAGGTGCTGATGCCCTGCCTTCTTGCGGCGCTGAGGCGACAGGCACGTAGGTCAAAGGCCTTCTCGGCGCGCAAGCGCTCGCGGACCCTGATTTCTTCTACATGCTCGCCGACGCGGCTGCCATGGCCGTGCAGTACGGCAAGAAGGACCAGCTCTGCGGACCCATGGTCGCGGCCGTGCAAGCCAACGCGTCGCTCCCCGAGGTACGCACTTCGATCCCGGCCAGCGCGCCACCAATAATACCGCTGTACAGGCGTTTGCCAACTTTACCATTGCCATGTACGGCCCTGCCTTTGGCGCGGGCTGCTTCTACGACACGGCGTGCCTCAAGAACGATCCGTCGCGCTGGGCCGACGTGCGGTCGTGGCGCTGGCAAAAGTGCTACCAGCTCGCCTACTTTCAGGTACCGGTCGCGTCCCCAAGAATGGCGGCTCACGGCGACGAGGCGTAGGTGGCGCCGCACCACGACAGCCTTCGGTCGTCGATCGTGGACCTCGACTACCACGAGAAGCAGTGCTACGACATCTTTGGCGACGTCGTCGATCCGTCGGCCGGCGTCGCCGCCACCATCCAGCGCTACGGCGGGGACAAGCCCCGCGGCCACAACATCTTTTACGCCAACGGCGGCGACGATCCGTGGCAGCGTGCGTCGGTGCTGACGTCGCTCGGCGAGGACCAGCCAGCGTTCTTGGCCGTGTGCGACCTCTGTGGCCACTGCGGCGACCTCGGCAACACGGCGCTCGATCCCGCGCCGCGTCGCCGTCAAAAAGCCAACATTTTGTACTTTCTCAACAAGTGGCTGCAAGAGGCGCAAGGCAGCGCGGTGACGACGACGCTTTCGGAGGTCGCAGCGACCTCGAGCGTCGCGCGCGTCTCGTTCTTGGTGCTGCTGCCCATCGGGTGCCTCTTCTTGGCCTTCAAGGCGCTCTTGCATGTCGATATCGTGCGCGAGGCGTCGTCCGTACGCACGAGCTTGCTCTAAGCTCCAAGATCGTAGCACCCAATACAATGCCAGCGTTCTTTGATGCCAGAAAGAGCCTGCTACGGCGGCGAGGGCGGCTCGGAGCACGATCGACCGCCTGCCACTCGCGGTAGCCACGGCGCCGACCACATTGAGGCAGAGAGCGTGCAGCTGCAGGCCGAGCGAGATGCGAGGAATCCACCGTCCACGGCGACGGTCGCCATCGAGGATGTGTATACGGTGGACGCGGCCCTTGAAGATCGCGGTTGCCGTAATTCCGGATAATCCGTGCGATTATCCGTATGACCTGCGATTGGTCGGGGCTTTGTGGCGTTGGGAAGTGCCAAACTTACCGACGACGAAGACGGCAGCAAGATGAGCTGGCGCGCCCAAATCTCCCGCAACGTCCAGGAACTGCGCTTCGTGGCCTGCTCGACCTCGGAGAGCAGCAGCGGCCTCCGGTAAGCTCGCCGCTGCATGGCTATCTCGCTCATCCTGCGCGTGGATAGCACGTTCTTTCGACGAAACTACAACGAGCTCAAGATGCTCAACCCGCGCACGCCCTTTGTGTACCGCGAGGCTGAGGAGCTCAAGCCGTTCGTGTACGCTCGCTACGGTACGCGCTGCCGTGTAGCCATCTATCTATGATAGCTGAGATGCGATCTAGACTGGGGCAAGGAGAAGCAAGTGTTCTTGGACGACAAGACGCCCGATGAGATTACGCGCATCTTGAAGGACCTCGTCGACCACGGCGCGTCGTTGCCGCGCTCGCCTGAAAGCGATATCTTATTGGCGGCGCCCATCGTCGATGCTCGCTTTCCGGAACGCGACTACGAGCCCATCAACATCACGTGGGACGGCGTCACCGTGCGCCGCAACCCTGACTTTGACGCTACGAACTAAGCGTCGCCGCGCGCCTCGGCACGCATAACTCGATGGAACATGATTGTTCGGCGTGAAACCCGTAGATGCTACCCTCTGAATGGAACTGGCCAGCGATCGACGTATATTTGCACCACGCGTAGATAGAGGTGGGTAGAGTATGAGGTGCGCAGGGACCAGACGTCGCCTAATGCGAGCCCGGCCGCACGAACGCTTCGTCGTCGTGGAAGTCTTGGTGCAGGTTGTACGTCTCGATCAAGCCTTGGGCAATGCGATTGGGCAAGTACGAGATAAACGGCTCTTCAAGCAGCAGCACGTCGACGTCCAGCGGGATGGACTCCTACGACAAGCCATGAGCGACGCCATCGAAGCACCCTTGTACCAGGAACGACGCCGTCGCGGTGAGCCAAATTCCGAGCGCGATCGACGCATGGGAGCAAGTGGCAATGACGCTCGGCCACGTCATCTCCATGAGCGTGCGGTACCGAAGCACGTAGTGGATGTACTTGAGCGACCCGACACCAATGTAGCCAAAGCCAAGCAGCAAGAGCCCTACGCACAGTATTAGTGACCATCGTCGTGTTGATCGCCGAGTGTACCGGCGCCGCTCAGGTGCGCACCGCGGTGGTGCTCTTGGGCATACATGGCCACGCCGACGCCAGACGAGAGCACTCCGTTACGCGCCCAGTTCAGGTACGAGTTCTCGTTCGTGAAGCGCATCATCTACGAGACGGGTCAACGCGCTTGGCAGCAGTGGCCGGTACCAGCGCGTTCTTCGTGGCCTGAAGGCGCTCGCAGGCCTGGGCCTCGGCTTGCTTGGCGGTCGCCGCCGCCTTGGCCTTGGCGGCGCAGCGTATTGCCTTGAGCGGGCGCTGGAGGTTGTGGAGGCGCGTGCGCATGGTGCTCGAAGGTGGACTGTCGCGGCCTTGGCAACGCCACAATTAATCATCTGATCCCGGTGACGCCGAACTTAAGAGCAAAGTGAACTTTAGAAAGAGTGGGCCAAGCCAGTGGTGGCCGTGATCAGCACGGGAAAGGAGCGCATGTACACGATCGCTTCCAGAGGGGATGCAGGCCAACCATACGAAAATGGTGCGAGCCAGCGCTTGAAGCGTCGCAGGCGCGCGCCATAGAGCTCGCGGACCATAAACAACTGAACTTTACGCGGGAAGCCACTTTTAACGACGACGACACTGCCACATTTTATGCCCACGTCCAAGCAGCAAAGACAGCGATGAGATGTCAAAGATACGCCCACAGCCGAGTACCATGCACCGAGGGTCTGCACCATGATATCAATGGGAACTGGGTGATCACATGTAGCTAGGTGCATGCAGCAGGTGCGTCGCGGCCAGAACGGGATGATGACGCAGAGGATGTGCGTGGCGGAATCGGATCGCAAGAGGCGATGGGCCTGGAGGTCGGGCAGACCGAAGAAGACACCGACGCAGCAAGCAGCGCGCTCTTTGTTGGCGAGTTACCATGCTTCTCCTCTACTCGATCTACTTGTGTGTGTACATGCTGTTTAACCCTTCTTGATCTTGGCCTCGTTGAACAAGACGTGCTGCCGGACGACCGGGTCGTACTACGTCGGTTCATGAGCTCGCTGGAAGGATCGTCATGCGTGCAATTACCTTGCGAAGGGCCAACTTCTTCTGCATGTTGCGCGGGTTCTTGCGCGTCGTGTAGAAGAAGCTACGCTGCACGTTAGCGACGCTCGTCCATGTCCATGGCTTCATCGTACCCAGTGTTGGCAGCGCTGAGCAGCTTGATGATGACCGACTTAGCCTTACCCTACGCCAGGATACATGCATGAGCATGGACCATCGCCCGTCCGGCGCCGCCATCTACCTTGGCCATCGTTCCGTCTCGACTTTTTGATGGATGGGCCAAGGCGAGTAAGACCACCGAAAATACGCTATTGCCATTGGCTGAAAATAAATTCCGTAAACGTTGGCCATTGGTGTAATAAAGTGGCCAATGGCCTTTGCCGGAAATCGCGCCAGGCAGCACGCTTGCTTCATTCTTTTACGTCAAGACGGCTGCCCACATGCAACCACCAACCCACGTCTCTATCGCCACACTGGCAGTCATCTCCGTTGCGACGATGCATGCATCTCTGTCCTTCGATTCCATCGCCTTCATTTCTCGCTCGGTGGATAAGGTAGATCCACCCCGCGCCGACGTTGTGTTTCATGTTGGCCTGCGCAGCTGGTCTTCGCCAGAGAGAGAGATGCTACCAGCAGCATGGCGTCGACTGGCGGAGCGAGTGATACGCACTTGCCTCTTTTTCGATGAGCTTCCATTGCTACCAAACATGTTCGCCCAGATATTAGTCGGGTTCCATCATGTAATCGCGGTGGTCGCAAGACGACGCGAGTAGAAGCTGGTGCTGGATCCATCCGTCGAGAAGCGGCGCTCGATACTGTATGTGCTGTGCACTAGTACCGCCGCAACCAACGGTCGATCGACCTTCGCTGCGCCTTGAGCGCCCCAAATGGCCGGCCACGGTGATATGTCGGTTGGTCGCTATGCATCGGAACAATTCGCTGCGCAGTAATTGCGCCGTTGTAGCAGCAACGTGCTGTAGCAGCGACAGGATGGTGATGATGGAGGGCATGGCTGCTTCATGCGATACGACACGGCCGACGCGGACACGGTGCATTGGCTTCTTCTTCGTCGTCCCGGCGGCTGATGGTGCGTCATTGACTGGATCGACGCCGTTGCCTTCTTCTTCTTCAAGTTGGCGTCGGTTCGATGGCGCCTGCTTCCTCCGGCGGTGGTCGTTTCGGCCATATCTCGGTCAAGTGGTCAGTGACATATGGCAAGCGCTAAGTCCAGCACTCCACGCGCGGCCGGGTGCTCATTGACTAAGTCGCCTCCCACCACGCATGTCGATCTTCGGTTCTTGCGCATGGTGCACGCCGGCCGTGTCTGAGCCCCGCATGCGCCCGCGCACGTGCTCGGCCGACCGCCAGTGCTGCCGCGACCTCGCGCAGCTCGTGCTCGCCGGCGACCCGAACGTCGTCGAGGCGCACATTGCGATCCACGCGTGCACCGTCAACCACACGGTCGTGTGCAGCAGCAAGCACAAGCTCTGCGTCTCGCCCTTCTGCATGCGCCGGGCGCCGCGCACGTCCCGTCTCGAGCAGCTGCCACTGCCCGACCGGTCGACCGTGTGCGGCCTCACGCTCTTGCAGATGGCCGTGCTGGCGGCCGACGAGGCCATCGCTGCCGTGCTCTTGCGCGCCGGCGCCTTGCCCAACAAATGCCACTCGCCCCATGAGAGCGCCCTCGTGCTAGCCATCACCAAGCGCGCGAGTGCGATCATCGACCTCCTCTTGGCCCACGGCGCGGCCGTCGACGAGGCGGTGCTGGCGCAGGCCGGTAGCACGGGCAACACGACCCTTGTACGCCAGCTCCTCTCGTCCCATGCCCACGTACCCCGGCTACCAGCGCTCATGGCCACCCGCGACGATACCGAGATGCAGCGGTTACTGCTATCGTCCGCAAGCTCGAGTACGCGCAGCCAGTTTCTGCACCACTGCGTCTCGACGGGCGACGTGGCCGGCGTCCAGCGCTTTGTCGCGGACTGCGGCCCTGGCCTCGTCGTCGACTACCGCGGCGACGCCTACGCCGTGGGCGACACACTCGTGCACACGGCGTGCCGCATGCAGCAGCTCGACGTGCTCAAGTATCTCCTCCTCCTCGGCGTCGACGTCAACGCCCGGAACGCGATCGGCGTCGCGCCGCTCTACATCTGCGCCGCCACGGGCGCGCTTCCATTCGTCGAGGCGCTGGTCCGGGCGTCGGCCAGCGTCCGCGGCGCGACGGGACCGAACGGCGACTCGGCGCTGCACGTGGCCGTGCAAGAAAACCACTTTACGATCGCGCGGCTGCTCGTCCATGCGGGCGCCGACGTCAACGGACCCAGCGCGACGGGCGACACGCCGCTGCACATTGCCAGCATGCACGGGCACGGACCGATGGTCGCGTATCTTTTGCGAAAGGGCGCCGACGTCAGCCGCGAGAACCTCCGCGGCGAGACGAGCCTCATGAAGGCGTGCCAGCTCGGCCACGCGACGGTCGTCACGCTGCTCGAACGCGCGCACGAGACGCCGGTCGACGACGAGAACCGGTCGTCCTCGTTCGTCTACTACGACGTCATGCGCCACACGCAGCGCGTGCACTCGATCTAGCCAGGAACGACGACTCGTCTTTTTTATCTATGCAGGTCGCCGTGGGCAGCGACCTGGACACCTCTCGTAATATTTAACATGCAAGTCTTCGCTTCGCTCCTTGCTGTCGCAACGCCACGCAGCAGTGGCCAGGCACGAGGCTGGAACGACGGGCCAAGCAAGTGCGGCCGAGTGCATAGCTTGCCTTGAGGTACTGCACGCGCAGGTGCGCGACGGCTCAAGGAAGAGAGGTCCAACGATCGCACGGTGAAGCATGGCGCGAGCACTTGGATAGCATGCCTCAGCTCAGGTGGAGCAGCTTCAAGGGCGACATCGCCACGGATGGTGGTACCGGCGACAAGGACGTGGTTCCCTAGCCCTACCCGTCCGACGGGATGTGGCAGGGAGCTTTGGAATGCATCCCATTTCGAGGAGGATGATACATGATGATGCGGACCTTGAAGATACGGGAAGATAAAATAAGTGGGTGGTCAACTACGGTCAAAGTCAAGACGAACGACTAGGGGGACATGGACGACTGCCGTAAGAGGGCCTTGAAGTACGGGTCGACGCCCAAGCTCTTTTCGTTCTCTTCCTTGGTCATGAAGAGCCGGAACGACTCCTTCTTTTGGTTGAGCGTCAAGAGGTTCTGCGACGCGAGCGTATCGAGCTGCGTGTAAAACTCGCGCAGCGTCATGATCGCCGCCGCCGACGTGCCGGCCATGCGACTCAGCTCGCAAAACTTGTCGTACGTCTCGTGGATCGAGAAGACGTTGGCGACGCGCGGCTGCATCTTGGTGGTCGCGTACACAATGAACTGCGTGTTGCGCGGCAGCGTCTGCAGCACTTTGGAGCCCTGGAAGTCGACCACGAGCTTGAGCGTCGCCGACATCTCCATGAGCGAGACCGCAAAGCTCTTGGTCCCGCTCTCCTTCTCGGCTTTTTGGTTGAGGACGCGCCGGCAAATGTCAAAGGCCGTGCGAATGTCGCCGTTGAGCTGCGCGATCTTGCGCGAGAGGAACGAGAGTGCGACGGGATCAAACAGCGCCTTGGGCAAGAGGCTGTCGCGGACGATGCGCGCCTCGAGGATGCTGTGGATCGCGTCGTAGTCGTACGGCCGGAACATGACGACGACCGGGATGCACGACCGTGTGCGCAAGTACGGAATGTACTTGTTGGTGAGGTCGATCGAGTTGGCGATGCCAATGAAAATGAGCGACGACGACGGGTGGTGCGCCCACTCAAAGAGACGGTAGAGGTCGCTCTCGCCCTTGCCGTTGAGCAAGACGTCGATTTCATCCAGGATGAGCAACCTATCGGTGCACACAGTAGTTGATACATTGATACTGCACGTACGTGGTTGTGGTCGTGCTCTGGAACGCGATCTCGAGCGCCGCGATCGCATCGGCCGTCGACGAAAACGACCGCTTCGTCACCTTGCGCGCGATGGTGGTGAAGACACCGTTGCTGTCGCTGAGCGCCATCGCGTTGAGGTTGAGGACCGAGAGGGGCGTGGCTTGGTGCGCACTCGACCACTCCTTGGCGATTTGCTCTTGCATGAGGCGGAGGAGCGCGGTCTTGCCCGTGCCCGGCGTGCCCGAGACGTACGCGCTGCCACGCTGTTTTTGATGCACGCAGCGGCGCACAAAGTCATGGAGCATCTTTTGCTGCTTGGCGCGGTGCGGCATCGCGTCCGGGCGGTGCGCGAGGCTGAGGTTCTCGAGCACGCGCGCGACTTCTTGCTCAAGGAGCGACGGGCCCTTCTCCGGCGACGCCACACTCTTGGCCGGCGACGAGGCCGCGCTCTTGGCTGGCGACGAGACCGGCGACGAGGCTGCACTCTTGGCCGGCGACGAGACCGGCGACGAGAGCACCTGTGTCGCCTCGTCGGCCGGCGGTTGCCACGTCAGCGTCGACGTCGACGTCGTTGTCGGCGTCGTCTCCTCTTCGCTCGACGACGAGACGACATCGACGACAACAGGTGCCGTCTGCGTGTCGAACACAATGGCCTTGGTTGACGGCGTCTTGTGGATGACGACCTCCGTCTCGTCGTCTTGCTTGTCGACGTCACTCACCTCGCTGTCATCGTCGCTGGACGAGTCCGAGTCGCTGTTGTCGCTCTCGTCGTCCTCCTTGGTGTCGTCGAGGACCTTGACGAGCTTGGCGTACGTCACGACCCCCGACTTGTTGTAGACCTTTCCGCGCGGGTTGCAGTACGTGTACGCCGAGTCTTCCATCGTGTTGGGCTTGCGCTCGGTCCACCCGCGCGCCTTGAGGACTGGCCAAATGTTGGCAAACGAGTACGTCCCGTTCGCGGTCTCGTCCTCGGACGTGGACGGTAGCACGAGCGCCTCCGACGCCGACCCGCCCTCGGTCGACGACTCGTAAATGTACCGACGTCGGTGTTCCTTCTGGAGCTCTTTCTCGAGACCGGCATATTGCTTGGATTGCTTGAGGTACGCGATGAGGTCGTCTTCCGAGTGGAACGACCGCAGCTCCTTCCGGTCCTTGTACTCGGCGTATTCGTACCCGAGAAGACCGTTCTTGTACCGCCATCCGCGCTTCTGCAGGAGGCTAAAGAGCCGACCAAACTTCATCTCGAATGGAGGAATCGTCACCGACGACTTGGCAGCCTTCTTGGTCGCCTTGGGCTGCGTCTTGGCGCGTGTAAGCACCGGCTTCTTGACTTCCGTCTTCTTGGCTTCGGGCGACGACTCGACGCTCATGTCTTCGTCGTCGGCGTCGTTGCTTCGGTCGGGCGAGAAGAGCCCGGACGCGGCCGCAGCGGTTGACAGCGGCACGTTGAAGCGCGGGACGGGCGACGTGGGCGCCGGCGTGCCCGCCTCGGACGCCGCACCGGTGGCCTCTGGCGAGCTCTCGGTCGTCGAGTACCCGTTGTAGGAGCGCTCGAGGATGCGCGAGATGCGTGCCCACTCGCCCGTGCGCTTGAGGAAGAGCTCGAGGTCCACTTCATTGTGCCAGTAGTCGACGTTGAGCTCGCCGTTCGCTTCGGTCTTGCCAGGCTTAAAGTACGAGTAACCCATCGGACCCGTCTTGTGCGTATAGCCTCGGCTCTGCAGCACGCGGTACACAAGCCCGAAACTGCACTTGAAGCCCGTCGCCCGGCGAGGCGGCGACACCGCCACAGCCTCCTTGGCCTTGCTCGCTGCCTTGGTCGAGATAGTGAGTGCTGCCTTGCGGCCCGTCTTCTTGGGCTTGGTAGCGTCAGCCTCTGCCGCCTTCTTGGGTTTGGTAGCGTCACCGTCCGTTGCCTTTGACTTCTTGGCCTTGCCAACTGCCTTCTTGGCGACCGTCGTCGTCTTGATGGGCGACGTGTCGTCGTCCTCGGCCGAGATGACCACTGACTTGGTCTTCTTCTTGGCGTCCGGTGCGACTGGTGTGTTTTCGACGCCCGAGAACGAGAGGCGTTGCTTCGTGGGCTTGACCACTTTGGGCTTGGCCTCGACCGGCTTGACCTCGATAGGCTTGGGCTCGACAGGCTTGGCCGGCACGGGCTTGTCCGCAAGCGGCTGGGCCACGGTGGAGCCGTTGAAATCCAGCTGTGGCATTGGGCCTCCGCGCAGGTGCGCTTGGATCGCGTGGAGATGCCCTTTGGCCTGGAGAAACTCGATGACGGCTTCTTCATTGGGAAAGTGGTCGACGCCCTCGACGCCCTTGGCGTCCCGTCCGGGCGCCACGTACTTGTAGCCAAACGTACTTGCGACGTACGTCCAGCCAAACTCCTTGAGGACGCTGTAAAGACGCGCAAATGGGAACTCGGCGTCGGCAAAGCGCCGGCGGTGCGAGGTCGACGACCGGCTGTTGACGTCGCTGTTCTCCTTGTCGCTCGACTCGTTCAAAGCGCGCTTCTTTGTCTTCTTGGTCCGTGCGACGGGCTGGAGCGCCGAGGTTGTGGTGGTTGTCGTTGTCGTCGTCGTCGTGGGCGCCACGGTTGTCTCGGGCTCGGCGGTCGCGACGAGTGGCGGCGACGGTGCGGCGAGGGGCGCATCTTCGACGCCATCCGGCGACTTGCGCTTCTTGACGAGGCTCTTGCGCTCGCTCGTAAACTTGAGCACCGCGTCTTTTTTGTTCATAAAAAAGTTGACGTTCGGGACCAGGTCCATGACGTTGATGCCGGGCACGTGGTACATGACGTCGTTGTTGCGCATCTTGAACGACTTCCACTGCTTGTGCGTCTCCATGTAGTCCCAGATGATGCTCCAGACGCGCTCGCTCGACTCGGATGCTTCGGCCGACGCGTACTCGTCGAGCGCCTTCTTGAAGGCCGCCTTCTTGGACGTGTGGACGGTGACACCGGGCGTGAAGTTGAGAAACGAGACGCCGGGCATGAGGTAGGCGAGGTCGCCCGAGCACGTGAGGAGGCTCCAGCCATCGGCCTCGAGAATCTCCCAAATCGACTCGAAGAGGAGTCCCCACTCGCGCTCGTCGTCGGCGATGTGCACGCCGGGCGACACGAGGCCTTGGCTGTCGGTCACGACGCCATTGTCCAGCGACGAGTTAAAGACGATCTCGCACGCCTTGAGCTTGGTTGGCGCGTTGGCAAACTGTGTCGCAAGCTCGACAGCGTTTCTGTACATGGGTTCGCTGCTATAGTCGTCGTCGGCCGACCACGGCGTCGCGTCGAGCGTCTTGGCCGGCAGAAGCGCGACCTGTGTAGTGTCGTTGGGCGACAGGCTCGTCCGGCCAAAGTAGAAGACGACGCGGTCTTCGACGTCGGTCGTCGGCTTGAGCCGCCGGAGGTGCTCGACGTCGATGAGCCACTCGTTGGCGGCCTGGTATGAGCCGAAGACGAGCGCGGGCCACTTGACGCCGTCGCAGGCGCCATCGGTCGAGACCACGTTCTGCGGAGTTAGTCGCCAGTCCGTCGTCGCCATGCCAAGTACCGGTGATGGGCTTCAAAGGGAAAATGGGTCGTAGCCGCCGCCAGGCAGCGTCGCGTCCACTCAAGTCCGGATGCGTCTCGACTAAGTACGCCCTCCCGCCAAAACCCCGCGCCTTTTTTCACCTGGAGTCCCAGTTAAGTGCGGTGAGAAATGCAAAGTGCGCTTAAAGTGGAGGGAAAACATGGCGGCAAATGCTATTTTGAATGCGGATCCAGCTGGCGCTGGTACACTTGGCGCCATCTTGCGCACAACGGCCTTGGAACGCGCAAAGCGGCGCCCATGGCGGGCACATGCGTCGTCTTGACGCCAGCAACCGGCACCGACTTGACAAGGATGCGCTTGCAAGCATGGAAAAAGCCGGCGCTGGCGGCGGTATAGGGCGCGTTGGTTACACGCCCGCCAACCGGTGACGTCCGTGCCCTTGAATGTGCTGCCACTTTTGTCGAGTGGGCTGGTGCCAAGCGCTGCTGCTCGACGCCGAGGCACGCGTGCCAGTGCGGTGCGGGATGCTTGCTGGTCGACGCTTCGGACGCGGTCGAGATGGTGTCCGTCGCAGAGCGTGCCACGTGCGTGTGTGTGAAACGCAATGTGAAAATGGTGGGAAATGCGAGCTTGGTTTAGTCGATTAGTCGGTGCGTCGCAACGTCGGAAGGATTTGATTGGTTAAAAATCACTGGATAATCATCAAATGGGAGTGGAAGAAAGGAGGTTTGTGGTGCGCCCAGCATTTGAAGTTGCCAAGCGCCGAAACCCGCTTGAAGAACCAATGGTACGTGGCGCGCCATGGCAGCAGCAGGAAGCTCACCAGTATGGACGACGCGTATTAGGACAACGCGCCGTACAACGAAGACGCTCCGGCGCAGCACGCCAACCCGCCGCCACCGGCGGAGGTGCCAGCGCCGTCGAGCGGTGCGCCTGCCCCGCGCGCGGGCCGGAGCAAGAGTCGCAGCGGCAGCCGCGGCCGTGATCGACGACGCTCCAACTCGCCGCGCAATCGCAGCCCGCCTCGGCGGCGCAGCCGCAGCCCGTTCCGCGGTAGAAGGCGGTCGAACGAGCGTCCGGACGATCGCATGCGTCGCCCACGTGGCCCCGAGCCGCTCATGTCGTACAAGGCCTTCATGATGCAGCAAAACGACGAGTCGTCGCCCGAAGTCTACCAGCAGCGGTATGTCCACCTCCTCTCGACTGATGGTATCACGCGTTAACGACGCTGCAGCTACGAGGAATACAAGAAGAAGTACATTCAAGGCCTCATGCGTGTCTTCTTCGACGCGCACAAGTCGGAGGAGTGGCTGCAGGAGCGCTACTCGCCTGCGATCCGCCACCGCCTCACGCTGCAGAAGAACGCCAAGAAGGCTGCCGACGCCAAGGCGTTCTTTGAACGTCTCGCGACCATGCAAATCTCGTTCCACGAAGCCAACATGGCCAGCGACGCGTCGTTCCAGAACGACGTCGGAGGTGACTGCGGATTCTGTACATTCGCCGCATCCCATGCTCGTGCCCGTACGCTGCTTTGGCCGAAGCCGTCGTCAACGCGGTATCATCCATCCCATATACTCATCCCTCAGCCATGTGTGCTCATGAGGAGAGTGCCACAGGGCGGTCCGATCCAAGAGCTGCATTTGTCGGACCCGGCCAAGAAGCGCGATCTGGACTTTGACCGGTCGGCGTACATCATCTACGAGACGGCGGCCGCTGCGCTCGAGGCGATGCCCAAGCTCCAGAACGTGCTTGTGGAGGACCCGGAGATGCCGGCGCCGATCCGGCTCCAAGTGGCGCAGCACCGGTCGCGTGCGCCGATCAAGACGCCGACGTGCATGTCGCTGCCGGCGCGCATCACGTACGACTTTCAACAGGCGCTGCACCTCGCGACGCGCCTGGACGAGAGCGTCTTTGGCGCGAGTTCGGCCCACGGCATCTCGAGCGTCCTCGACTTTGTCAAGGCTTCGAAGGAGACGGTGTCGGAAGTGGCCCAGCTGGATATTGTGATTGCGTACTTGCGCCGCGTGCACCACTTTATTTATTACGCCGGCGTCCAGTGCATCGACATGGGGGACATCCTCCACGCGCACCCAGCGCTCTTTTGCCGCCAAGACGCGACCGAGCGCGACGTTGAGGACAACAACGTACGGCGTGGCGATGGGGGGCGGTGTGGCTGATCGTCGTGTTGTTGCGTAGGCGGTCGAGCACAAGACGTTTGCGACGCGCGAGAACAAGGAGCTCGCGGGCTGGGGCGGCTGGTCGGCGGCCTTGGACGAACGCATCGAGGCCGCGATCGCCGCGAACGCGAGTGAGAAGCTGTCGAGCCAGAAGGCGGCCGAGGCTGCGCTGGTCGAAGACATCGAAGCCCGCGAAGAGGCTTCGCTCGAGCCCGTGTACGCGTCGTATGCGGAGAAGGCCGGCGACGACGGCAAGCACCGGTGCCTCCTCTGCACCAAGCTCTTCAAGACGGTCGACTTTGTGAAGAAGCACATTCGCAACAAGCACCCCGAGCTCGTCGTCGACAAGATTGCCAAGGTGGGCGAGAGCTACATGTGGGAGCAGTACCGCGAAGACCCGGACCGGCCGCTGCCGCCGTACGACACGGTCAACCAGCCGACGCTCGGTCCCAACGCGATGATGCGCCGACCGCCCCACGATTACCGCCAAGGTGTGTGTTGTGTGTCTCTAGCGGCATGGATGTCAATGCGACTGTAGGTGGGGGTGGCTACCGAGGCCCGCCGCCGTATGGCGACCAGTACCGAGGTGGCGGCGGCTACTACCGCGACCGCGGTGGCCGCGGCTTTCATGGCGGCTACAACGCGCCGCCGCCGCCGTACTACCAGCGTGGTCCGCCGCGCCCGTACATGCCCCGCGATGGCCCACCGCCGCGTGACCTGCCGGTGGACCCGCGCCAAGTGAGCACGTCGTACCAGGACCTCGACCAGCTCAAGGACAAGAAGGTCGAGTTGGACTTTGACGCGGCGCTCACGTCGCTGCCTCCGCCCAAGAAGAAGCAAAAGCAAGACGAGTAGGTTGGTCCGATTGCTTGTATACCACGTTTTCAACGACTCGCGTGTGTCTTCCAAAACTCGTCGAGCTGCTTGTCGCGGCGCAGCGTCGCCGTGAGGAACTCGGCAACGACCTTGACGCCAAAGAGCTGGTACACGAGCGTTTGGTTGTAGAAAAGTTCGAGTTGCCCGAGCCGGGAAAGAGCCAGAGGTACCACATGACCGGGAGCAGCACGGTCGCGGTCGCGAGGCCCGTCGTGAGCACAAACGTGTGGCGCATGCCTACGCACAGTCTGCACACGCATCCATCGTCGTCGTCGTACCGATGAGCGACCGCGGGTGCAAGAGCAGACTCGTGACGAAGAGCCCAAAGTCGCCCAACGCGGGGTAGGCTTGGAAGATGGCGAAGATGCCAAGGAGCACGGCCGTGGCGGCGAGCGGACGCGCGCTACACAGCAGCAGCGTTGGCCATGGGCGCGTCAAGGACGGGACGTACTGCAAGCGGAGGTAGATGGGCAGCACGTACAGCAGCGGGTGCATGTGCAAGAGGAAGAGAAAGTAGTTTCGGAACCGGTCGAAGAGCTCCATGAAGAAGTACCAAAAGATACCAATGTTGGGCGTCAAGTCGGGGTACCGGACGACCCAGAGGTACGTCGCCTACGCACACCGACGCCATGGTTGATGCAAGTAGCTCGCATGCGAATTACATCGAGGAAGCCCCAGCCGCCCATGGCCACTTTCGAGAGGTAGACAAAGAGACTGACGTACGCGGCAAAGACGCCAGCGGCGAGACCCCAGGACTGTACAAACGCGCATGAGCACAAGTCGGAGATCGATGTCGTACGCACCGCCGACAGCCAATGCTTGGACGGGTACGCCATGAGCAGCAGCGACGGCAAGAGCACGACCGGGTACACCGCCATGTACGTGGCGATCGCGAGCAGACAGATTGCCAGCGAGACGCGATCTACACGGCGCATGAGGCCATATGCATGAAGAGGACCGTGGTGTCGTACGCTGCATGGCGAGCGCGATGCTCCACACGATTGCTGCGTACGTCACGAGACTGGTCGAGCGAACGAGGGACGTGGCGAGCGACCACGGGTTGAAGAGGTACGCGGCTGCGACGGTCAGCGGGAGGTAGCGTGGCTGCAGCAATGGTGAGAGCGGTGGATGGTTGAGCCACACCTTGCTGTTCTCCGACTGTTGCGCGTGCTGCGACGTAATGAACGCGCGGCAGACCGAGGCGAAGCCGAGCGCAATGAGGACGTCGAGAAGAATCGCGCCGAGGCATGTCACCAGCCGGCTCGAGAGCGCGAGAGGCACCGATTGCACGCCCATGGCGGCGAGCAGCACGAGCGGCGGCTGGTGGAACACGTCGCCAGCGTACGGGTCCAAGCCAGCGCCGGCGAGGAAGAGCCCTTCTTGAAGCCGCTCGAGCGAATTCAATGGCGTCGTGAGCTCCGGGCGGTATTGTAGTACGTAGTCGATCTCATAGTAGAAGGCAAGCACACGAAGCACGACGCCAGCGACGATGACGCCGGCGACTCGCGGTGGTCCGTCGGTCATGGCACCGATGTATCTCACAGTATTTCAGGCCGTATTGCGCACCATGCCACGCACACACACACTATTTATGATAAATCTTGACGAGCCAAAATGACGCCAAGCGCCGACAGGAACCGGCTGCGGAAATCTTTCGACGGGCCAAGGTGCTTGACTGGGTGCTTGGGGCGAAAGCATGGACAGTTCGTTTTGTGCCATCATGATTCTGCGCTGCCATTGACGCGTCCGAGCCTCGATTAACACTATTTCAAGTCAACTAGTACCTCTTGAATGTAATTGGATATGGATAACATATGAGAGGTTCTGACGTGCGGGTTGTGAGGTCGAGCTCGCGTGACGTGGCCGGCCATTCCGCCGAGGAGCCTCTTGTTGCATGGACGCTTCTTGGGCATGCGTGCTGCGGGAAGACAACCATGAAGAAGAGAGTGATAGAGAAGACACAAGAAGATCGATCATGTTGGTTCGATTACGCCCAGCGCCGAGATGATGCAGATCGAGAGAGGGAGAAGAGAGGGGAAGTCGCCGCACCGAGAGGTAGCCGTCGCGTAGAGGTGCAGGATGCAAGCGGCGAGAGAACGGAACGAGGAGGAAACCCGGGACGTCGACACAGCAGTGCGCACGGCCGGGTATGGGGGCGGTGGATAAAGGAAAATATATACCCCGAACGGATTTATGCCAAGTCACACACTACGTCCTTGTCGCGTCTTGCTTGTGCCATGTTCGAGTGTTTCCAGACCTACGCAAAACACATGACCGCTTAGTAGCGGTCACGGCCGCGGCGGTCGTCGTAGCGGTCATCACGACGGCGGTCGTCGTAGCGGTCGCGGCTGCGGCGGTCGTCGTAGCGGCGGTCATCGTAGCGGTCACGGCTGCGACCACGGTCACCGCCGTCGTGCGAGAACTTGCACGAGTCGCCACGGTGGCAGCGACCCTGCTTGTAGTCATAGCACTCACCGCCCGAGCGGCCACCGACGCGGCGGTCCTCGGTGCGGCCGCCCGTCACGTTCTCGGCGCGGTCCTTGCCCTTGGCTTCGTCGAAGCGGATCTCAAACTCGACGGTATCGCCTTCGTGGAGGCAGTTGCCGTCCTGGATCGACGTAAAGTGGCAGAACACGTCGTTCTGCGACGGGTCCTCGGGCTTGATGAAGCCAAAGCCCTTCTCGTTCCAGCGGGCGGCCGTACCGCGCATGCGCTTGGGGCCGTCGTTGCGGTGACCCGAGCGCGAGCGCGAGCGCGACCGGCGGTCGTCGCCACCGCGGCCGGCGGGCGAGAGGCTGCGCTCACGGCGAGGGGACGGGGAAGTGCTACGGGCCATCTTGCGACTTGGGTGGCGCTGTGGTGATTTCGAAATGAAGGCTTCCTGTGACCACTCAACGCCCGCGCTTATCCGGTGACCGGTTAAAAAATCGAAGCATGGCGGCTCTCTTGACGCGGCCGCGGCTCGACCAAGGCGTCATCGCCCATGGCGCGACCGTGCGCTTCCTTGGCCTCGTCCGGGACATTGGGCAGCCGCAGCTGCTTTTAAAGGACGGCGCCGAGACGTACGTCGAGACGACACCGTACCGGTGCGAAGCCCTCCCGGCGCAAACAGCGTGGGCGGCTGCAACTGCAACGTCCGCTGCAACCGCCGACCCGGTGCAACCAACGGCCACCACCAGTCGTAGCAGCCGCAAGACAAAGCGGCGGGAGGACGAGGAGGAGAATGAGTGTGTGGACGCCGCACCGCCGGCGCCCGCGGTGCGCGTGTCCGAGCCCAAGGTGCCGCCGACAGCGCTTGCCCCCACGCCGCCGTTCCAGGTGATTGTTCGCGCGTACGGCAGCACACCGTGGAAAGTGAACCACGTGTACGAGTTTGTGGGCGAGCTCGACTTGACGCCACAGGCAGCGCCAGACGACATGGACATTGAATGGAAGGACGCCGACAGCGCGACGGCGCAAGCGAAGGCGCGCGCCATCGAGTTCATTCCTACACTGCATGCCACAGGTACGATCGCGCGAGCGCTGTGACGCAGCGACTGAAAGGGCGAGGTAGACGCGAGCGAGATTACGTTTGGCCACGACGTCGGTTTCCGCGAGGACTTGGCCAACCCGACGGCGTGGGCGGCCGCCGAGTGGGCGCAGCGGCTGGGCCAGCCAACGTCCGTGGAGGAAATGCGAGCGCAGCTCTTGGGATACCTCACGGCGACGGCGGCCCACGGCGACGTCGTCGTCGCCGAGTACCTCCTCCTTGTGCTGCTCTCGCGCGTCTACAACCGATCGGACGTCTCAATGCCGTTTGGGCACCTCTCTCTCAACGTGATTTGGCCGTCCATGAGCGCCTCCGACTTTGCGGCACTCGAGCAGGCGCTGCACGCGCTCGTGCCGTCGTGCTTGTCGCTGGATTTGTCGCTCGCCGCCCTGCACGACGCGCTCTACTTTCCTCAAAAGGTACAAAAGTGTGCGTGAGTACGCGCGCAATCTCATTTCGGACGTAGGACTATGACATTGAGTACCTCCACCCGGGGCTGCTGCAGCTGCCGGATGGAAGCACGCTGCTCGTCAACGAGGCCCACTTGACCACGGGACAGGTCCCTCCTCTGCAGGGCCGTATCGACGCTGACGTTGTGTAGCTCGACGACAAGGGCACGCACAACATGGCCGCGCTCATGACGCTCGTCGAGCACCAAGCGCTGCCGTACGACTTTCGCTTTTACAAGAAAGAGTTCAACCAAGACGCCAAAGTCATTTGTGTCTCGACCACCAAGGTGCGTTCGAGGCTTTCGTTCCATGTAGTACTACTACGCAGTTGCTCGTAGTCGATCCTCCCGACCACGTTGTACGTCCCGCTGCAGCCGAATACAACAAGAGATGCGACGTACTCGGAGGCGCAGCTCCAGTGCTTTCGCATCTACCTCGCAGTCTACCGCCACTTTAACGCAGACCTTGGCAACGAAGGCGCGGCGCTGGCCGAGCAGTGGTACATTGAGCGGCGTCGAGCCGATGCAACCGTCGGGGTACGCGTCTTCTTTGATGCAATAAGAAAGAACCGCGGTGTAGGCGGACGACTTGCACCGCTTGGTGCGCGTGGTGCGACTCCACGCTGTGAGCGTCGGTCACGCCAACGTCACCAAGGACGATTGGGACCACGTCGTGGCCCGCCACGCCCTCGTCAAAGCCCGCCTCGATGGGCTCGCGTAGACAGTCGACTGTACACGCAAAGCTCTTATTGCTTCGTCTTATGTTGCATTGGGCGACCATTTCTGGATCACAATCACGAGAAACTCCTTCTCTAGCAGTAGCAGCAGCAATGTCAGTACATGGCAACGACACGGGCGTACCATGGGCGACGAGGATCTCGAACTTCTTGAGGCGAATGCGGAGGTACTGCAGGTCGTTCTACGAGTCGTCGTCCATAGAAAGATACGCTCGCTGCAGTCGTCGCACCTTGGGGTTGAGGTCGCGCACGACGCCCCGCGCCTTGGTCGTGAGCTCCTTCATGAAGCTCGAGTAGCGCTCGGCGCTCGCCGTGTCCATGTGCGGATGGCGGCGCAGCACAGCACCGTTCTTGTCCGCAATCACGTAGCCTTCGACGCCCTTGTGGTTCTTGATGCGCTCGAGCGTCTCTTCAACCTCCGACATGGTCCGCGCCGCTTCAAAAGTGATTCCAACACGACCGATCGCTGTTTCTGTTTAAAACACACGTTTCGCTCTTTGCCTTCTTTCACAAGGACTTGCAACGACGTCCCTGCTACTCATATGGACGTCCAAGCTCTTCCCACTGATTCGGTGACGCAGCTCCGATGCCACATTGTACAAGGGTGTCGGCGTTGGAGGGGGCAATGGCGACGCCTCGGGCTAGGGTTCGGGCTAGGACGAGGGTTCTTATGCGCAACGATACAAGCTGCCGGTGTTTCACATCAGGTTACGTTGCCAGATACTATGCGTGGCATCTGCTTCCGGTCGTCGGCTCGTCGCGATGGAGAGCCCGTATGTCGTTCTCTTGTGCCTTACGGCGTCCAGAGCACGGCACGCAGCGCGAGCTTGGCCGAGCGCGCGAGAAGCTCGTTCGCGTCTTCGGTCATATCGCGCATCGTCTTTTCCATTTGCTTGGTGCGCATCGCGTCGCGCGCGAGCGGGTGCGCGGCAAGAACCGTCACGAGCTTGAGCGTATTGAGCTGGACGCCGTACTCGGGGCGGTGCAGGAGCGCGAGGAAGCCCGTGTGGGCCCCGAGCTCGTAAATCTCGCGCTTGGCGCTGTCGTGGACCGCGAGGACCATGAGCGCACCCGCAGCGGCAACGCTCACGGTCGAGTCTCGGTCTTGGAGGACGCCGCAGAGCTTCTTGGCGACGCCGGTGAGCATCGCGCTCTCGCGTCCTTGCTCCAAGTAGAGCATCGCGCCCGTGGTTTGAAGCGCCGCCGTGCGCACCTACATGCGCGTGTCACGGTCGATTTCATTAGACAGAATCGGTTCTTGACATCTTTGTGCTTCGAGGAGATAAACTTGGCGGCGATGTCGACGCCGCCGAGCTCGACGATGGACAAGACCGTGCTGGGAATGCCGTCGTTCACAAAGGCCTTGAGGAGCTTCAGCGCGCGCACGCGGATGCTGTCGGACGTATCGCGCTTGAGCTTCTCCAGAACCACCGCAGGGTACCTTGCAATCGTGTGATATGATGGCATCGCTTATCCGAAGACGCACGAAGCGTACCCGTGCTGGCTCATCTCGCGGACGCCCGCCATGGTCGAGCTCACGTGCAGTGCTGTGTCAAAGAGCGGCTCCATGAGCTCGTTGTCGTTGCGACCAAAGGCCTTGAGGATCTTGCGCATCGTTCGGTACCGGACAAGCTCGGTGCGCCCGACAGCATGGGATGCAAAGACGCGCAAAGCGATGGCCGCCGTGCGGCGGATCTCGGCGTTGTTGTGGAACACGAGGTTCCCGAGCGGCTCGAGCACGTGCTGTTCGTCGCGGCTGCTGTTGACAACGTCCGTGGGCATCTTGAGCACGCCCGCCACGCAGCGAAGCGCGTGTAGAAGCGTGCTTTCGTCGTCTTCCTTGAGTAGCTGGACCTACACGACACGCTAGGATAAGATGCCGCGGCGCCGTCGACGCACCAGCTTGGGACACTTGTCCGCGCCAAACGCCTCCACGACAGCATTGTCGGCAATGGGAGCCGCGTTGGGTTTCGCCTCGACGCGGCCAAGATGGCGCACGGTGGTTGTCTTGTAGAGCGTCGCGCCAGGGTTGCGCAAGTGGTGGATGCTCCTCGCATTGGCGTCGGCTTGCGGCATGACCGAGTAATTTTAGATTCTAGACGCTGAAACTCCGCGCTCGCACCCAGTGTCTATGGATCTTATTGAATATGTGGTGTTGCGCTGTGGACGCCTTCCTGGTCGTGTATGGTAGGTAGCCCGTAAGTAGTAATACTTGTCGTTGGTGCTGCCACGTACGCGCCATTTTCAAGTCGCTGAGGTGGCCAGTGGCGCGCTTGGATTGGCCGTAAACAAAGATATTTTTTCCATCTTTCCAGTATTTTGACCAATGGCATCGGCGAACGACAATTGGTTTTGGCCAATGGCCTCGTGTCACGACAGACCGGCGGCTTTGTATTTCTTGCGGCGACGAGCACTCAACGGACGCAGGACGCAGCAGGCATGGGGCACTCGCAGTTCGTGACGACGATGGTGGTCTACTCGACCGTGGTCAACCCTGGCCTCAACTGGATCCGCGCGCCTGGGCGATTCTCCCGCACGATGGCCATCTTCTACTCGATCGGGTTCCTTGTCGCGCTCGCGAGCATCTCGATCGGGCTCGAGGTCGCCAACAACCCGCCCAACTTTTACGCGATGCTCGACGTCTCGCGTGACTGCTCGTTCAACGACATCAAGAAGGCGTACCGGTCGCGCTCCGTGGAGCTGCACCCGGACAAGAACCCGTCGCCGACGGCCGCCGAAGACTTCAACCGCCTCCGCATCGCGTACGACGTCTTGAGCGACTCGGAGAAGCGCGACGTGTACGACTTTTACGGCGAAGCGACAGCGCTCTCAAAAGAGCCGCTTACGGACGTCAGCCGCATCACGAGCCTCCTCTCGTACTACATCGTGTGGGGCATCTTGACCTACGTCATGACGCTCGGCGATGTCTCGGACGTGCGCGCGTGGAGCTACTCGGGCTGCCTGCTCATGTTTGTCGCCGAGATCAACATTACGCTCGCCAAGGTACTTCAGCGATTTCGCTTCTCCGATGCGACGACTCGTGTCGATAGGGTGGCTTGTCCCCGCGCTTCTTCCCCCAAATCACCGTGTACGAGCTCGTGCAATTTATGCACTTGCTCTACCCGCCGTTCATGAACGGGTGCCGGTCCATGGGCGCCTTCTTCGTGCGCAACATCCTCCAGGAAAACTACGATCTGAGCATGGAGCTGCTCAAGAGCAACAAGGTACTTGCCTCGTTGCAGCTCCCACTTGGTATGCAATGCGAACATTTGTAGATGATCATGATGGGCATGCGCCAGCTGCAAGGTGAGCTCCAAGGTGTCGGCCACGTGCGTCGCGCCAAGACCGACAAGCGCGACGCTGCCGACGCAGCGTCGAACGCCCCGACGCCGGAAGAGCAGGAGCTCATCCAGCCCGCGCCGGTCGTCCAGCCCTGGGGCGGGCTCCCGATCCCTGGCTTTGTCTACGCGGTGGGCTTTTACATGGTCATGAACTACATCTTTGGGTAACCGCGATGACGACGATCGTATGAACGAAGAGGAAGCTACTTTTTATTGCTCGTCACAAACCAGCGCGCCGACTAGAATTCTGGTTGAAGACGACAATATGCAAACGGGGCAGTGTACCAGTGCTGCATGGATACGGTAGGCGAGACCACCCAAGATGACATCGATGGGGATTCGGAGGACCAAGAGAAACACGGGCGGGTACAGCACGAGCAGTGCGTCCTGAGCTGCAGTGTCTACGACCGAGATGCGTTAGCGTGCCCATAAGATGATGATGACCCACAGAGGAGGAAGAGCAAAAGAATGAAGCGATGCTTTCGGAAGACGCCATAGGCGCCGCAGACGAGCGAGATGCCAGTCGATGCGAGCAAAGCGAGACGACCGGGCCACGTATTCGGCAGCTGCGAGGGCAACGGGCCCACGTCGTACCATGCGTGCCCTGCAGGCAGCGTCGCGTGCCATTGAGATATCAAGCATCGAGTTACCGTAGGCGTCGGCTGGGAGCAAGAACGCGCTCGTAAAGAGAATGTTGACCACCGCAAAGATGGCGAAGAGGATCTAGTGTGTAGTCTCGGCCAACGTCCAGCGAGATGGCAATACCTGGTTTTCACGTACATCGGGATGCTTGCGCATGGCATTGGTCATGAACACGGCCTACATTTGCATACATACCGCGCCGCGCCATGGGCGACGTGTACTACCTTGTTGAAGGCCCCATCGTCGGCCGCGTCGATCGGAGGCGGTCGGTTGGGGAACCCCTGGCACACAGCATGCATGCAGCGTTTCGAAGGCTCAGGCGCAGCATACCAGTAGAACTTGCTGGTTTGGAAGCGTGAGCTCGACCGGCACAGCGCTCACACGCTGCCGCGTCGCGCTTAAGCTCACGGCCTCGGACGCGCCGCTGAGGTCGGGCCGCTGATGGAACTGCATGTTTGCATCTGCCGGCTCGTGGTAACCGGTTTGCTTAGAATCTAACCGGCTTTTAAAAATGCCAGCCGGTTCGAGTTGCCGAATGATTTCGCCGGAGCAACCGGATACAATTTGTACTCCTACGACGTAGCGCTACTGCGCCTCAACTTATTTTGGCGCGCTGGATCTTAGTGTGACTATACCCGCTGCAGCTGACTCTCCCGACCTGCAGCTGAACCTACACGAGAATCGGTGCTGTAGCTCAGCCTGATCCTCTCGCGTCGACTACCGGTACCGGTAGGTACCGTGCTAGATAACCCATGGATGCACCCTGGATGGAAGGAGGCGGCGGCTCCGCCGCAGGCAGGAATAGCGTCGGCGTACATCCCCCGAGAATCAAAGACTGTCGTCGCGCAAGATCAAATAGGTCGTGGTATATATAGGAGTTAACTGCGGGCAAGGCGGTTAGACCTTGGCACCAGGGTAGCCAGGGGCAGGCTGCGCGACCGGCGCACCGTACTGGGGCTGCGGCTGGGCATACATTTGCTGGCCGGGCTGGGCATACATGGGCTGGCCTTGCTGGGCATACATAGGCTGGCCTTGCTGCTGCATGTACATGGGCTGACCTTGCTGCTGCATGTACACGGGGTTGCCGTACTGGTCGTACATCTGCTGCTGGGGGTACTGGCCGCCAACCATGACGGGCTGGACGGTCTGGACGACGACGGGGCCCTGGCGGCGGCGGTCATCGTCGTCGGCGGCGGCGCAGCAGGCACCGCAGAGGGCACCGCACATCATGCACGCGCAGAGGTCTTCGCAGTCCATTGTGTTGTTCTACTTGGGAGGCGGGGAATTCGGAAATGGCCTTCGCGGGTGCTGGGTACACTCGAGTCAGGCTGCTCGTTTTTTACGAACAACTGAATTTCCAATACAAATATCTGGACATATTCAATATTTACGATGTGTTGGACAGTGCGACATGGCCCGACCAATTACAATATTGATCGTTCAAATCATGGGATAAACGACATACATTGTTGCCTATCTGCCTCACAGAATTGTAAAAAAATAGAAGGGTCCTCGGGCCCCCTTCAATGCACGCATGTGGGGCCCGATACAAATGCCCGGTTTCTGCAGGTCAACCCGACAATTGACATGCAATTTGTATGCAAATCATGATGGCAGGAAGCACCAACGTTGAAGTCACTGTCCATGGATATCCACCGCACCCACGCATGGCATCCACCACGTGGTCGTCACCAGAGGTGAAGCATCGAGGCCACGTGCCCGTCGCGGCGCTCACATTGTGACCTGACCCTGCAAAGACATGGCGCTCGGCGTCGAAGGTCCTTGCGGCGCCGTTGCCGGCCAACGTCGCAGCAGGTCGGGACGCGAGCGTTTCAGCGTCACCATTCGCGTGGCCTCGGATCCTCTCATGCGCCGCGCATTAGGAGAAGAGGTAGAGGAGGAGGTTACTTGAGCTTGGATGGGACAAAGATCAAGTGCGAAGGAGCGCGCTTTCTTTCGACATTTAGGCGATAGACACGAGGAGCTGATTGTGCAACGTGCTAGCGTAAACGGTAGGTCCCGTGACCTCCGCGCCGCGGATTTTGGCCAATGAGCAGCGTCAAACGGGCCGTCGCGTGACATCGACGTCCCACGCGCGCTGCGATTGGTCCAGGGGGGTCCTCCGGATACCGTGCGCCGGGCGCGAAGCGTGTGCTGGCGTGGGTGGCAGCGTATCCGGATAGGAATAAAAGTGGTGCCCGCGACCGACCTTCCAATTGGGCTCAAGATATCGGCGCTTGCACCGGCCGTCCTTGCCCGATCGTCGACGGATACCTGCGGAGAGCAAGAGCTGCCTCCTCCCGAACGGTGTCGCCGTCCTCGTCCTCGTCCTCGCTTGAGGAAGGCTTCTGCAAGCTGCGCCGGACGTCATCCTCGTCGCTGCCTGGAAAGGGCTACATGGGCGAACTGAGCTCGCGCTACAAGTATTCGTCGGATCGAATGACGTTCTCGTGCCCAGGAGAAGACGACGACCGCGAAGACAGCCGCGAGAAGAAGCTCATGGCACGCTCCATTTTGGAAGCGCGCGTCAAGGGCTACCTCGCCACGTCACTCTCGAACGACCTGCTGCGGCGCGTCCGCACCGACATCAACATCCTCCAGTCGCTCAAGCTCTGCGGCTTTGACCTTGGCGACCGAGGCGCCTTGCTCATCGGAAAGGCGCTCGCCTCGAACCACTCGTTACTCGTCCTCGACATTGGGTTCAACGGGATCACGGACAAGGGCCTCGTCGCCGTCGCCAAGGCCCTCGAGACAAACCAGACTCTCACAACGCTGTACCTCTCCGGCAACTGCATTGGCGTCGAAGGCGCGGCCGACGTCTCGCGTGCGCTTCAAGTCAACACGACGTTGCAGGCGTTGTACCTCAGCGGCAACGGCATTACCGACGAAGGCGCGCTGCACATTGCGACCGCGCTCAAGGCCAACAGCGCGCTCAAGTCGCTCTACTTGGGCACGACAACCTCGGCGTGAAGGGCATGCAGCACATTGCGGAATCGCTGCCGCACAATCGCCAGCTGCGCGAACTCATGCTCGGACAAAACCATGTGCGCGCGGCCGGGCTCAAGCACCTCGTCGCCGCCTTCATGACGTCCCGCGTGTCCCTCACGACGCTTGAGATTGGGCTCAACGAAATCGACTCGGCCGGCGCGCTTGCGCTTGCCGAAGCGCTGCACATCTCGGACAACACGCTCGAGAACCTCTACATGGACAACAACCCGATCGGTGACGTGGGCGCGAGCGCGCTCGGCGTCTGCATCGCCAACTCGTCGACGCTGCGGGTCGTGGACCTCAGCTACTGCAACTTGTCGCTGCTCGGGCTCCGCGACGTGAGCCTCGGGCTTCGCAAGTCGACGTCGCTCATGGGCCTCCTCGTCGAAGGCCACGACTGGTCGTCCACCAAGTACATGGTCCGCCCGCCGCCCAACATTACCGCGCTCTCGAAAGCCGACGCGCTTCAGTATGCAGCCAAGTGCATCATCACCGCGATGCACATGAACCCGGCGCTGCCGCTGTGTAAGCTCACGGGCATCAACCTCGGGTACGCGGCCGACATTGAGCGGTACCCGGTCACGTTGCCCGAGCCGCTCGAACTCGCGGCGTCGCATGCGGTCTGCGCCCTCAACGAGGCCGTTCTCGACTGCATCCGCGCCCAGGAAGCGTCCCCCGACGAAGGCCAAACACAGCTCGCGCAGCAGCAGCAACAGCAGCTGCAAGAACAGGAGGCCGCGCACACGGCGTACATCCTCACCGAGTCGCGCAAAGTGCTCGCCAAGATTGCGGCCCTGCACTTTGACGCGGACGAGCTGCAAGCGCTGTGCCAATACTACTGCCCCGATCTCATTTGCGAGGGCGCCGAGGAGCCCAGCACGAAGCGACGGCGACTCTCGCTGGAGCTCGCGCCCGACAATGTGCATGTGACGCGCCTCGCCATCTACCCGCGCGTCGAGGTATGTCCCGCATGCCACGCGTATGCCGCTCACTCGCTCTGCGTAGCGGCGCCTGCTACACGTGGTTCGGGACGACGTGACTGCCGAAGTCAAGCAAGAAGTGCTCACGGTGCTCCGGCAGCTGCACTATCTCGTCAAGTCGCTCCACTCGGTGGACCACTCGGTCGAGCTCATCGAGACGTTGCTGGGAGACGACGCCGGTCGTAGTTGAGATGTTAGGAGTCTTGTTAGCCGTGTACCAATACCGTAGTTCAGTCTGTGGGTTCCCGCATTCGCTTCTACCAGAGACAGCTATTACGTCCTCGGCGCTGCGCCTTGCACCGATCGCGGCAGAGGTGACAAATATCTTGCCAACTTCAAGTGCTACAAGGATGTTACGCCGGTTTATAACACCGTGTATCTCGCTTCCTGGCCACAAGAAGAGGCGCTTCCTTATAGCCGGCAGGTTAGACGATGGAGCGCATGCAGGACGCAGGCAAGTACAGTGCCCGTGGCGATGACAAGAGAGACGGGACGCACGGCACGGACAGTAGTAGGAGGAGGCGGGGGGACGTCGGTCGATGCGCCTTTCGCGATGTGTGTTATAACATCTGGTGTGTGTGTCATCAGTCCTGCGTACACGGCGAGGGGCAATCAAAGCTCAAGGCGCCAGCCAGAACCCTCCACCACCATGGTCTGCGGACGCGGCCGAGGTCGACGCCAGCTGACGGTCACTACCTTGTAGACGTCGCCGATCGAGGTCTACCAAGGCTGGCTCATCATAAAGACGCAGAGCTACGTCAACGTGGTAAGCCTCTGGCGCATGGTCGCGGTGACCTCATGGGGTGCGCGCAGCGGCCCCGGCACCAGCGCTACAGCGTCCTCGCCGTCCACCCGAGCAACGTAGCGTCGCTCATTCTCTTCACGTTCAAGTTCCAGCCGTCGTCGGACGAATTAGCGGCGACGCTGGCCAACCCGTCGGCCAAGTCGTACTCGGACTTGAAGTGCGTTGCTATCCTCGAGGACCATCATGGGCTCATGACGCGTAGGTTTGTGCCATGGGAAAAGCGCAACCGGGGCTTCTATCTCCATGCGCTCGACAAGGAGAACCGGCCATGCGTGCTCGAGGTCGACGTCAAGACAGAAGACCTCTTCTTCCAATGGGTCGAGCACCTCACGACCGTGCCCAAGAACATTGCGCCTCGGCCTGCGCCCATGCGTTCCGGGTCCTCGCCGCCCAAGAACGTTGCGAACGCCGGGCCAAAGGCGACGTCCGAGATGGCGCGTCGATCCACCGCGGTCTCCAGAACGCAACCGGTACTGCCATCTATCAAGAAGAAAAACCGCGCGCTTAGGCACGCGTAGGCGAGAACAATTGCTTCTTGAACGTCATCATCCAGAGCTTTTGGCACCTCATCTCGCTCCGCCGGCTGCTGCAAGACGTCACCATCAAGGACTCGGACGACGTCGCGTCCCACGTCCTGCGCGCGCTGAAAGAGATCATGCTCGCGTACGAAGACCCGTCGAGCGGCGCGCTTCACCCAAAAGTGCTGCGCAAGTGGCTCAGCCTCCTCTACAGCGCGGTCGGTTGTCTCTTGACGACAGACGCTCAAGGAAAGAAACGTAGGACAAGATGTTCCAAGAAGGCTCGATGGCCGACGCAGAAGAGACGCTGCTCACGATCCTCAACCTCATGCACCAGCAATCGGTACAACGAAATGAGGTTGATACATTGAAAGTTGACGCGATGGGTAGGACGTGACGGAGCTCTCCGAGTTCGACAAGAAGGCGCTCAAGTCGCGCAGCTTCCTTCTGAGCGCGAGCCAGTCGGGCTTTGAGGAGAAGCCGATGGCGGTCTTTGACCCGAAGAGCATTCCCCACATTGTGTTTTCGCACCAGATCTACGACCGGTCCGTGTGCCGGGCGTGCCACGCGTCGTCCAACTGGGAGCTGTACAGCAACTTGGTACTGCCATTTCGTCGCACTTTGGTCAGGATCCCAGATCTGGTCTAGGTCTTTTCGATATATGCGACCGACGCGATCGCGCGGCCGTACCGCGACATGGAGGACATGCTCCGCGAGATGCCCAACAACATGGACGTCCATGGGTCGTGCCAGGCCGAGGGCTGCAAGGGCAAGCTCGCCACCGAGGTAGCACACGGCTGCAGTACGATCGCATCGTGCTTATCCTCTGCGTAGCGCGTCATTCAGCGGTTCCCGCCCGTGTTTGCCATCTCGTTTCTCTGGGCAACCAATAGCCCACCGAAAGAAGAGATCGAGTCGCTCTTACACATCATTAGCGACTCGGTGGACCTCTCGCATGCGTTCACAGCGCAAGGCGAGGCGGCCAAGCACGCCAAGTTCCTTGGCGGCCTCAAGGCCCAGTACCGCTTCCGCGGCTTTGTCTGCTACTACGGCCGGCACTACTTTGCCTTCTTTTACAGCACGGCGCACCAGTCGTGGCTCCTCTTTGACGATAGCAAGGTCACCGAGATCGGCGATTGGCCCGACGTCATCCAGCAGTACGTCTCTTGAGACCAATGTCCCGATCCTGAGATGTCCCTTCTAGCTGCGTCAAGGGTCGGTACCAGCCAGTGCTGCTCTTCTATGAAGTGCCCGACAGCCGCAAGGTACGAGAGTCTTGCAGCGCTCCGTCGTCTCCACGCTGCGTAGGACTCGTCGATCGCGCTCTTTCGCAACTTTACCGTCGGGGCTAACGGTACGGTCGAAGGCGCGGTGAAGCCGCCGACGATCGCTGAAGAGGCCGCATCGACGCGCGAGCGCAAGCTCTCGGACACGGGCAAATCACTTTTACGTGAAGTCCTCGGTACGACGTCGTCGCCGCCGTCCTCGTCGTCGTCGTCGTCGTCGCTGCTGCAGCTCTCGTCGTCCGGTGGCTTTGGCGCGATCGACGAAGGCAACGCGCTCTTCCAGAGCATCAAGGCTGTGAACGCCGCGATTGCGATGCCGCCACGCACCAACATCATGAACAAAGTCTGCGAGAGCGACGAGTACGATGTCGAGTTCCCCGTCGACGCGGTCGTCCTCGGCCTCTACTTGGAGAAGATTGAGAACGACTTGTGCGTCACGGCCTTCCCGCGCCTGCCCAACGGCGACGCGATGGGCGCCGAGGCGTCGGGCCAAATCGGCCTCTTTGACCGGCTCGTCATGGCCAACGGCCACCCGCTGGGGCACTACTCGGTCGACCGCGCGCTCAAGATGATCCAAGGCCAAACGCGCCCGCTGCGTATTCGCTTCCAGCAGTCGACGCGCATCAAGCAGCTGATCGAGATGGGCTTTGGCCAAGAGCAGGCGGTTGCAGCCCTCTTGGCGTCGCGGGGCAGCGTCGAGGGCGCGGCCAACCAGCTCTTCAGCACGAACCGAGGGCCGTAGCCGGTTAGACGACCCAAGTAGGCGACTCTGCCGTAGTACATATATGTATTGCTTTCCGATTCCGTCGCTCTCTCTTATGTTGCCACGTGCCCAACTGATCTTCGCGGCTTTTCCGACGGAATCTTGGGATCCGGATGCGACTGCCCCATCCGGATCATTTCATTGGCGTCGAAGCTGGATGGTTTCTTGAATATCTTTCGTCAGTAGAGAAATCGGAAGCAGCAAGCATGAGCGCGGTCGAGGACGTGACGAAGAAGACGGGCGAGCTCGTGATCGAGGACGTGGAGGCGGAGGTGGCGCTGCCGCCCGCCGTCGCCGCGCGCGTGGCCCACCTCAAGACGCTCCAGGAGCAGCAGGCGGTCATCGAGGCGCAGTTTGAGGAAGAGCGCCGTCTGCTCGAATTGAAGTACGAGAAGCTGTACCAGCCGCTGTACGATGAGCGTGCGCTTGTCGTGACGGGCGAGAAGGAGGTGGCGTCGGCGGACGAGAAGGCCAAGGAGGCCGAGCCGTCCGTGGGCATCCCCAAGTTCTGGGTCAAGGCGCTCATGAACCACCCGATGGTCGAGCAGATGATCACGGACCGCGATATCCCGGCGCTCGAGTTCCTCAAGAACGTCAAGTCCGAGTCCCTCACCGAGACGAACGGCTTCCGCCTCGAGTTCCACTTTGCGCCCAACGAGTTCTTCACGAACGACGTCTTGACCAAGGTCTACGACGTGGCCGAGGGCCCGTCGGGCGATGCGATGCTCAAGAACATTGTTGGCACGCCCATCAACTGGAACGAAGGCAAGAACTGTGCGAGAAGAAGAAGAAGATCAAGCAGAAGGCCAAGAACGGCGGCGCGACGCGCCTCGTCACCAAGATGAGCCCTGCGACAGCTTCTTCCAGTTCTTCTCGCCTGTCGAGATGCCCACGGAAGACGAAGAGGAAGAGGTACATCATCTTCTTCGTTATGGGCCTCATGAACTCACGCATTCTCTGTGGTAGAGCGACGAGATCATGCACCAGCTTGACACGGACTTCCAGATTGGCTTCACGATCCACGAAACGATCGTGCCCCAGGCCGTCTTGTGGTTCACGGGCGAAGCCGAAGTCGACGAGTCCGATTACGAAGACGACGAGGACGTACGTCGCTGCCCCTCGCTCGCATCGTCCTCACATCCATGATGTGATCTAGGACGAGGACTACGACGATGAAGACCTCTCGGACGACGACGACGATGACGACGAGCCGCGTGCCAAGAAGGGCGGTAAGAAGGCCTTCCCGGGCCTTGAGAAGCCGGCGGGCGCCGAGTCGACCGAGAAGCCCCCGGAGTGCAAGAACCAATAGAGATCCACCCGATGCTATGAGTTTTGAATGCTGAATTTATACCTACGACGCGTCTTCTTCGTCCAGCTGCACGAGTGGAGCCAACGACGGACGACCGTGGGCGCACTGGAACGGCAGCCGACAATGGCTCAGCTGCCCCAGCAGCAGCTCGCACGCCCGCTGCGAGAGCACGTCTCCAAACATGATGGCATTGCGGCAAGCCCGCGAGTGCAAGAGACGCAAAATCACCGGCGGGCGTGGCGCCGACGTCCGCTGCCGATCGGCGTCGGCGAGGAGCGTTAGGTACTCGGTGCAGTCGTCTTCGTTGGCTTGCCGGTGCTCCACGAACGGCGCCGTCGTGAGTTCCTGGCGTGCGTTGATGGTAAAGCCCCAGTGCTGTAACGTTTCTTCGTGGTGCTGAACAAGCGCTTGCTCGCTGAAATTCAGGCGGAGCTGCACAGGCTCGTCGAGCTCGGCGCGAGGAAAGGGCCGAGTCCCATTGAGGTATGTCGCCTCCAACGCCTCGAGCTGGATGCGCTCGTCGGCGGCGTGCTGATCGATGGCACACAGCAGCACCGGCGACGTCCGCGTCGCAAAGAGGATAAACTTGCGGTCACTTGACCAAGCACCGTGATGTCTTGTAGGGAGGCCTTGGTAAACTGCACCGAGAGCGTACGCGACGCGCGTGGGTTCTGCGCAAAGACGCTCAGGTGCGTTGCCACATGAGCCGGAAGCCGTCGCCGTCGACGCCTGGGCTCCTCACGGCTGGTTGTAGTCGTGGTGCCAAAGTACTTGGTGCATCGACGCTGGTGTACGGCGGGTGACTCACGACGCGTCGGTGACATCGCTTCAGCGCGCTTGGTGCGGGTGGCTAAGAGCAAAACGTGCAGCGATCCAAAGCACGCACAAATTGCAGGTACTAGGAAGAAGGTCCACGCTTCGCGCCCAGATTGCATCTGTAAACTCATCTGGCAGGCCTCGACGTCGCTTGGCGTCGGGCATTGGTGCGTCCACAAGGCCCGTCTCGGCGCAATGCGGCAGCACCGCCTGGAGCTCGCCGAGCATCGTCACCAATCAGGCCCATTGGGTACCGACCGGTACCTGCAAAAGGCGGCAAACGCGCTCGAAAAGGCGTCGACGTTGCGAAACTCAACACGCGGCGCTGGGTTCGCGTCGACGAGGGCGGCCTCGTCGCCCGAGCAGGTCACGTGTAGGACAATGACTGGCCATTCGTGGAACTGCGATGACGAGGTGAGTCTTGAAGCGAGGTGCGCGTAAATGCAGTCTTGGCAGTCTCTCTCGAAAGCTTGGATCCACCGCCCTTGGAAGCTCACGCACACGTAACCTTGCGTGACTCGCTTGAGCTGCGCCAACCGAGCACCCATCGTCGCAGAGGCAACGCGAAAATCGCCAAACGCGATATGGCCCGCCATTCGGAATCGGTCATCGTAGCAGGAAAAGGCCTAGTACAACAACACGACACACCGTGGTTGGCATATTTGGAACGAGACGTTTCTACCTGCGGCATCGTAATCGGCACGCTACCACCAAGGAGGGCAAAGGCCTCCAAAGGGCACGTCACTCGGGGTAGAGCGAGGATGCGGGCGTGGCATTCTACAAAGGAGGTATCGTCGCGCCGACGACGGTGCAAGATGTGCGCACGGAGGTCGATGAGCTCGAACGATGTCATCGTATGGACAATCGCAAGCCGCGAGAGTAGCGTCGTCAGGAACGAGATGAGCTTGGCCCGATGCGACGACGCGGCGGTGCGCCAAGCATTCTGTCGGACAGGCACGTTCGCATAGAGGTCGTGGACCTGCACCAGCGTCCCGGGAATGCACTGCTTGGAGCGAATGCGCCCGTTGAACGTCACATGTCCCCGCTGTATCATGCAAGTGAAGCCAGCTCCGCGCAGCATGCACGGACCTCGATGGTTTTACGGTATGTATTCCAGCTCGCTTCGTGGCGGCTCTCGATCGTCACGGACGCCATGGTCGCAAGGCAGCGCAGAGCATCTCCGCGAGTCCCATACATGGAGGTCCCTGGCGCTGTACCATCGCGATCTCTCTTGGAGGTTGCTACCAAAATGGATGAGGACCATGCGCAATGAACGCTGGACGTGTGTACCTGCAGCTTGGCCGACGAGACGACACAGGTCTTGCGACTGGATGCCATGACCTAACGCAATGCTCGACCTTGTGGCTGACGAAGGCCGATGGAGGAGCACCATTGTCCTGCACCGTGAACGAGAGACCCTCGTCGCCGAGGCCGACGACGACGGAGGCCGCATGGGCGTCGATGGCGTTGACGATGACTAGAGATCATGCTGCATCTTCCTCGATCGAGCCTCCATGCGTCTACCTTCCTGCAGAGCCGCATGGACGTCGGGGATCCGCTGCGTCGCCCAGACGAGGTCGCATGTCCCATCGTCGAGCTTCCAGATCGAACCCATGATCCGGGGAAGAAGGAAATTTCTCTGAGATCGTTTTATTTTATTTTATTTATTTGTTGTTTTGGCGCCAAATCCCACACAACGCACGTTGCGCGCGATGTGTGAAACAAAACGATTGGCTACTTTTGGTCCAATCCCATCGCGGCCATGGATTCACCAGCCAAGCCTGCAGCCTGCGAGAGCTGCCACTTGGACCTGCCGTGCGACCAAGACTTCTTCGCGACCTTTGGCCTCTACGTCTGTCGCTCGTGTCGCTACGACAGTCCAGCGTACGTGCTGCTGACCAAGGACGCGGCGAAGAAGCGCTTTCTCCTACCCGACAGCGCCTTTGAAGACCTCCCATGCTTGCGACGGCCCAACCCCAAGAACGAGCGCTTCGCACCACTCAAGCTCTTCTTGACCAAGACGTGCGAGGCCACATGCATCGAATTGTTCGGTAGCCTCGAAAAGATGCTGGTAGAGAAGGAGCAGCGCGAGAGGAAACGCTTCGAGAAAGCGGTGTCGCGCACCAAGTCGGTCGTCGCCAGCTACGGCAAGCGAAAAGCAAGCCTCTCGACGCTCAGCGGTGCTACAGTAGGTACACACTTTGCTCTATCACGTCACTGAGGTAGCTCTTTCAGGCGCCCAAAGCCAAGAAAGCCAAGCCGGTCGAGGTCGCCGAGCACGAGCATGCGTACGACACACACGAAGACCAAGGCGATGGTCTCTGGGTCAAGGCCTGTGCGTGCGGCCTGCGTGTAACATATCACAAGCTTTGATAACGCGACGTCCATGTCGGCTTCAAGCCACTGCACTATTGTCAGCTAGCTTGCAGAGTTTGGTAGCCTTGTGCCCCGTCGTGGCGAGTCGGCACTGCTTCTGCTTGAAGCTCACGGGTCCATAGAAATCCCTCGTCCTTCAAGCGTTCGTGCACTACATTGTACACTGCGGGCATGGTCCATGGACCGTGCACCTGTGCCGTCTGTTGCCAACGTACGCACCTACTGCGGCGTCTCTACGCCCGACTGCGCCATTCACACCAGGCGTCGTTCAGCAGCGAACCACCCGGCGCCATTGGACGGGGAATGAGAAAGCGGTTCCATGCGCCGACGTCGCCGAGAGCCACAGACCGCTCGTCTTGCGCCAGCCGGCGTGGCACGCGCTGGATCTTCGACGAACGAACCGAAGATCGAGGACGTCGCTCGGGGTATCCGGATGCTGGCCACGTGGCCGGATACGCGCCGGGTGCATGTTTCTTGCCATTATTTCGTCCGCAGCATGGCGTGGTTCGCGTCCAAGGTGAACCTCTCGACCATCGTGTCCCAGGGACTCGAGCATGTGCACAAGCTCAAGGACGACGTCGAGAAGCAGTTTGACGATGCTGTCTCCAATGGCAAGCCGGCGCCGAGGGCCTCGCCACTGCGAAGCACGGCCATGACGCCGCCGCTGCATCCGGCGCCCGCACCGTCGCCGCCACGGTCCAACCCGACATCGGCCCAGCACGAAGCGACAACCGCAAACGACTTTGCAAAAAGTAGCATCCCGACGCCGCCCCGGTCGTCTGACGGCAACAAGAAGCCGCTCAACTTTTTCTCCGAGTGGAACCTCGGACCGCCGTCGCACCACGAAAAGTGATCCGTGGCCATCAAGTCGCCCAGCGTCAACTTCCCGTCCGTCAAGTCGGCAGCACCGGTCGCCCAAGTGTCCCCTGTAAGGCCAGAGACGTGCTCGCCACCGACGCCACCGCTGACGGGAAAGCGCGAAGATGATATGTCTTCGGAGGATGCTACCAACGCTGCCGCTCTCGACTACATCAAGGCGCACTCGATGCCCATCCAAGTGGCAAGCGTGACTCTGCCTCCGACGACCTCGGACGAGAAACCCCCCGAGGATGACAGCTCGCTCTCGATTGGGTCCAGCGTGTCGACGGTGCTCACCGACGTGGATGAGCGTCCGTCGTCAACGTCGTCGCTGGCACCGTCGTCCACCGAGGACTCGGCTGCAATGGAAGCCCTGCAAGCCGAGCTCGCCAAGACGCAGGCGCTTTTGACGGAGCGCGAGAATCAGCTCTTGTCCGCTTCGGCCAAAATGACCAAATTGATGGAAGAACTCGATGCCGCCAAGTCGGTAGCGTCCTCGGACGCGGTCGTCGCGCAGCTGCAGCACGCTTTGCACGAGAAAGAAGAGCAGTTGTCGCAGCTTCTAAACGAAGGCCAAGCGCTCTCTATCAAGCAAGGGCAGTACGAGGCCCGTTTGCGGACTCTCCGGAAAGAAAACAACGACCTCCTCGACGAGCATGCGCAGACCGTCGCCGCGCTCGAGACGACGCAGGCCAAGTGGGAGACGGCGCGAAGTCACCTCATGCAGGCCGAGGACGAGCGCAAGGCGACACACGCCAAGCTCCAGCAACTCCAAGCCCACTCGGACGAGCTCCGGGCAACGCTAGCGGCGCTGGAGACCGCCAACGCCCGCGTCCAAGAGCTGGAAACACAGCAGGCACAGTGGGCGGCCGACAAGGTGGCACTGGAAGCATCCCAGAGCGCTGTGGCCGACAATGGCATGCTCGAGTCGACGCTTGTCGAGATGCAGAAGCGTGTGGCGGCCGTCGAGCGCGACGCCGCGCGTCGGGAAGAGCTCTCACGCAGTGAAATCGCGTCGTGGAAGAAGCGGTACCAGGACACCGTGTTGCGCATGGACACGCTTGCCGAGGAGACGACAGGCGCGACACAGCCGCTGCTCCGACAGCTCTCGCAGCTGCAGCAAGAGCATCAGCAGCGCGAGCTCTTTTGGCGCACGTTCCAGCAGTCGGCTGACGTCCAGCTCCAGACCAGTACGCTCAACTGCCGGAATCTCGAAGCGCAACTTGCGTCCGAAGTCGCGACGCGCCGCGGCTTGGAAGAACACATTGAGACGTGGCAGAGCCAGATTCACGCCGTGCAGCAACAGCTGGAGCAAGCCTCGGCGCGCATCACGACGCTCGAAGACGACGAGGCCGCCCACCTCGAGGAGCTCACGCAGCTCAAGAGCTACATCTCAACGCTTGAAGCTGAGAAGGCGGCGGCGACGACCAGCTCGAGCAACGATACCAACGCTGTCGTTGCGGCGCTGACAGCCGACCTCGCGCGCGCCAAAGCCCAAGAAAGCACGTATTTGGCGCGGGTGCGGGAACTCGAGCAGCAGGTGGCCGACCGATCGCGTCCCTCCTATCGCGAACGCAAGTCGTCGGCCGAGCTCCTCGTCTCGGAGCGGGCAAGTGCGACGACGGGAGATGTCTCGCTTATCGAGTGGCACCAACTCCAGCAAAAGGTGCGCCTCCGCGAGAGCGAGGCGGCGCTGCTCAAGCAGCAGGTAGACGAGCTCGAGGCGGTCAAGGCGTCGAGCAGCCAAGCCATGGCGACGCTGCAGCAGCAGAACGCAGCCCTGGAAGCGGCGGCCGCCGAGTTGGCATCCACAAAGGCAGCGCTGGAGGCTGTGACGGTGCGCCAGAACGTGCTCTTGGAACTCCTCGGCGAGAAGGAGGAGCAACTCGACGAGCTCGAGACGGAGTTTCGCGAGTGCAAGCAGCTCTACCAGCGCCAGATCGACACACTCACAAGGGACCGCGTCTGATATTATTTAACACCAGCGCCCACAACCAGTTTTGAAGTTTGATATTTCGCTTTTTTGGTTGATTTCGACAACAGCGCGAGAATGCATCTCAACTCGGTTCCCGTTGCCAGGGCCCATGAAGGTCGGTCACGACGACGGGTCATCGCTCGGTGGCATGCGCAAGCTGCATGCGCACTGCACCCACGGCCGCAAGATCTCCCCGATCGCACAACACAGCGACGTCGTACGCCTTGCAGTGGCACCCTTCCGTCGAGCTTCTTTATCGAAGGACCAACTGAGCTTACTGGTGATCGCCACACGCTGCGCTCTTCTTCGTCGTCGACGACACCAAGCCAACTCAGACGCCAAGGACACGTGTGAAAACGGAGCTGTGCAGAGCCAAGCGCGCGAAAAGTATCTTTGGCCGACCTCGTGGCGCCGGCAGAGTCGCATGTACAAGGCTGTGGGCTCGTCGCCGTTGTGTCGTCGCATGGGCAGATGCGATTGCCGCCACCGCCAGGCATGTCGTAGGTGCTAGTATACAATCCGCGCCGCGGGAAGGTCGCCATGCCGTCGCAGTGCACCTGCACGGCGCTGCATTAAAAAGTAAGTTAGGCGACGATGCTTCCACCGCCAAGCATCTGTGAGCGCAAGCAGCTCGATGTACACGAGTACCTTTCGACGGCTGCCAGCGCGCGGCGTCGTCGCCAGCTGGAGCCAGCAAGTACACGGTACATGGTGGCATGGCGACCTGCGATACGTGCGTGTGTGTAGCGAGGGCCGGTTGCATCAACGTCGTCGTGCTTCCACCGGCGCCAGCCCAGCGGCGGCATGGCCACCGAGCCGAGCGCCCGCTGGCGGTGGCCGAGGCTGCTCAAGATACGCTGCTTGCCTCTGCCGCAGCTGGTGCGGAAAGAACCGGTGGCGATTTTATTGCGATCTCCGGAAAACGTTATCCGGACGCTGGAAAATTTGGTTTGGTCTCTGGCGCATTCGCATATCTTCCTCGCGGTCCCGACATCAGCATGCCCACGAGCTCGCCCGAGACGACGACGACGACGCCCGAGACCGAGGTCGAGCGGCTTACGCGCCGCAACGCGTACCTTGAGGCTGAGCTGCGCCGGTCGCGCGAAGAGCTCGTGCGCTTTGGCTCGGACGCCGAGCGGTCCGAGGAGCGCCTCACGAACAAGCTGCTCATGCGCCTTGGCCAGCTCCGTCAAGAGAAGGAGCAGCTCGCGCTCTCGGTCGAGCGCGAAGAAGAGTTTCTGACCAACACGCTCCAACGCAAGCTGCGCCAGCTTCAGCAAGACAAGATTGACCTCGAGAACAAGCTCGAGACGGAGCAAGAGTTTATGGTCAATCGTCTTCAGAAGCAACTCGAGGCCGCGTTGAACGCCAACCCCGGCAGCCAAAACGCCATCTTGGACAAGGTCAACCTCGAGAACGAGCTTGAGCAAGAGCAAGAGTACGTCGTGAACCGTCTCCAGAAGCAAGTTCTCTCGGTCAAGGTGGAGAAGCGCAAGATGGAGACGCGCCTTCTCGAAGAAATGATGAGCATGGTCACGCTCCTCGAAGTCCAAGTCTACGCCAACGTGCCGGCGGTGACGGCGCTCGACAACCTTGAGCGTGAGCTCCATGCAATGAAGGACTCTATTTACGTGCGCATGAAGAAGCAGCAGGCCGCGCCCATCTCGGACGACATTTCCGAGACGCACGCGCTCAACAACGAAGTGCTCCTCGAACAACTTGCGCCCGGGTTCCAGCGGCCGTCGTTCAGCCGACGTGGAACCTTGTAAGTGTGCCGAGTCGTCGTCTTTCAACGTCAATACATACATATATATTAGTCGACTACCTTGCACTGTTGAGCTATACGATTAGAGTGCCTGGCGAAGCAAGTCGGCCTGCGTCGTACTCAGCGAGGTGGGAAACTGGATATCGAAATGCACGTGCAGATCGCCGCGGCGCTGCGGCGTCTTGGAGAGCGGCATGCCTTCGCCCACAAACACCTTGCGCGTTGTCGGCGTGACGACGCCGTCGAGGCGAAGGTTGACGTTGCGTCCGTCGAGCGTTTTGATCGAGAGCGTGCCATTGCCGACGAGCGCATCCTTGAGCGAAATCTTCGCCGTGTAAATGAGCGTGTCGCCGTCGCGCTTGAACTTGGGGTGCGCCTTTTCTTGGATGACAAACATGATGTCTTGGGCGGCCCGCCCGGGCAAGAGGTCGCCTTCGCCCTCGTAGGTGAGCTTGGTGCCGGCCTTCCAGCCCGGCTGGACTTTGACCTCGAGGATCTTCTCCTCTTCACGCATGGCGTTGGTGCGGTCGTCGTAAATTTTGCGCGTAATCTTGAGCTTCTTGGTGCACCCCGTGTAGAGTTGCTCGAGCGTGCACTCGAGGTCGCGCTTGAGCGGCTCGGGGCGCTTGGCCTTCCGTTGCGGGCTGCCAAAGCCGCCGCCAAACGAGCCCTGGCGGCCCATGCCCATGTTGGAAAACATGAACATCGGGTCCATGTGCTCGGCCTCGTGCGGGTTGGACGTGCCAAAGAACTGCTCGAAAATTTTGGTCGGGTCGGTCGAGTGAAACGAAAAGCCAGCGGGGAAGCCGCCTGATGAGCCAAACGATGCGCTGCCGCCGGGGAAGAAGCCGCCGGCGCCGCTGGGGCTGCCGCCGGGCTGCGGCATGCCGCCCTTCAGGCCCTCCTCGCCGTACTGATCGTAGATTGCGCGCTTTTGCTTGTCGCTGAGGACTTCGTAGGCTTCGTTGACCTCTTGAAACTTCTTCTGCGCCGCATCGGCGTTGTCCGGGTTCTTGTCCGGGTGCCACTTGAGCGCCATCTTGCGGTAGGCCTTCTTGAGCTCGTCGTCGGTCGCGGTCTTGGCGACGCCGAGCACCTGGTAGTAGTCAATCGCCATTGTCTTGTGCGAATTCGAATTGGGTAATGACGTTGCTGTGTACCGCAAACGTGCATTTTGGATCGAATTTCCAGAATCTTCTCGAAAGGCCAGCCAATCACATCTCGATTTCTCCAGATGGCGACCTGTCTTTGACACGACGCGGTTCCCCAGCGCGTCGACTGGAGCAACAGCTACACCACTATTACCACTAGCTGCACGAATTGCAGCAGCCTACGAGCGTCCTTGCGCGAGCGTTGGTGCTACGAGCTCATCAATATTCTCATGGAGAGGAGGTGGCGTTCCGTTGATTACAAGGTTCCGGGGAGGGGCTGGTAGAAATGCAGTGTGGACTGCTTTTGTGTTGAGATCGTCGGTCTCCTTAGCGCGTGCGGCGGCATGGGCGCGTCTTCTGAAGGCGCGCCGCTTTGGCCGCTGCATCTTCGGGCGGACGTTCGGTGCATCATTTTGGTTCTACGACATCTTGGATGCCGTCCTTTGGTGGTCTGCGTTGCGCAATGCCTGCTTTTTCTGCTGCTGTTGGCCAATGAGAACGTAGCTGCGGGTTCATTTTGTCCACTCAAATACTGCACAGACAGACTGCAGACACGGCCTGTGGGCTGGTGTCACCAGGAGGTTGCTACGAGTACAATGGGCAGTATTCCATCGACCTAGCGTAGTATTCGGCAAGGTAAGACTGCACGTTTACGATTGTATACTTGTCGACTCTGCATTTGGTGCGGCGCTGGCGTCGACTGCTTCGCGACGCAGTGTGGTAGCGCTGGTTGGATCGCACGACCAGGAGCCCATCCTGGACACCACCGATAGATACGCTGCCACGTATGGGAATATTAACGCTGCACAATCTATTAAGGTATGAAAATACTTTTTAGGCGGGCAATTAACGTCTGAAGATACTTTCGGAGCCATTGGCTTTTTGGGGCCGGCCAGTCGAGCGTGGTAGCCAGCACGACCCGAGCGATGCAGCCGCGCAGAGTACAAAAGCGCGCCGCCTCATGAGCTTTTGACAGGACGCAGCGTCGCAGGTCACGCTTCTCCAGCGTGCGATACAAACACCAAGTACACGCAGCGCGGCGATGGCTTGAACGCCTTTACAGCCCTCGGAAGTGATCTCGTTGCCGTGTCAAAAACGAAATCGCATGTCCCTCTACGACCCGCTCTACCACCAGAAGCGCGCTGCAAAGCTCGCCGATGCCAAGTTGGCGGCCCAAGATGCCCTCATGCGTAAGCCAAGCCCGACGGCAGCCACGAACCAAGGTTCGCGTGCCACCGCGTTCGGGCGCAGCACGACCCCGACGATTGTCCGCCAGCGTGCGACGACAACTGTCCCGGTGACTGCGCGATCGACGATTCGGTCGACGCAAACGCCTGCCACGA